AATCATTGATGTGTAAACTATGTCTGCACAACATTTCGTGGATTTTAGTTGTTGATGTTGTAGTTTGTCCACACTAGTACAAAAATACACTGGGGCAGACTGTTTAAAAGCCTTGAGTGTACATTGAACACCCTCTATAAAAATTGAGGTAGATTATCATTTGAAGACTGCAGAAGATATACATTCAAATATTCATTGTATTAAATTATCTTTGGAAAATTAATAGAGTATTAACTCTAACTTATTATTGGTTTCTAAAGAGAAGAGTTGAACTGTATAGATATTATCCAACAGCACTTACTAAACATAATACAATAAAATATCTTAAACTTATCTCAATAATCTGTATTATCACTTTCTATGGAGAAAAAAAAATTGGTTTAGATTTTGTTTTTTAGAAAGCTTTATGAATTATTCAGCAAATTTTTTAATTGTTTAAGTTTGAAAGAAAGATATATTGTGTTTTATTTGTTATAAACGTTTTTTCCTAAAATTAGTTCTTTGTAAATATTTAGTTTTGTGTGTTGTAAAAGAATAATTTTGTGTGGGCTCATCTGAAGGCTGTGATTGTACAGACTCTCTTCTACTTTTTAATGTTGTGAGTATGTAAATGACTTGTAAATATTTAAGAGTTTCAATGCTGTTTTGTCAATTTTAAATCAGCACTCCATAAAGTAATTACAATTTTAATGTTAACTTTTTGTCTCAGACAGTTGAAGAGCAGTTTACCAGAAATGGTTAAAGATTTAATATTTTTAATAAACTATTAAATGCAGGTAATGGTGAATAGGCTTTAAGCAATCATTTTTCTTACATGTGTTATAATTCACTGTTTTAACTTTCACACTTTTGTAAGTGCTACAAAGTCACCCACAAGTTTTGTTGAAGTAAATTGTATTTAATTTGTTTTATACAGAACAAATAATACATAGTATCCTAAATTTTTAAAGTGATTTTTCTGACAATGATTAATAATTTAAGTGTTTTTTTTTTTCAAACTGCTTTTCAATTGAGATTTTAAGTAAGCATCTTTTCAACAAGTAAATAGTAGTTCACCCTATTAACACCCTTATGTATTTTCACGTCTTAAATTTTAAAAGAAAATATTACTAATGGTCTAGAGATCAGTCAAGATGTAATGTACACTTAACAAGAAACGTGTATGGTATTTAATTTTTCCAAAACACAAACTAAGTTTGCATGCTTCTTAAAATGGGTTGCTGATTCATAAAATGCAGTTTTGATGGTTGTTTGTGTTGTCATGTATGTACACCATCTTTTCATTTTAGTTAATATAAATAGGAAGTAAATTTCCTTTTTAGATCCGACATAGGGCAGATGAAGTAGAGTTGACTAGCTTTTAAATCTTATTGCAGCAAAAGTGTAGTCATCATTATAACAAGTGTAGATATTGCACTTTTGAGCATCAGAACTGAAAGGGAAAGATTATTTTGACAATGCCCAGCTGATTTCATTGACATAGGGCATGTACCTATCACAGCTGGGTGAAACTAGATATCATCTGTCAGAATTCAGTCCAATGTTATGTTTTCTATCATACAGTCACAGGGTTAAATTTGGCTGTCATTATTTTTATGTGTTTGAGTGCTAATGTTCAATGTTTTGGGAGTTAAGTCAATCTGTGTATATATCAAGTGTGTGGATGTTTTAACTTCAAGATTCCCAACCCATCAAGCATTCACACATACATACACACACAGTGGCGTAGCGAGGTCGGGTGTCACCCGGTGCGGCACTTAATGGTGTCACCCCCAAGAGGCGTAGCGACCCTTCCCGGGGACAAACTTTCAAATTTTCGATTTGCACCCCCCCCCGCTTTGAACTTTTAATTTGCCCCTACCCTCCCCCCCCCCCCCCCCGCCCGTCAAACTTCCGATTTGCACCCTACACTCAAACTTCCGATTTGCACCCCACCCCCTCAAGTTTTACTCTACATATTTTGCTTTTTTTGCCTTGGTGTCACCCCCCCCTAAATGGTGTCACCTGGTGCGGTCCGCACACCCCACCCCCCCCCCCCCCCCCCCCCCCCCCCCCCCCGCTACGCCTCTGCACACACACACACCTCAATAGTGGAATATTTCAAACAAAATTTAACTGAGTTCAGATTGTTTTCTTACATTTTAAAGATATCAACATTTTTAGTGACATTAAATGGCATACAATATAAGCAATACACAATAGATTTAATTTACACATGCTAGTAAAGTTGGCTCTTTTTTAAAATGTTAATTTGATCATTTCGTTTAATCATCTAACTACTGAATTAAATGTAAACACCTTGGAGAATTTTTTAACTCATTGTAGAAATATGATAGTGTATGTCTTTGTAAATTGCATTATTGTGTCATGTGTTGTTTAGCTGGAGGACTAGCCCTGATTGTAGTTGTAAGTAGTCGTAAAAATGTGTTCATGTATTAAATGTATATGACCACCATGTAGCATGCACTTTTTTTTTATCACCAGTATGTTGTAGAATTTTTCATTCTCTTCTCGTTTTTATTGTTAAAAATTTGTATTCATTTGCTTCTTAATTCGATTTTTTTAAATTTAATAATTAATAATTATATTACACTATATAACAAGTAAAAAAAACAATATGGGGCATATATGTAGTTCAACTCTTTAACTAACCATAAAGTTCCTTTCTTAAAAATATATAGAATGACAGCTGAGAGTGAAAGTATCATTTTTAAATCTATTTTTAAGACTTTTCCATTTTTAAATCCATTTCTTTTTAACTTGTTCAAAATGTAATTTATGCTTTTAACTTTTTCTAATGTTAAGTGCTTTCAATAATCATGTACTTTTATTGTTGAAATGGTTACGGGTTAACTTCTGAAATTTTAAATGTCTGTTTTATTTCTAGAACATTAAAACTTGTTGAAAACTGTTTTATTTTTTATTTCTTTGTGTGTTTGAACCATGTCTGTAATTAAATAACTGGCCTGTTTTTCTGTGTATAGTGTCTTGTGTATTCATCTAATACATATTTGGTAACTTACTTTCAATTTAAATATCAATTTTTAACAAAACAAGGAAATAGTTCTAAAAATTTGGTTTCAAAAGATTGTATTCAGTACCATTCCATTTACCAACTTGTTGCAAGGTAGACAATGCAAAGTCCCATGAGACACAATATATTAACAGGGTTACGTCCCCTAAAAACTGCTTTAAAAATGTGAACTATCAACTCTATTTAGTTGCCACAAATATTTTTTAAAGAATGTTTTCTTTATCTGAATTAAAAACTTAAAAACAAAATTTAAACAGCAAAAAAAAAAAAAAATTCTGAAAAAAAAAATTCCTTACAATTAATAGTCGTGGGGGGGAGTATGATTGTTAACTCCATAAGTCTTCGCTTCGGATCCCACGACAGATAAGGATAATGAACAAACAACCAGTCTAGAAAAGAAAACGCCAAAATCAAACAACTACTGCCTTGTAGACTGTTCTTGTATGGAGATGGGAAATAAAAGCAAATCAAGAAAGAAATCGTCTATTTTAAAAAGGAAAAATTACAACTAATAGAATTTTTGTATTCTGTATTGTAACAGAAAGGTTATTTAAATTACAAACAAAAAAAAATTAACAGAAATAAAAATTAAGGGGTTCAATGTCTAACAGTTCGGTAGATCATGGTATGTCACACGTAGGACTATACTTTAAAAAAATATACCTGAGGTTTGAAGAGATAAGTAGACGTCATGGTGTAAGATATAGATGTATGTTCAAAAGCAGTTGCGTAGCCAGGAATTGGTCATGGGAGGGGTTAAAAAATGTTTCAATACGTATATAATCATATATATATATATATATATATATATATATATATATATATATATATATATATATATATATATATATATATATATATATATACATATATATATATATATATAGGGGTCGGGGTCCATGGGAGTGATTATACCCCCTAACCCCCCCCCCCCTTGCCTACGCCACGGTTCGAAAGTGGTATTTAGCATACACCACCCTATCTCTATACACTTCTGACAGTGATATTTGTTTGTTTTTTAATAAATACAAACACACAAATCGAGTTATCTCGTCTGAGAGGATGATAATTTAATATTGAAATAGGGAAGATGTTTTAGATAACATTGTTTAAGAGGGACCGATGTTTTCGCCGGGGATCATGTTGATAAATGTATATGCTGAGATTCTCCGTGGACGTAATCTAAGTGTTATAAAGGTAAACTTGGCTCTTTAGAAGAAAGAGGGGTCGACAGTATATTATTTCTATTGTCGATATAGAGGGAAAGAGAAACATTCGTTTTACATGGTCTTGGATACCTTGCACTTATAGCTTGTGGACGTACGCGTGTATATGAATCAGTAGGCCTACAACCATCTTTGCAGCTAGTATGTATGCCTATAAACATATAATTACACACACACACACACATATATATATACATACATATATATATATATATATATATATATATATATATATATATATATATATATATATATATATATATATATATATATATAATTACTTATATATAGGCCGATATTATTATATATAGGCCTATATAAGATATATATTTAAATATATATATATATATATATATATATATATATATATATATATATATATATATATATATATATATATATATTAGCCGTTTACGTAAGTAAGCAGCTACGTAATTATAGACTACTCAATACAAGAATACATCTGTTTATTAACTACAATAATTACGTGCAATGTATTGAGTATACGTGTTAACGTGCTATTTGTTTGTCAAGCAATACAAAGCACCTTTGAATAATTACATATAGTGGTAGTTGTTAGCGGGTACGATCTTTAACTCGCTGCAATAATGTACACACCTAAATCACTTCCTGGTTACTTATACGTTTTACAACTTATATTCCGTTTGTCTGGAGGGGAGGTAAACCAAGGGGAATAAACCAATGACAAGTGGAGAATGGAATAGATAAAAGACGGCTGACGCTTGACAAAGTGACACTCTAATCTGGAGAATATAAGTAAATAAAAAAAGTGTTTGGCATTTTGTATAGTTTATCTGAGGATATCTTTATGATCTGCGCATAATGTTGCAAACTGTTTTATTCAGCTGATATAAAAGTGTGTTAAATATTTATATAGTGTTACGCTATACATCGATACGTGTTAGATGAAAGCATAAGGAGTAACAGACAGATGGATTATTGAAGGTAAGCAATACAATTATTGTTGTTCTAATTTTTCTAGTACATTTTCTTATTTTCATGATGATAATATCGAAAAATGTCTGTTGAAAACAAACGTGTTTAAAGGTAGGCAAAGTCTATAGAAATCCGTTTATCCGTGTGTGCATATGTGTACATCTTTAATTATACCTAGCTTACCGGTATATTATATATATATATATATATATATATATATATATATATATATATATATATATATATATATATATATATATATATATATATATATTTTAATTTATTTATATATATATGTGACCTAGGCTACTCGCAGCGCCAAATGTGACCCTGCTCGCAGCGCCAATTGTGACCTTCCCCGAGTCTATCCTGCCCGACAACGCCAATTGTAACGAGTTGAACCACTCATGCTACACAACATCGACTACAGTAGAAAGACTCGAAGATGCAGGTTCGCTATTGATCCTTTTATTACATGAATCAAGAAATGCTTCAATATAACACAATGAATCAACAGAAATGTTTCAATATAATAGTCTGAATCAACTGACCCCCTAACAGTCCTCACTAGGCTTCATATAACTGAATCCACATGTCTAATGTCCTTCTTAACACAATATAACCAACTTGATATGTCACACAGACTGACTGATCTAAAGCGAGCGATGAAGAGGGAAGAGAACGAGTTCAGCCGTCCCCTCCTATTTATCCCTTGTATTCGTACTCATCTTCGTACTTGTATTCCTCCGTAATCGATACTTGTACTCGATGTCTCCGACCACTAGTTGCGCAGTTCTAACGTACAGTCCGTGTCATAAACATCTGCATCCTATCAATCAAAGTTGACAGGCCGTCTGAATCCCCTCGTACCGTTTCCCAAAATAGCACGCGTTGGCTTTGAGATTGTTATCAGTCCGATCCAATAAGCCACCTGCTATCGGTTGCGTCAGACTGTAATACTGCGTCTCGGCTTAACGTTCGTTATCAGATTTGTGACTAGTAGCTAGGCCCACCCTAGCTACATCCACCCCTGCCTTTTTTTGTGTGTTTTCAACCACAAACAACGCCTGGCAGGTGCACTCCTCCAAAGTCAATCGCACAATCGTAAAAAAAATTCTATTGTTCCACTCACTGTCCACGACGTTCCATTCGTATACGATTGACAGTTATACCTATTTCACATATCAACTGTGTCTACATCGTCTTCCTGAGACACAAAACAGTTCTAGAATTCACATCCACCCTTCTCGTTTGGTGCCTTCACCAGTTCAGTTTTATAGGTTTTTGCACCGTCTGTTCTCATACCAGCGCGACCATGAAAGACTTGATGGTTGCTGACAAAAAATTTCGTCTTCCTTCTGTTCCTCAAACTTCTCCGCGGACCACTTATCTGATGGTCTACTGTCTCTCTGCTTCTGGAAGGAACGGGATCCTCTTTGTTGCCGTTATCCTCCACTTGTATATCGCGGTTGTTCTGTTGATGGTGATATGGTTCCGGGATGGGTATGTGAATTTCCGTTATAGTTTCCGGTTCCCTAATTGTCTTGGATTTCCTTGTGTGTAACTGCTCTTCTTGCCTATTCCAATATTTCTTTAATTGAGCAATATTCGCCCACCGATCCGGTTTGGCGTGATCGATGGGTCTTATCTTAAAGGGGCCACCTGCTACTTTAGGCATCTCCACGACTTGCCATATCTCCTGTCCCCAGAGATCGTGGATTTTGTTTCTGCCTAACGGGTGGCTACGCAGTAATACCCTGTCATTCAGTTTGAGTGGCGGGTCCTTCGTCTGTACCGGCGGTTCCCTTCGCCGTGCTTCATGTTCTAGTCTTTCCTGTACTACCCTGTACATTTCTCTAATTCTTCTCATATGTTCATTCACATATTCCAGTGCGGTGTATGAGCCAGTCATACTCTCCCTTTTTCCTAGGAACAAATCAAGAGGGAGTCGAGCCTCTCGTCCGAACAGCAACATGTGTGGCGAAAAGCCGGTTGTGGCATGGGGTGTGCAGTTGTATAGATATACCAACTCTGGGAGAAAATCAGGCCAACGTTTTTTCTGTTCAGGTTCTAGCGTACGCAGCAAATCATGCATGCTGCGGTTGAACCGTTCACACTGTCCGTTTCCTTTCGGATTAAATGTGGTTGTTCTAGATTTGTTGATCCCGTAGTGGCTGCACAGTTGGTTAATTACTTCTGACTCGAAAGCCCTTCCTTGGTCAGAGTGTAATTGTCTTGGTATTCCATATTTGATGAACCAATGTTCTATTAAGACCTTTGCCACTGTTTTGGCAGTCTGATCTCGCGTGGGCACCGCCACCGTCCATTTGGTGAATACATCAGTCATTACCAACACATGTTCCGTCCCATCCGATGATTGCTCCAACGACGTAAAGTCCATAGCCACAATCTCTAGTGGTTTTGTCGCTAGTAGGTGTCCTGATGGCTGTCTCATTTTGACAACTGGCATTTTCGCATGCTGACACCTCACACAAGCCTCACAATGGCGTTTGACCTCCATTTCCATATTGGGCCAGTAACACCTCCCTCGTAATATTTTGTGCGTCCTGTCCTGACCCTGGTGTCCTGCCCTGTCATGTGCCAACCTTAGCACTTCTTCTCGTAACTGTCCAGGCACCACCACCTGGTGTATTGTCCCATCAATTTGGTCATGAATTCTCCGCATGAGAACACCATCCTCTATACTGAGACGGTCCCACTGACTCAGTATTTTCTTTGTTTCTCGACCAAATTGTTCTCTTTCCCTTCTTCCTGGGAATTTTTGTTCCTGGACGTATTTCAATAGCGGTTGTAAGCCACTATCCGTTCTCTGGGCATCTCTTATCTTTTTGTGATTAAGGCAATTAAAATCACTACTGTCCATATGTCCGGGCTCTGTGGATATGTGCTCCACCCCGGTCTGCCCGTTTTGCATCACTTGTACCCCATGAGGGATATCTGTTGACGCTCTGACCTCACATATTCCTGTCAGCGTTTCTTCCTCATCACCCGGTTTCTCGTAAGGATTCCTTGATAAGGCGTCCGCATTGCCATTGGACCGCCCCGGGCGATACTTTATCTCTAGGTCAAAGAGTGCCAATTCTGCTGCCCATCGCTGTTCGATGGATCCCAACTTTGCTGTCTTTAGGTGACTCAAGGGGTTATTGTCAGTGTATACCACACATTTAGCCCCTAATAGATAGTCCCTGAATTTTTCAGTCACAGCCCATTTTAATGTCAAAAGTTCTAGTTTCATGGCGCTGTAATTTGTCATGTTCCTCTCTGATCCCTTCAGAGCTCGACTGGCATACGCAATAACCCTGAAACCTTGCTTTTGTTGTTGTGATAGCACAGCTCCCAGACCTTTAGAGCTGGCGTCAATTTCTAACCGAAATGGTTTATCAAAGTCCGCGTATCCCAATATCGGCGCCTCTGTCAAAGCCTTTTTCAAGAGCTTAAACGAGTTCAGGCATTCATCAGTCCATAATTCACCTATCAGTTGTGTTTTACCTTTCTTTTTCTCCTTACTGTGTTTCTTTGTCATTTTGTTTACCAAGTCATGCAATGGTGCGGCAATTTTTGCAAAACCAGGCACAAATTTTCTATAATAGGAAGCAAAGCCCAAGAATGATCTGACCTCTACTGTAGTTGTTGGCTGTTTCCATTCTTTAACAGCTGCAATTTTATCTGGGTCAGTGGCGATGCCATCCGACGAAATCACATAACCCAAAAAATGTACCGATTTCAGACCAAAACAGCATTTGTCTGGATTCAGCTTTACTCCTATCTCCCTGAGACGGAGAAACACTTGTTCTAATCTTTTTAGATGGTCCTCCCAAGTTTTTGAGTAAACTAGAATATCATCCAAATACACCAACATTATTTGAAATAGAAAGTCACTCATAGCACTCTGCATTACTCGCTGGAATGTAGCAGGTGCATTAGTTAGACCAAACGGCATACGGGTCCACTCGTACAGTCCCAGTGGAGAAATAAATGCAGTTTTATGTTGATCGTTGGGGTGCATGGCCACTTGGTGGTAGCCACTAGCCAAATCCAAGGTAGAAAAAAATCTTGCTCCCCCCAACGCATCAAGACATTCATCAATACGAGGCAAGGGGAATGCATCCCTTCTTGTGATATTGTTCAATTTCCGGTAATCACAACACAGTCTTATCTCCCCTGACTTCTTTTTTACCACTACTATCGGTGCCGCATACGGGCTTGTACTGGTTGTAATAATTCCCTTTTTTAGTAGATCATTCAGGTGTGCTTTCACCGCCGAGTAGTGACTCGGTGGTAATCTTCGATAAGGTTGCGCCACCGGCTTGTCTTGTAGTAAGGGTATCTGGTGTTTGATTACTTCCGTGTACCCCAAATCACCCTCATACGAGGCAAATATATCACTGTATTTATTCAGCAATTCATTTAGTTTTGGGTCCTCAGTTTCCGGGAATGTATATGATCGGCCATCCTCTTTCTTCACCTCGGCCGTCACATTGACCGACCTAATTGTTACTTCATTACTGCTGGTATTGCTCAGTTCGATGCACTGTGCCGACCTTAGTACCTCGACGTTCTGTGGTACTCCTACCAGAGTATTAGGCGGTATAAAAATTTCCTCATCCAAAACATTTGCCACTAATCCTTGAACTAGTCCATTTTCCGCTGATGTGTATGTCCGCAGTAACACGACACCTGCCCTCAGTGCGGCGCCACATGGTTCTATCATCACATCACCATTCACACTTCTATCACCAATTTGTAATGTGATTGCCTTGACCGTGTTTGCCGGGACTGCTGTCCTTCCTCTGGTCTTGGCAAACCTGGCCATCTTGGATCCCCGACCTGGTGTGGTCGATCCGACAATATTTGTAAGAAATTCTGGCAACTGGCCAAGAATATTCATGCCCAACAGGCAAGGTATATTTGACACATTTGTCTCTAGGTTGTGTTTCGTAACGAACACCCCAACCTGCTTCAACCTATGTCCTGCCACCACGACATCCGCCAGAAAATAACCACAGTATGGAATGGTTAGTCCATTAGCTGCCGTCAGGCGCATGCATGTGTCAGACCTCAACCTATGGTCTTTTCCTTTCATCCATTTGGTGTAAAAATTTTCCGTGATTGTCGTCACCTGGGAGCCTGTATCCACAATTGCCTTCACCGCGATGTCCCCAATCGTAATCACCATTTCGGGACAGACTCCCATCATTTTGCTTCTTGGGCCATAACCTCGCCCCTCTGTAGCCTGGCCCTGCCTTACAGAGGACGACCGTTTCCCTGGCAGTACCGTGCCATATGTCCGGGTTGTGAACAAGACAAACAAATTGGTCGGCCGTCGGCCGTCCATTGGAGTGATGGCTTGGCGGGACGCGGCCGTCCAACCCGTCCCTGTTTTGTCCCGTTCTTTTCCTGATTCTCAGCTGTTGACCTGCTTTCTAACCTCTCCAAACGTTGGTCAACCTTATCTAGGTGGGCCAACAGTTGAGCCATCATGGTCTCCATCGTGTCGGCCCCTGTGGGTGGGGATTGTCTCTGTTCAGGCACAGAGACTTTGTCCACCGAACAGTTCGATTGGTCCTCATCCTCGGACCTGCGGATCGCTGAGTTCCTGACCTGAAGGAAGGTCAACTGCGGGTCTTTGTGGACCTCCTCTTTCAACTCTCTTCTTAGGATCGGGGTTGCCAGCCCCTCGATGAAATGGTCCCTCAGTAGGCGCACATCAATGTCAGGTGTTTTGACCTTTACCGAATCAAAGGCCCTGTTCATCCGGTGTGAGTACTCCATCACACTCTCCGCCAATCTCTGCCTTAAGCCTACGAACCCTGCTAGCAGTTGCGATCCCGACCGTCTCTCCCCAAAGGTCTCCATAATCAGATCCAGCACCTTATCTGGATCTGATTGGATGGTTTTATCATGGCATTTGACCTCTGCCCTAACCGTCTCTCCTATACTGCCCATCAGCAGTCTTAATCTCTCCTCTGGTGACATGCTTCTCGAGGCCCAGGCCGCTTTGACCTCTTCACTGAACCTGTTGGTTAAAGTTGGATCCCCGTCCCCGTAAAATTTGTTAATGTGGGACTCTCTGGGTAGGACCACTATATGGGTCTGCTTCTCGTCCAGAGTAGACATTTTATTCCGTAAGTAAAACAAAAGAGTTCTTTCTTACCGTGTGTATATGAAAAAAAATTTTCCTCGATTTTCACAGTTCCTGAATGTCAGAATTCACACACACACTAAACACAGTTATGCACAAGGTTGACTATGGGTGCCTAACTCGGCAAGTCTAGTTGAATTCATCCTGTTCGCAGCGCCAATTGTGACCTAGGCTACTCGCAGCGCCAAATGTGACCCTGCTCGCAGCGCCAATTGTGACCTTCCCCGAGTCTATCCTGCCCGACAACGCCAATTGTAACGAGTTGAACCACTCATGCTACACAACATCGACTACAGTAGAAAGACTCGAAGATGCAGGTTCGCTATTGATCCTTTTATTACATGAATCAAGAAATGCTTCAATATAACACAATGAATCAACAGAAATGTTTCAATATAATAGTCTGAATCAACTGACCCCCTAACAGTCCTCACTAGGCTTCATATAACTGAATCCACATGTCTAATGTCCTTCTTAACACAATATAACCAACTTGATATGTCACACAGACTGACTGATCTAAAGCGAGCGATGAAGAGGGAAGAGAACGAGTTCAGCCGTCCCCTCCTATTTATCCCTTGTATTCGTACTCATCTTCGTACTTGTATTCCTCCGTAATCGATACTTGTACTCGATGTCTCCGACCACTAGTTGCGCAGTTCTAACGTACAGTCCGTGTCATAAACATCTGCATCCTATCAATCAAAGTTGACAGGCCGTCTGAATCCCCTCGTACCGTTTCCCAAAATAGCACGCGTTGGCTTTGAGATTGTTATCAGTCCGATCCAATAAGCCACCTGCTATCGGTTGCGTCAGACTGTAATACTGCGTCTCGGCTTAACGTTCGTTATCAGATTTGTGACTAGTAGCTAGGCCCACCCTAGCTACATATATATATATATATATATATATATATATATATATATATATATATATATATATATATATATATATATATATATATATATATATATATATATATATATGTATTTATTTATCAATAGGCTATGCGATTTAGTAAAGGTTTATCGAGTACAACCTATGTGTTTCAATTAAGAATGCATTTCTTAGCTTTAACACCTTGATTTCAGTCTTGAATTAATCTGTCTTACTATTCTTAACAAGCAACACTAAAACTTCTTTGTAGTGCATATATAAAGATTGCTAATATACACGTTTTTATAAAACAAATAGGCCTAGGCCTACTTAGTTGTTGTTTTTTATATAAAATTGAAAACTAATTAAAAGCACTTGCTAACCATATGAACGTATTCTGTTTTTGTATAATATTGCGATAAGATTAGTAATTTATTTAGCACTATTGCTTCACCTTTTTTAAAAAAAAGCATACTTAATTATCTGCTTATGTCATATTTTATCTCACATTGTATTATTATCAAGTCTAGACTGAGGGGTCGTCCATAAATGTCGTCACAATCGCAGGGGGGGAGGGGGGGGGTACCGTAATTTTGTGACGGTGTGTGATGAACGGAAGGGGGGGGGGGTCAGATGGTGTGACGTCACACTTTTGCATTATAAAAAGCAATGTTAGAAACGAATTTTAGTAATTATTTTGTGTTTTAGAAAACTGTTTTAATAAATTGTAAGAAGAATTGATTAAAATACTCTATGTTGACAGAGTTCAGACAAGATTTTGAAACAATTTCGTATTTTAAGAAAAATATTTAACTGCAACTTTGAGGGGGGGGGGGGGTTGTAGGCTGAGGTGTGACGTCATTTTAGGGGGGGGGTGTGACTTTTTGTGACGATGTGTGTAGGAGGGGAGTGGGGGCGGTAAAAATTGTCCAAAAAAAGCGTGACGTCATTTATGGATGACGCCTTAGTTGTTAAATTTGAAAGAAATCGGCTCAGTAAGAGTGACAGAAATTTCGTTCGTAAGTTTGGAGGAAAATGTTTTGCGTGACATAAGAATCACGTTAAATAAAATCTTTTAATAAAAGCTTATTAGCAAACCAACATTGAATTATACATATCTTTTCCCGACCAGTAGTTAAACGAATCGATTGAAAAGAAGCAATTAATGCCCTCCAGCTGCGAGTGTCGAGGTCTCCTATTCCACCAATTTATGCAATACCCTATTTACGTTCACCACGTACCTTTGTTAAGGGCCTTTGTATTTTTATTATCCCATTGAAACCTTGATCTAAAGCGGCACATATAATACACTACGTTGTAGAAAGCGGGAAGTATTCAAGCATGTCTCGATACGTATTCAACACTACTAGACGAACTTCTGATATAGAAAATCCGTAATAGGCCTAGACACGTAAAAGGGAAAAAAGCTCAAGGGAGTTACGAAAATTAAGCATCTACATCTATTCGCAGTTAAAACCAGCCTAGTACAAATATGTTTGTATTGCTCTAGAAGTTTTTATGATTATATTACTCATTCAAGAACACGTGATAATTTTATAGACGTCTGTAGATTATGAATTTATCTGTTTAGAAATGTAGGAACATACATTATCTGAGGCGTAGCGAGGGCGGGACTGGGGAGGGGGGGGGGAGAGGGGCAGGGGTACGGGTGACACCATTTAGAGTGGTTACACCAAGACAAAACATTGCAAAATGTACAGAAGAAAATGCTTTTTCGCCAGTTCCATTAGTAATGAATTCAAATTAAATAGTATTTTAAGTATAAATTAACACTTAATACAAGGAGGTGGAGGTGACACAATGACGTAAACCAGCTAACTTTAGAGAAAACAATGCTGCATCCAACTATGTTATTAACAGACTATAGATGAACATCGTTACTATTATGTTTGCGTATATTTATATATGTGGCATATACTTCAATTGTAGACCTATTTAAGCCGACACACACACACACACATATATATATATATATATATATATATATATATATATATATATATATATATATATATATATATATATATATATATATATATATATATATATATACATACATATATACTTTGCGACGCCACTGTAAACTATATATATATATATATATATATATATATATATATATATATATATATATATATATATATATATATACATTTTATATATATGTATGTATATATATATATATAAATATAAATATATATATATATATATATATATATATATATATATATATATATATATATATATATATATATTTATTTATTTATATTTATATTTGGGAAAGATAATGTATAAAGAAATGACAAGCTAAATACTGGAGTCGATTCAAATGTAAATGTTCTAAGTTGATGCTACAGCGCCTTTTCATTGTGACAAGAATAAACTCCATTAATGATCTAAAGTGCTTTCTTCAAGCCTCAGTGGTTTGGAAGAGGAGCTAAACCCGGAGGTTAAAAATTATCAAGTAAGCCATCTATACACACAAACACACACATCTCTCTCTCACTCTCTCACTCTCTCTCTCTCTCTCTCTCTCTCTCTCTCTCTCTCTCTCTCTATATATATATATATATATATATATATATATATATATATATATATTTATATATATATATATATATATATATATATATATATATATATATATATATATTTATATTTATATATATATATATATATATATATATATATATATATATATATATATATATATATATATATATATATATATATAAATATATTGCTGCTATAATTCGGCCCACTAGGGAAATTTTACCTACGTAATTCCTTTCCGGTCTACTTGTGTTGGCCTGGGTTCACTATGAAATGTGTTATCACAGCGGGTGGGAAAAACTTGCCTAGACATTGGGTTACATATAGGGCAATATAGGCCTAGTAGGTGTAACATTCCAGGACCACAGCTTTAAGGAAGAAAAAAAATCGACAGTCTTTTGAAGAAAAAAATGTTCTCATATCCCCACTAGTTCTACAGCATATTATATGCTATTACATACCTATGTATAGAATATAGCGACCCTTCCCGGGGACAAACTTTCCTTTTGCACCCCCCCCCCCTCAAGTTTTTCTCTATATATTTTACTATTTTTTGCCTTGGTGTCACCCCCCTAAATGGTGTCACCCGGTGCGGTCCGCAACCCCGCCCCCCCCCCCCCTCGCTACGCCTCTGCCAGTGACTGTAGTGCTAACAGGAGTCTTTTTGTCACGCAACATACTTATTTATTCACTGAGTGTTGTTGCTGTTTAGGCACTTCGTTCCCTCATCAAATATTATGGCGCCAAGGTGCTTGAATATGGGAGCAATCGAGAGCTTAACTACTAACCCGAAAGGGTTGAGATCGAATCCAGGTTCAAGTTAGTAGAATGTCCCTGTGTCCCTGGGTACCTAACTCATGTTAGAAAAGCGTAGTGCTGACCAAATTATCCCTTCATATGCCGATGTCTTTGAAACATATGAACTCTTCTTCATCTGCTTGATGTGTCTTGGACACGAAAGGGGAAAATATGATGGGTAAACATCCTTCGATCTTTGCCCATGTATCGATGTATCTGCCTTGTAGAAGTCTGTATTACAGTTTGTGTTTCCAGCGCTTATTTCAATGTCAGAAAACAATCTATCGGGCTCTGTTCATCTTATGTGACAGTTTTTCAACTTTATCTTGTTCTTAGCGAGAACACAGTCCAAGTAGCAATATAAGTTCCATTTTGGAATCTGACGGTCCATGGACAAGTGGTAGTACACTCGTTTCTAACTCGCCAGGTACATTCAACCCGGATTCGAACTCGAGACTTTCGGTTTAGCAGTCCAGCGCTCTACGGACAATACGATTGCAATTTTATTTTTCGCATTGATCTTACTTTTGAAAGACAAATAGGATAATTTCTAATGTCTACCTCCGTCTAGATCTGCAACGGTAGACGCCACCCTTATTAACTCTTTCGTTGGCCGAGCCGGTTTGGGTTAGGTTATGATCGTCATTTTGTGTTCTGTATCGCTTACGATGCGAAAATAAAACCTATCCGCTCAAACAAAAAAAAAATACGTTGTTACTACACCGACTTAGAAGAATGTGCTATAATCCGTCAATTAAAATAAAGATTTAAATATGAATAGAAATAACAGGCTTACAATACACCATTGAAATAACCGTTTTAGAACATTCCGTGTAGAAGAGTTATAGATATACAAGCAATATAAAAACCAGTTTGAGTTATTTTTTCTACACCGTTTACTGCTGCTTGCATGGTTGATACAGTTGTTAGGTTAGACATCCCGAGTAGAGTTACGCTAGCTTTGATGGTTGTAAATATGTTTATATTTAGGTTGTATGGGGGAGGGGTGGAGGTTGTAGTGGTCATTAGATACTTCTCTATGTGGCATGAGTGTATTCCGCTCTATGTGGCATACATGTATAGATAAGGATACCTTCAAGCAACCCGTTCTTGCACTAAACTCATTCTATTAACCTCATAAATAATATATCTTTATGACGCGAGAATCATAAAGCATTTTTTCCCCGGATTGTTTAGTAATTATTTTTTAAAAGTTATACTTTTGCAAAGCGCGCCTTGCTATTCAGATTTTTTTTTTTTTATAAAATACAATATAATCAGTTCAAGGAGGTCGTCCGTGAATGACGTCACGCATTTTAACGGTGTGTACCCTCCATCCCTCTACATCGTAACATCCTCACAAACTGACAGACCCGCCCTCCGCTAACATGACGTAGCACTTCAGCCATAAACTTTTCGCCCAATAGCAACTATTTTTTTTACATTGATTTCTTTCTTCAATAACCATTGAGCTGGGTCTAAATTGGATTATTTTTTTGTGTATTAATTATAAAAAAAAGTACATATACATAATACCTGAAATATTCAGTTTAAAGCATTTTAAATTACACTTCCTGGATATAATTACCGTCGACGGATATCTAATCTGAAGTCGACCTCCCCCCCCCCCTGTAGTATGATACATTCGTAATGGAATAACGCACCCTTAGAAAATACATCAGTGTTATTTCTATAACGTAGCTGACAGGAACCAAAGCAGAATATTTTCTACTTAACCCTACAAAATGCCTGGCGCATAGCTGCTATATCAGATAAGGGATTTTGATTGATCGCTGCTTTTGTGTAAAAAAAAATAGGATGACTCGTGATATCATTCACATACGGTTGAGAGAATGTTTAAAGAAACAATTCAAACTGAGTTTCTTTAACAGATCTTATTTGTATTAGAAAAAGGAGGTAGCTTAGTTATTTGGTAGTTGTGGTTTTTTTAAAAATAGTTTTGACATGTTGGGGACTGTACAGAGGCGTCGAGAGGCGGGGGTGGGGAGCGGACCGCACCGGGTGACACCATTTAGGAGGGGGGGGGGGTAGCACCAAGACAAAATAAAATATATAGAAGAAATTGCTTTATGTGTGTGTGTGTGGTGTGTGTGTCGACCTTAATAGGCCTATAATACCCTGCCTTTTTGCAATAATTGTTAATTTGTATTTAAAAAGAGTATTTAACCGTCACTAATGGATGTGAAAAAAAGTGATTTTTCTTCTGTAATTTTTGCAACTTTTTTTACCTGGTGTCATCCCCTCTAAATGGTGTCACCCGTTGCGGTCCGCACCCCCCGCCCCGCCCTCGCTACGCCTCTGGTCAGAGGCATATCATTTTGCTTTTGTATGTAATTACAGATATCTAAGTCCCAACAAAGAGAGGATGTCTTCATTTAACGTTTACGTAATAATTCTACTGAGTATTGTCAGCTTCTCTATTGGAAACGTAGGTAATATATCAATCAATTTATTTTTCTGGGCATTTTATAGTTCATTTCTGCACTCGTGTCTAAAAGACAACACCAGGAGTCACGCTGGTTTGCGTACAGTGTTTCTTCCAGACTTTTTTCTCCGGGGGGGGGGGGGGGGCAATTGAAATTTTCGGTGGGAAGTAGACTTTCTTCGGGGGGGGGGGGACACTGTTAAAAGTATAAATTTTCTATATAAATTTCATTTCGTTCGGGGGGTCGGCGGTAGACTTTCTTCGGGAGGGTGGGAGGGGGGGGGGGGCTCCGCCCCCCAGAAAAAATGCCTGGAAGAAACTCTTTGCGCACATTATGTTCGTACCTCCAATAGGTTAAGAACAACTTGACTAGAGTTAAGTGCTAGACCCAGAAGAGTTCAACTTTCGTAACATAAATAATAATATTATATGGATTGGAGTTGACGATCTTGACTTTCACGTGTGTCTGTCATTTAGATAACCAAAGTAATGAAATAAACTCGAGAACAAGCCGTGCTGGGCCCTCAGAAAGCGGTAAAGAATTCCACATACAGCCAGGGAATGAAACAAAAAGACAGCCACTATGGGCTGAAGATGATACAAAAGCAGCTGGTGAGGAACATTTTATGGCCCGCTTAGCTCGGTACATAGTACATAGATCTAGAAGATAAACTATAAATAAAAATCTAGATCTAGACAATACTATATATCTATTCTAAATCTACTTTCGGCTCTATAGTGAGTCAATAACTTATTAAGAAACACAATGTTACCTCAAAATGTGTAGTTTTTTTCTCTGTAAATTTTGCAGTTAGTGTCATCCCCCCACCCCTCCCCACATTAAACCTAATTAGTCATATAGACCCACAAAGATTTGTAATAGACTTGTTGCATTGATTTTATTAAAATTATTTTTGAAGAGTTGTTAGAAAAAGTCCAACATTATAGGCCTAGACCACAAAAGAATGAAATAGATAATATAATGGAAGCTGAGGAACTGTATGCAGTGACAACAGGTAATGTATAAACAAGAAAGTGGTTGCAGTTCATATTGTTACTGTTAGTGAAATATTTTAATGCCAATGTAGTATAACTGCTAGATTTGTTTTATCTTAGTTATAGTAATATAGCCTTTTCAATTGTAGAAGTATCTAATACTATAACATAATATCTATACTAAGCTATTGGTTTTTTCTTTGCTTTTTAGTATTAAACACATTATCCATTGTATTTTAAAAAATATAATCAGCTTATCTGTGATATGATCAGATGTGAAATGTTTCTCCCATATTCAGAAAATAAAACATCTCTATTAAATAAGACATTACTTTCTACCCATACAGTCAACATGAAGAAACAAACTGAAAGTAAGAAAATCTCTAGTTATGTTTCTCTTATATTACTAAATCATATTGATGCATTGGCTGGAATTAAAACACATTGGATTATTTATCATTAATGTTTTTGAGATTATTTTATATCAATTTTTGTTTTATTTAGGCCTACATGAAATAGGCTATATGAGTTTTCATTTGCTTAGCTTTTCAATTAGATATTAAAAATGTCTCTTTTTTTTGTTGTTGCTAACTCAGATCTTAAAAATCTATCAGATAAGATAAGAAATATTTTATTTTGCTCATCTTAGAGCCTAAAGCCACAAGTTTAGCTCCAAGTATTTCTATGAACATAAATACACCAGTTACTGAAATTGATGAAATTCCAAAAAAAGATGCTAAAAGACTCTCATGGGCAGAGCAAGAGGAGTATAAATCTGCTGAGGAAATATTTGAGGATCCTAATCCACATAGTAAGTTATTGCAAGTACATTGTATGTTGTAATCGAAACAGCATTACATGATATATTGAAGGCTATGCAATGTGATTTAAGTGGCATCATTTGAAGAAAATTTAGCCAACTAGTTGGTGAGTAAAACTACTAATATAAATAAATATGCCTCATTTATAAGCAAAGTAATGCAGCAGTGCCCAACAATTGCTAGTCAGCAATTAAAAATAAGCAAGTGAGAAACATTAGAACAGTATTATTCCTTCAGTCAATTTTTAAAAAATATTTTTAATAACAGTGGATAAATTTATACATTTAACAATGAGTTTAAGAATTGTAGATACATTTTAGTATCCATGCATTATTACTGCCATGTTTGATCATACAATATTAAGCAATTCAAGTGACAATTTGAGCTATTCTGATATAATATGATAATTGTAAGCCTACTGGATTAAGAGCTTTAATCTTGTTCTTCATTCTTAATTGTAATTTTAGATGGGGTTTCCTCTAATACAATAAGAATTATGTGTCAACCTGTTATGCACCATAACATGCATTATGCATGTTTTAGCCTGCTATTCTTTTCGGATTTGCTTTCTCAATCCCAGAACAAACTTCAAGTCAGCAGTTGTTTGATTCTGAACTAGGGTCTTGAACTTAGGACCTTTTTGTTTATCAACCATCATGTTACCAACCCAACCACGCTGACCCCTCTGAACTTTAATAAGTTTATATTTTCTTTTATATTTCTTCTTCAATTTTTAAAATTGTGTTTAATCAACAGTACTTAAAAGTAAAAAATTATTAATTATATTTTTTTTCAGATACTTCAAGTAACAAGGCTCATACAACTTTAAAGCCAACCAATAATAGTTCTACTGCTCCAATGTTTCATAACTTTACACAGACTACAGCATCCCTGCCCAACTCTTTAATTGAAAGCAATGCCTTACAAGTTACACCAAAAACCAATTTTATGGAAACAATAGAAAATCCATTTGTGGTTCCATTTTGGAACGACAGAAAAAAGTATGTAAGAGATCAGAAAATACAGCATAGGATGAAGAGAAGTGTAGAAAGAGTTGATTTAGATGATGCATCCAAATCCAGTAGTGAGACTGGTGGTATTTCTGAGGAATATTTGCTGTTTGAAGAAGATAGATCGCACCTCATGAAAAGATCACTCAAAGATTATGTATCAGGGGACTTAATAGGTAAAATTTAACCTAATCTTTTAATATTAAACATTTTATTTATTTTTTCAAAGTCAATATTTTTTAAAATAAATAACTTTTATAGCATTTTTCTTAAAGTTTGATAATAAATAGCGGTTTATAATTGTTATTGCAATACTTAATTATTGTATGTATAACTAGAACTGTAGACCTACTGAGTATATAAAAAATGTATTTGCTTCATAATTGTACTTATAAAATCTATCTTAAATTCCATTATGACTGCTTTTGTTTCAAGAATAATGCTTGAAATAATTCTTATACTTTTTTATAACAAGTGCGAGGTGAGATAAAAACTACACCAGTTGTGATGAGCAGTTCCTATAATACCTTAAAAAAAACAATCAATGATGATGTAAGTAAACTAAAATAAACTAATTTATCATTATTAATTAAATAGAAAAAAATCTAATCAGAAGAAATAAATGTTTGAATTATTCTGCTAGCTGCTGCTTTCTGATTGAAAATTCTATGACAAAAAAAAATATATTATAATATATATATATATATATATATATATATATATATATATATATATATATATATATATATATATATATATATATATTATTAATTATATTAATTAAAGCAATGAAATAATTAAAAGCAATTTCAATTATTTATAGAATAAATTGCTCAATATTGAATTAAATATTGATGGTTTGGGCTCAACATTTGCTGTAGTGATTTGAAACCTTGTTTTTACTTTTCATCTTTCAAATAATGTTAACTTATTTAAATTGTCAACAGCTGGTTCTTAAACTGGAAACCTTTCTAAATAAAAATAAAGATGGCACGTTTAGTAAATTCACATTTTTAATTTTGAACATTAGGTAAGCATATGGAGACTTATTTTACAGTAAAAATGGCATCAATTTATAAATTCATACACACAGGTTTATCTTGCTTCAAGGTAGTTCATTAACTGTAAATGTTTAAAGTTTGACTTATAAGTTACAAGAAGTTTGTATTATTTTGGGTTATAAATTCAGACTTACTTGCCTAAAGCTCCATTTATTCTAATAATAAAGGTGCAGTAGCATGTTCTTGTTATAAATTATTAAATGAAGCAACTTAAAAGTGTGTTATATTTTACATTTATATTTTATATTCCATTGCTTGCAAGAAAAGTATGCATGAAATAAATAACTATTCAAGTACAAAATTAAAATTATAGAACAATAACTAAACAGCTTTGCAGTAAAGAATTTGTTTTATTCTTTGTTAGCTCAGACAGTAACTACAATACTGTTCCATTTGAAGTCCACTTGACGGACTCAGATACCTTCTATGGAGCACAAGATGACTCACAAATCCGCAGAGATCTAGCTGAAGTCTTGTTGTCAATTCATCAAGTGGGTACATACTACATCAACATCTCACTAATAGAAGACATGAGCAATAAAATGGGTAAGTACATTTAACTTTGGTATTTTATTATAAACATGTTATGGGATATGAGATGGCATGGTTGTATGGTGGAACATGTGACTACTAACCTCAAGAGGCTTAGGTTTGGGTCCCAGGCCTGAAACTGCAGAATGTCCCTGAGTCCACTCAACTTTGATGTGTACCTAAATTACGTTAAGAGATGCTGTTGTATAGCTGTATATGAGGGGAGGGTTTTATTAACTGTTATATTATATATATATATATATATATATATATATATATATATATATATACACAATACACTGTAAAGTGTACTCTATATAATGGTTAGGGGATCAACCCTTCTGATGAGCTTGGCAGAAGCTCTAGTGGAATGAATAATAATGAACACACATCCAATTAACATGTTACCAACATGTAAATTAAGAGTTTCTTTATTTACACATGTCAACTCCTACACCTAACTCTACAGTACTATACACTACTTCTACTATCTTAACTATACCCTAATCTCCAAGTCCAACTCAACTATCTTAAACTAGAAAAGTGTCAAAGGATATTGTATATGGTCTATGATTGACTGGGAGTTGAAAGAAGCAATGAGGAAGAATGTCTTATACTAACTAAGTCAATGTTGCTAGCATATCAAATCTGTCAAATGTTGACTCTTATAGAATCATTAAGTAGATCATCTCTCATAACACATTGTTAGGGTGATGGATAAAATGTGTAAGGGTCTAAGATTGTTAGTGAAATATTTAACTCTTTTTATGGAAGAAAATTGTAATAAACTGTTTGACATTTGTTTGTTTCAGTACCAAGCATTTGTATATTATGTGAATCATATGAGACCTGCATTAATGTAACTAGCAATAATTGGGAATGCAGGTGAGCAAAGAAAAAATACCTGTTTAGTTATATAAGACCTGCATTGAAATAACTAGCAATTAATGGGAATGTAGATGAGCAAACAAAAAGCTTGTTTAAATAGCAGGCTCTAGGCAATTTCTATAATTCACATACATTAATGGTAGAATAATCTAAATAAAAGCTTTTTGTTCATGTGTGTGTCTGCATGTGCATGCATTTGTGGTGTGTGTCTATGTGAGAAAATACATTTTTTTTTCCTTTTTTTTTCTCAGCTTGGCAGAACAAAGTGAGTGCATTAATCGGTTTGAATAAGAGATCAAGTTTTAGACTGCAAGGAATGTTAGATTTCTAGCACGCACTCAGCGGATATATAATTATACACAATTAAATAGACTTAAAATATAAATAAATTTAATAGACTGTATATGGGCATAATTGTAAAATATGTATTGAAAAAATTGTTAAGAGTGTATTAAATGAAAAAATACAAATACTCTGTTACAGTGCATTTGCATATTAAAAAAATAATATTTTAGCTCTATCAACATAAGACATTCATCTTTTCAGGAACTTACCCCTATGGTATTCTACACATGGATAATCATCTTTCTAGAAATAATGAATTTGCCACTCAAAAACTCTACATTGAGGATTACATTCCTTTTCAACAAACATTACATAATGAAATATGGGTAAGTTAGTGGATTTCAAGTTTATATGATGTAACTGTACATAATCTAATATAACAATAGAATTATATTACTTATTCAATTTTTATTTAAAAACCTGTTTTAAAAATTGTTAATGAAACTGTACAACAATAGGGCTTAGTCTATATTTAATTCTGAACTAATATATTTGTAATCTATATTTTGGTTAAACCTACATATAATATATGAATGTAATATGTCTTAAAACTACATATACAAACATATTTAATGTTTTTGTATCTGTTAAGAATGGAACTTGTACTTACCACTGTTAATTTTTAATATATATTTAGCTTAAATAAGCCATACCATACAACTTTTGCAGATATCAGTGAATGGCATAATCAGCTTTGGTGAAGAGTTTGCAAGCTTCTCACCTCAACGTCTACCAGTAATGGACAGCAGCAATAAAACTTACAGGCACTTGCTGGCTCCATACTGGACTGATTTGGATCTTGTTGAGGGAGATGAAGGGAATGTCTTTTATCATGTAAGTATTTACCTTAGGATATAGTATTTCCTCACTTATTCCAGAGTACATTTTCTTCTGTACTTGAGGAAACAACAAATCTCATTATTTTACATTCTTGCACATTAATTCATTTATTTTAATCAAGTACAAGCTTATTTATACTAAATTAATGTACTTTGTCCATTTTTATTTTCAGATGTATGATTGTAAAAAAAGTGATATTTGTATTAGAGCTAATGATGATGTTCATAAATATGCTAATATTTCATTGTACAATGCCACCACTGTTATTGTTATCACATGGGTCAAAGTTCCTGCCCATGGAAATTCAAATGAGGTTTGATATTTTTCTTTCTTTTGTATTTACAAAACAAATAGTTTTTATATACAACAGCTACTATCCCATAAATAAAAAATATTGCTAAATATAAAGTTGAAGTATAAGCATAATGACAGCATTGTTTATTTAATGTACCTTTAAATATTGATATCTGTATCTATTCTTTTTTAAATGTGTTAAAATGCAATTTTATTTAATAGCACAATGGTTTATTTTATATGTTGTTTCTTTGTTTCAGCGGGTTTCATTTCAGTGTGCAATAATTTCCAATAGCTACACAACATATGCTATATATTTTTATATGCAAGGTGCAATGCAGCTCAAACCTGCATCAGCAAGGAATGTGGAAGCAGGATGGGGAAGTATTAATTTGGACAGCTCCAAATCAGCTTACTATGTTTTTGATACAGTCATGGGCAACACAGGCAAGATTACTATTTTTTAAAATTAAAAAGGTTTTATTTCTTATTATTCACTGTTTACCTGTATTCATTTTTTAAAAACCATTATGCTATCCCACAAAAATTTATATCCGATAAAAATTTATGGTTAATGTAAACCAGTATATTTTATTATTATTTTATACTAAACTTGAAAAAACTAAAAAAAAAAATTGCATAAGGCGTTAAATCTTTTATTTTAGGAAATGTTAGTGTGTGGTTTTTTAAAGTGGGAGAACAAGAGAACTACAATATGAAATGCAAATCTTGGTACTTGTCAACACCCATCAATGAAGTTATTGGTATGTAATAGTTTTTGGAAGACTTCATGAAAGCTACTAATTTAAGTCATCATAACAATTAATTATCATATATAAATAAACAACCAACAAACTAAACATTTCTAGACTGTTTAATTAAACATTACAATTTTTGTAACATTTCTGTTTCACAGCTATTGATAAAAATAATTTAAATCTGCCTGCCTGCCCTTGTAATGAGTTAGCAGCAAGAAATAGCCCAATTTGGATCACATATAGTTCTGCTCAACAAGATGGCCACTGTTATGATTTGTTGCCAAATTATGGGGAATTTGGACGGGTGAGTCACTTATCTTCTCATGTAAATCAATATCATATTTTTTATCAATACTAGATTACTTGTATGTTGTCATTCAGTATTTTAATATGCATTATGTAAATGATAAATAGTAATAATTATAAAATTAACTGTAGTTTAAAAAGAAAAGTGTTATAAACATAGAGTCAAAATAAAATTATATCAGAGTATTATAACCTGTGAAAGAGATGTATACTATTAAACTTAATAACATTATAAGTTTTGAACTTACAGAGATGTTGTTATCGTTTGAGTGGAATTTACATCTTTGAGACAACAAAACCACAGGCAGGAAGTCTTCAGAGATATAATGCTTTTGATTCTTTCATGTTCAAGTCGAAATCTCACCAAATTAATGATCTAGATCCAAAACAATGGTGCTGTAGCCAGTCAAATCTGTGTGAACTCTACTACAAGTTGAGACCTGCTGGTTCATGCATTGCAAGCAACTGGGTTAGAGGTAAAGTGTAAGAATTGAAAACTTGTAGTTTATTAAAGGAAAATGATGTTTAAGTAAAAATGGAGAACTTGAAATTTAATAAGGAAAAATTATGTTTTAAAAAATTAATTGAAAACTAACTTAAATAACAAATTTTACATACATAATCCAAGTTAATTTACATGTCTTTAACACATGCTTTGCTTATACTAAAAGTTATCCTTTTTACCATTACGAGCTGACCCACAGCGTAGCATACGCCACTATTTAGTTGTTTTATTTTCTACTTTTTAGTACTTAATAGTGAATTTGACACTACCCTCCCTTCCATCTCCCCCCCTCCCCCACCACTGTGAAAGTAGCCGTCCTTGATGACAGTTTATGGACAACAATGAAAAAATCAAGCAGATTTCTTACCTCTCCTTAGTTTCACATAGTTTAAAAGCTAAATTATCTGCCCCTAATAGCCGTTACTAATTTGACCAGGCTCTGCGATTGTAAACATTTGGGGTGAACCTTAGCTCACCAGTAGGTGGGGTGGTAACTACATGCCTTGAGAGCACGGGAGTAATGGCGTGCATTTACATTGTGTCTCGCTTGGTCCCCATGAAGAGAATTATATATATAGATTTTTATTACAACCTACAAAATAATCTCTAATATAAGGTTTAATAAACATTGAACCAAAATTTTTTTTTAAATTCTAAATGCTTAAAGTTATGTAATACCTATAGATTTCCAAAATTATTTTTAATAGCTTTTTTTTGCAATGGTGTTGTTCTTTGTAAAACTAGTTTAAGAAATATTTCAGGATTTTTATTTGGAGACCCACACATTGTAACGTTGGACCAGAAACCATACATTTTTAATGGGCTTGGAGAATATAAAATATTGGAGATAAAAAGTAACACAAATGTTGCCAATTTTATAATGCAGGTAAAAATGTTCTTAAATAATTCAATAGTGTTGTATTAAAATGTATTCTCGGGCTTGATGAATGTAAAATGCTATCTTCTGATTATTGATCTTGATTGTTAGAATGAATAGTTTCCATGTATTTTTAAAAATTAATTAAAAAAATATTTTGTATCACTGGTCAAACAAACATATTGTATCCAATATTAGGGTCGCACTTGCAAAGCAATAAACAACAACGGAACAGAAATAAATGCTACTGCCTGGTGTGCCTTTGCTGTCAAGAATGGAAATAATAATATTTTAAGAGTAGAAATCAGTTCATCAGGAAAGAGTATGTTTTTTTCTAACTTCTCATACTTGATCTCCACCGTGTTATAATATCATAACTGCATAGTTCTTGTATAATTCATAAATTTAGTTGAAGGTCTTACTATCTTTTTGAGAATCCATGTTTACTTTAGTTTTGATTATTTTTCATTAGTTTATTGAATTTGTTGCCTTTATTAAAGGCATTTGAATTTAAAGGAATACATAAGATTCTATTTATTTTGTGCAACACATTACATATTCAACAATATTGATTTTGATTTTTATATTTTGTTACAAATGCATGCTGATTTGAAAAACATTATTTTGATTGTTTCAGTCATGATTATATATGCCAGTTATGAGAATAAATCTCGAGACTATTCGGCACAATATCAAGAACCTGATTTTATTGCTATAGAAAATGGAATGGTTTTAAGAAAACAAAATAATTCTTTAGAAGTTGCTTTTCCTGATAGTAAGCAATTGTATCTATAATATTTAATGATTATGTTTTTAAGTAGATATGTAAGGCCTATATATAAAGAGATAAGTATGATTTAAAATGTTTTAATGATTTTAATCTTCTTTGTCGTAGGTATTGGGTTGTCAGTTTCCCTGAATTTAGGAATGCTTGAATTTTCTGTAACCTTGGATAAAAAATATCAAAATTCAACAAGAGGACTCTTAGGCAACTTCAATAACATCCAAACAGATGATTTTATTTGCCAAAATGGCACTAGACTTCCAGATAATTCTACAGAAAGAGTATTGTACCAGTTTGGGCAATCATGTAAGATATATTTTAAAACTATACATTAAAAACAAAATTGTAATTAATTATTTATCTTTATATAATTTTATTAACAATAAATATTTTGCACTATCCTTTCAGGGGCTATAACTCAAAATGAGAGCTTATTTTTATACGGCTATGGACAAAATACTTTCACCTTTTCTGACCCAAGCTTTATTCCTATGTTTTTCGATGAACAAAGTACTGAAGCTAAATCAGCTGCTGAAGCAGCTTGTGGGGCTTATAATATTCCTTGTCTGTTTGACTTTATTGCCACAAGAAATCAGGAGATTGCCAAAAAAAGTTTAAATTCTGCAGATACATTTAAAAATGAGTCCACTAGTACAGGTAAATAAAAGTTTAAAATGAATACCAGTTCACTTGATTGTGATAAAATGTTTAATTTATTTATATATTATAAAAGTATTATGTTAAAATTAATATTTACATACATATATAGGGGATGCAGAAAAAAAACCTATTTGCAACACAATATCTTGTTATGCATCAAACTGTTATCTATACTTTATCTATACTATAATATCAAGTAATGCATTAATTACTGCAGTTTTTTCTATAGTATCTTCATTAATACAAAAATATTTTAATTTTAAGCAATTAAGTATTTCTTTAAAAACAAGATTACCATATTTCATTTCATTGGATTTTAAAAATGAGTAAAAGCCTGTACTATCACTCTTAAAATGCATGGCGTCTGCATTTTAATGGGGTCAGCATGGATGACTCAGTAAAGCTCGTGGTTGATACACCGAAAAGTCTCGAGTGCAAACCCCCGGTTAGATGAGGCTCGATAGCTGAAGACAGAGACTCTTCTAGTAGAGACAACTCCAAAATCAAACAACTGCTGCCTCTTAGTTTGTTCTTGGGTGGACAAAATTGGTGGAAACAAATCCAAACAGAAAAGCAGTCTGAAATTAGAGTCAACTACCTATATGTCACATCAAATTGACACATAATACTTTCTTGTGTTGGAGTAAATCTAGATCAACATTACAATTTTAAGAACAAAGAAGAAGAAGAAGGCATTGTTAACTTTATAACATTTAATTATTTATGTATTTATATACTTATTTGATTATGTGTATCTGTTTACAGCGAATCAAGCTCCGACAGTGACACTTATCACACAACAGATCAGAATAATATACAATCAGTCTTTTAGCATAACTATAAATGGTTCTGATATTGATGGGCAGATAGCAGAGTTTAAAGTTTTTTCTGATGTTAGTTACAAAGAAAAACAAAGATACACTAGGGAAGCAGCATTGAGTACTTTAACAACTTTTGAGTTTTTCGCAAATACTATGGGGCTGATACAAATAGGGTAAGAATATAGGATGGTGAATTAACTGGAGAAAAAATTGATGAATTTAAAAATTAAAATAAAATAAAATAAATTTTAGTTGTTTTTCTTAATTTCTTTTTGAATATAGTTTAAAAAAGCTAGAGTTTAACTGTTGCTTTGTTTACAATACAGTAATGTTAAAATAAGAGCAGTACAATAATGTTATAGAAAATTATTTTTAAACAGATTTTCTGGAGTTGATGATAAAAGCTTATGTTCAGAAGTAGCTCAAGTTAACATCACTTGCTGCACAAATTGCAATTTTAATGGAAAGTGCTTAGAAAATGTTCTAAGAAAAACTAACAATCCATATTTTAGTTATGAAGTTTGCAATTGTGATCTTGGATACACAGGTATATAAATTGAATGATTATTATGATTATTATTATTTTAAAATTACAGTATACTTAGATAGTTCTTAATTAATAATTCATTTTTAATAAGAGCCCTGTTGAAAGATAAATTATCTGCATAGAATTTTTGAAATAGGTCTACTCTTGAAACTTGGGAATTAAACAACAAACCAGCGTTCTTAATGTTCTTGATATGATATATTTTTGTAGGTGATTCAGTTTGGATACTTTCTCTGATACATTTTTAATGCTGATTCTCATAAAAGAGAATATTAAATGATCATTTGCTGTTTAATAACATTTCATTTATTTTAAAATAAAAATATATTTTAATATTTTTATTTGATACTATGTTATGTTTCTGGATCTATGTACATTGATGTCTACTTTTAATGAAAACTGTGACATTTAGCCATTTGAAATTTAGGTTAAGGCATGTTTCTCTATTTTCATTATACAGAAACAATTGCCTATTTCATTAAAAATTCATGTATAAATGATAATTTTTTAAGCACATTCTAAAACTCTTCTCTTAAGAACTAATACATAAAAACTTGTAACACAATCAAAAGGTGTTGACTGTGATCAGGATGTTGATGGCTGTGTGGGTAACCCATGCCCTACAGCTTGCATTGATGCACCAGCTAGTCAGCAACAAGTGACTGGAACGGCATACACTTGCACAAACTGCCCAGCTGGATATCTCCTAAATCAAAATAAAACCAAATGTGAAGGTAAAATATGTTGCTGAAGTGGTTTAACATGCATTAATTGTTATATATTGTGAATGGGGGATAAAAATAAAATTCACAAAAACAAACGCAATTTTATTTCTAAATAATGTCCTTAACATATTCTTGGGTTATGAATGATGTTTTGTAATGGATATTTGTGTTGGAGGTTGATAGTTGTAATGGATTTTTAAAAATTAAAATATCAGTTGATATTTATCCTAAATTTTAAAGCTAGCTTAACAAGCCATCTCAAATCTGGTAAAAACCTTGAATTGTAAAATGTCCCCTGTTTCATTTATAAGTCTGGTAAATTTATGCCACTGACCATACAATGTCAAGCAGTACTGTGACCACAAACACCATTAATCACAACTTCCTGATCCTGTAAGACACCAACCATCACATATCTAATTCATTAGCTTCAAACATGGGATTGATTTAGTGGTGTTTTACCTGAGTCAAAGCATGGACACTTCTAAAATAGGTCATTAAATATTCCATTGATCCTTAAAGCGCCCCAAGCCACTGTTACATAACTTATAACATGTAAGGCCAAGTGGTGCATGCTTTAAGAGTTAAAAAAAATTCAATTTACTTCTACAGATGTTGATGAGTGTAAAAATATATCCAGTTGTGATAGTAACATGTCTGTCTGTGAAAATGTAATCGGAAGCTTCAAATGTAACTGCAAACCAGGTTACAGAAACTTCAATGCAACTAGATGTCTAGGTAAGCAATCATATATTTGTTCTATCAATTTTATTTAGAACTTTATCTCCTTAAAAATATCCTAGTGATATTTATAACTTTCTTATGTAATTTTACTTTTCCAACTCTGACTGAAAACTGGTATTTTTAAATCTTTATTGCTGTTGACATTTTTACTTTATTCATAAACATCAAGAAACATGTTCTTATGTTAAAAAATCTAACATATTTGTTATTAAATTTGACATGTAAATTAGAGGAAAGTATATGAATTATTCAAAATTAAAGTAAAATTAAAATGTTGGAAATTATGCACAAACAGAATGACATCTCTGATCACAAAAGTATCCGCTTTATTAATGAAAAGTATATGTATAAATAGACAAACAGACAAACCGCACTAATATAGAACCACAAACCAAAACAAAAATAATAGAAATAGAGTCTAATGAATTTATTTTAACAGTACAAATGAAATAATCCTATATGCTTAAGGTTAGGGTTAATACTGTTAAAGATAGGGATAGTTTTAGAAGGTTCAGGGTCAGGTCTAGATTCAGGTTTTCAGGTTTATATTCATTTTCAGAAGTTCAGGTTCAGGTTATGATAGGGTTTAGTTTGAGGTTTGTGTTCAGGTTCATGTTCATGTTGATATTCTAATTAAAGTTCATGTTGAAGTTCTGATTCAAGGTGGGGTTCAGGTGAAGGTTTAAATATTTATAGTGTTTTATTATTTTAAAAAATTCATTTTGAAATTTAAATCTATCTTTCTCATGTTTTTTTAGATATCAATGAATGCACAGAAAGGCTACACAACTGTGATCAAATTTGTGTTAATACTTTAGGCAGTTTCAATTGTACATGTCTGCCTGGTTTTAATAGAAAAAGTGGAAAATGTGAAAGAACTGAGACAGGTTAGCTAAATTTATAATATTTCTTATTGTAAAAATAAAACGTTTTAAATTATTTAAAATAATAAAGTGTTTTTTGGTTGTATAGGAAGCAGGATTTGTTTCTAATTTTGGTAGCGTTATAATATATTAACTTTCTTTGTTTGAATTAAAAATATAGTGAGGTATGATATTTTTGTTGTTAGGACATTGTGACATTAATTTTATTAGTGAATGATTTGTATAATAAAAAACACATAAGACCGTACAGACTATTACATCTATGCTAAGTCATGAAAGTTTGCTATTTCAAAGTAAAAGAGGGACTTATAGTATATTTACAATTTGTTACATTATAAACAATTCTTTCTTGCTGTTTTTTTGTTTACTATAGCGTTTTGAATTCCCATGAAATTTCATTAGAGTGTTCACAATACCTCAGACCTAATTATGCTTAAAGATCATTTAAACAAGTGATCAAATACAATGGAATTTTTTCTCAATCACTTGGTTTTGATTTTTAAAAAATACCCAGAACTGATAAAAAGAAATGTATATTTAGCTTTCCATACATTTAACATTGACTCACCTTTTTACATGGCTTGCTGAATAGAGTAGTTCAACATAGTGTTGTCAGTTATGATGTCATTATGTTTTAACAAACTGAATTTCTCATCCATCAGGTTTTTCCCTCATTTTTAAAACTGCATCAAATTTTCTGAAAAGCGCTCATCATGATAAATTACATAAGTCTTTACTAAACGAACCTTAGGTGTTGACATGATGTATTACAAACACTTAGACAAATGACAGCTGTTTATTTATTTGCTAAAAAAATGTAAATCTAAAAACAATCAATTTGTTTTTAATTAGCTCTTCATTTTATCTATATTTCCTTCAGACCCATGTAAACTAATGAACAAGAATTGCAGCTTCAACTGTAGAAATAGCACTAATGGTCCAGAATGTTTTTGTCCTTCTGGATTCCAACTTAAGAAAACTGATAATGTTTCTTGTGAAGGTAAAATAATGTCAAAAAAAACATCCATAACTTTATTAAACTAATCTTCTCTATCATCAATGTTTAGTAAAAAATTGTTTTTAATATTATATTTAAAAATGAAAATAATATTTTGATGAATATTTATTTAAACCTAAATCTAAATTGAAAATCTATTAACATTTTTTTTATTTTTTCAAACTTTAGATATCGATGAGTGTAAAGAAAACTACTGCTCTCAGATATGTCATAACAGTATTGGAACTTTTAATTGTTCCTGTTTTAATGGGTACAGTTTGAATTCAAATGACAACCGTTCTTGTGATGGTATGTATGGATTGTTATTTTTTTATATATAGAGTCATTTTTTTTAGACATTACTATTTTACTTATTTTTTTTTTATATAATTGGAACTTTGTTTTTAGAGGAACCATTCAGGTTTTTGTTGTAATGTTGAAATTTCTAACTTGTACAAGCATGTGTTGGGAACAAATATGGAGAGAACTGCAAGAGCACTTGTCAGTGTAAAGGACGAGCTATAGGATGTGATAATGTGAAAGGATGCATTTGTCAGAACAACTGGAAAGGGACAGAATGTGATGTTGACGTGAATGAATGTTTAAAGCCTAACATGTGCTTACCTGACCACTATTGTACTAATACAATTGGAAGTTATTCTTGTGATTGCCCAGCCGGGTATGAAGATATTAACGGAACTTGTGTCAGTAAGTCAAATATAATTAGATACATGTTTTCAATGTGTCAGTAAGTCAAATATAATTAGATACATTTTTGCCATAGTCTAAATACAATTTTTTAACATGGAATCAATTTGAGAATATATTGTCATATTTTGTTGCTTTGGCAACATATATTAATTGTCTTTGTCTAAGTAGCTAATACTTATAATTGTGTAGCATAATCCTTAATGTTTTTGAAGTAGATTACACACATAAAGGTCCCAAATTCAGGAGTTTGGTTAGCAAAAACTATATGATTACCCTCTGTCAATCCTTTTTTAATGGGTACTTTAAAGGTTCAGGGGATTATAGATTGCTTCGCATTGAGCTGATAATCATCATTCTTTTCCTGTTTATGACCAAGACACAATTGGCAGATTAAGTAGAGTTCATCTGTTTCAATGACATTAGCATACAGGGGGATATTGTGTTAAGGACTATGCCCAGCCACCAATACTTTCCCTAACGTGAGTCTGGTACCCATCAGAGACGTCCTACAGACACTATACCTGGATCCGAACTCAAGAATTTTAACTTAGTAGTCTAGTACTCTGCCACATGGTCCTGGTGCTAACATTAGTCAGAGAAAAGATGAAGTATGATTTCGTTTCTCAATAGAATGTACTTTCAATAACTTAGTCTGTGTTTATTGAATCAGGAAATTGGTCGTGTTTAATTATGTGAAATTTCCCAATACCTATTCACAGATATTAATGAATGTAGCAATCCTTTGCTGAATAACTGTACTCAATTGTGCTTTGATACATTGGGCTCTTTTGTTTGTGAGTGTGACAATGGCTATACAAAGTTATCTAATGGGACTTGTCAAGGTAAAGTTTTTCTTTATAAGCAAAATGAAATTTTTTTTTTATTTCTGCAGTTGTATTACTCCTAAATTGTAACCGAACAATGTATAAAAGGCCTATGAAGGTGTAATATATATTTTCCTAATTGTATACATTTTGAAAAATCCTGTTGTCCATGTTATGGGATAAAAGTAGGGTTTCTAAAATCAAGATTATGTTTGCTATGGAATAGTGTGCATTTGAAGAATAATCCAGATGTAGTTGGTTTTTGTGTGTTGGTTACATTACTTGTATTGGACTATTAAACCTATAACAGCTGGCTGAGAACAACAGAACATGTCACTTTGACAGTAACTATATCTAATTACTAATTCATCAACAGATGTTAATGAATGTGCAAATGATGCATCTGGCTGCCAACAGATCTGTGTTAATGTTGTAGGCAGCAGCTTCTGTGAATGTGCTGTGGGATACAAACTTGAAGACAACAGGAAAACATGTGTCAAAGAAGGTTATTTTAATAAAATACTTCTAAGAGAAGTTATAAAACATAAATTGTTTGTATACAATGAAAGCAAGCTTTTAAAAACAAATTTACTGTACTTGCAATCAATCGTCCTTAATATTATATTATGATATTATATTATATTATTCCTTTCATTATATGTTAATTGTTATGTTCTGCATTATAATTACAATTTAAATTTTTCAAAATAAATTTGTCAAGTTTTGGATCCCTGCATCAACTTTTACCTAAACTGTTCTTTTGGATGTACTATTGTGGATGATGAAGCTCAGTGTTTTTGTGGAAACGGATATGTACTCAGTACTAATAAGTATGATTGTATTGGTAAGTTTATAAATTATGAAAAAATGCTGAAAGGTAATTCAGCAATTTAAAAAATGGTATTAATATAAGTATGATTTTATTGAAAACTGCATGATTGAGAAAAAAATATCATGATAAAAAAGAGGTATCATTCTTATTCATGCTCCAAGCATACAACTTTAAGTTAAATATGCTGGGTTAAAAATAAATTTGATATTTGTTTATAAACTCTAAGGAATTTCAATGCCTATAAAAATTTTCATATTTTAAACTTTTTGTGTACACATTTTTTCCATTTTTGAAATATATTATAAAAATATCTATGAATGTAATATATATATATATATATATATATATATATATATATATATATATATATATATATATATATATATATATATATATATATATTATTATTATTATTAAAGGATTATAGGTCTATAAAGTATGCTAGTTATTGCATGAGTTTTGTATGAAAAATTGTTCTTTCTTAATTTACTAGGTGATTTTGGTGATTTGATGTATTACCTTGTTCTTATGCTGCATTTAAAATGGTTTTATTTTACTTTTTAATGCTTATGTTAGATGTTGATGAATGTAATGCAAATATAAGCCAATGTTCACAATCTTGTGAAAATGCACCTGGGACTTACAAGTGTTCCTGTCAAATTGGATTCAAATTACAGAATGATAAAACAACTTGCTTACGTAAGCATCTTCTTCTTATTAAAATAATAATAAAGTCACATGCTTTATTTTACCTTTTTATTTTTTAAATTATGAAACTAGAATTTATATTGTTTTTGAAATATAAATGATTTTTTGGTAAGGAAATTAGTCTTCTGTTTTTAATGAATCATTTGATTATCAGATATTTTAAATGTTTCTTTTTTCCTAATCAGTTTATATAATAAAGAATAAATTTATTAACTGGCAATAGCAACAAGTTTTTTAAATTTTCTGATTAGGGAAGAAAATCTAAATTATACAATAGCAATAATATGAATTATTTTACATGATATAAGAATGTGATGGCTACCACTGGGGAGAGAACTGTGCCACAACTTGTAACTGTAGCACCATGGGCACAGAGAGATGTGATAGTATTGAAGGATGTAAATGTAAAAATGGCTGGTCAGGAAAATGGTGTGAGAAGGATCAAGATGAATGCTCGTATTTAAATTTTCCCTGCCCTTCAAATTCTAAGTGTACCAACACGCCTGGTTCATATGACTGTCAGTGCTTTGATGGATTTGTTCAAAATAAAACTAACAACTCGTGCACAGGTATCAAATAGCCTACATAAGAAAGTATCAATTTTAATTAATTAATCAAAAGTGTTAAAAAAACAATAAATTATCCAATGATCTAGTTTTATGAATAGAATGTTGCAAAACCTATTAAAACTATGCAGCATGATGGGTTGTGCAAGTCTAGTATATGGAAAAATCAATTTTAAGACATAGTGTAGTGAAAAAAATGATGCATACAATTTATATACGTGCTACATTCACAAATTTAACCACAGTCTTGTATAATGCTTAAGATGTAAAAAATATAATTATCAACTTTTATTTTCCAGACATAAATGAGTGTGATGGTTTTCCTTGTGATCATATTTGCACAAATACAATTGGTAGCTTTTTATGTTCTTGTGATAAAGGTTTCAAACCAAAAGGAACCAAATGTTATGGTACGTTTAAAAAAGTATAAAACCATATGTTCTGTGTAGACACATTTTTTTGTGTTAAATTTGTATAAACCAATTATGTAATAGATTAAACTTTTAAAATTTTTGAAAATCAAAATATTTTAAAAACAAAATGTTTTTTTGAAAGTTAATTTAATTTATACTATAATTTCAGACATTAACGAATGTGAAGTAAAAGACTTGAATAATTGTGACCAGAAATGTAGAAACACTGAAGGAAGTTTTGCTTGTGAATGTTATGATGGTTATGAACTAAACGATACAACACGAAATACATGTTATTGTAAGAAAAAAAAATTATTTATTTAATTGATATTTTATTTTAGATTTAAGAATTATTATAGTGTTGAAAATAATTTTATGAGTATATTTGCATCAAATTTCTCTGTTAGAATGCTTTGTTTGGCTAATACAACACACACTCTTCTACTCTCTTGCTGAGTGGTTTGATTTATACATTATATAGTCTTCAGTTGAAATACATCTTTTGAGCAGTTTGTTTAATTAGCTTAAATGTGTATATTTATTTATATATGTAAGTATATGTGTAGATCTAAATATAAATATACCTACATAAATATATATATATATATATATATATATATATATATATATATATATATATATATATATATATATATATATATATATATATATATAATTCTATATTTTTTTGTTTAAAACTTTTAAAATTAATAATTGTGTTTGACAGCTTTACCCACCAGTGTAAACTGTACAAATGTGTGTAATCAGCTATGCATAGTTGAAGATAACAAAGCAGTGTGCTCTTGCTTCCAGGGATATTACCTAAATGATACGGATTGTATAGGTGTGTATAGTTTATGTGCTGTTCTTATGTGTTCATTAATTGATAAAAGATTAATATAGATCAATTAATAAATTTAAAACAGAAATAAAGAAAATGGATAATTAATTATAGAATTACAATTAAAACATACTTTCAGTACCATAACAAATCAAATTTCCATTTATTGGTAGACAGTATCACAAATCTACTCTGTTACTATTTCTTGCTGCCTGAAGTATATAGGTGTAGTTTCATAATTTTACTCTGGGATAATAAGGTGTACTATTTTAATTAGTTCTCTTGAAAATTTCCCCTTGAAACTCAAGAATATTTTACTGTTAGTTCCTTAGATGTGTTTTAACACATTTGCTGTACACAAACATACATCTTTCTAATGTAATAAGTGGGGAAATGTAAATATTAAATTTGAACTTAAGTTTAGTAGGTATAAACTTTTCAAATCAGAAAGGAGAGAACTTGCAGTTTGTAATAGAAAGACAGTTTTTAATTGGCCTTCTTTTTTTTTTTAGATATAGATGAATGTGAGAGTAACCCATGTGTTAATGGAAACTGTACCAATAAAAATGGCACATTCTCATGTTCATGCAGAAAAGGGACAAAACTTCTGGAAGACAAACTAACCTGTGAAGGTAAAATACTAATAGTGCACACATTTATTCAGTAGATAAAATTGCTGTTTGCATATAGTTACTGTACTGGGCAAATCACAAAATGACAAAACCTTAAAAGATGTTACACATTTCTTGTAAATTATAATTATATTCCCCACGCTCTCTCCCCGCACACAGTAACCATGCATGAGCATTAACAATCCACATGACCCATACTACCAAGTTGCCATAATAGTAATAAAAAGTAACTTCTTTTAAATCACCTGTCTTTTTAAATACAAAATATATGCTAAATCTTCATCCCTTAATTAGTTCATTGTTTCAAATCTTTTCACATATGTGATGTAACGTATAGATGCTCACAAATTGTTCTTTATAATGATCAGCATATATTTTGTATAACTGACTGGCTACATAAAGATCAGCTTTTTTTCTTTTTTTATTGATTTGGAAACCAGTGACTTTTCTAATATTGTGTGTAGGAAAAATGAAAAATGTAAATGTTATAAAGCTTAAAACAAAGTACCGATGTTAAAAATGGTAATGGTAACTGCAAAATTCTTTAAGATTGGAGTGTATCATTTATTTGTGTTATTACTTAATTGAATAATGTCTAAAAACTAAACATTTCAGAATGTATAAGTGGGAAATATGGCTATGACTGTGCTGCTAACTGTTCCTGTAACACTACCAACACCAAGCCTCAAATCTGTTTTGCTGAGAATGGAACCTGTGATTGTTTAACTGGTTGGACTGGTAGTGACTGCAGTACTGATGTTGATGAATGTAACCAATCAACAAACAGTTGCCCTGCTAACTCCAAATGTGTTAACTCCCCTGGTTCATTCCGATGTGTTTGTGAAGTTGGTTACTTTAAATCAGCTAACTTTTGTTTGTGTAAGTTTTTTCTCTCTTGTATTATGAAATCATTTTTAGTTTATTTTTATGTGTATAATTTAAATTGTTTGTCATTTTATTGTGTATATTGATAATCATCCTTCACGAGCTGCTGATAGTGTTTTAAAACAAAATAATTTCAGTTGAAGCATTGGTAGTGTCGAATTCATAAATTATGAATTACTGAAAATTCGAAAAAAAAAAACTAAATAGCGGTGTATGCAACGTCGCAGGTCGGCTTGTATACTTTATTTTACAATAAATGTATTGATTTTTATTACATAGTAATTTTTTAAATAACACTATTCAATATTAGCAAACACATTTAATGATTTCTTTTTCTCCACAAAGCATGTGAAAACAACCATTATGGTCAAGACTGTAATCAAAAATGCAAGTGTCTACAGTTTGGCATAAACACTGACAGCTGTGATAATGTGAATGGTCAGTGTAGATGTAAACCAGGATGGACTGGCTCTAGCTGTGAAACAGATATAGACGAGTGTTTGAACACCAGCTACTGCCCAGATATACATGAGAGCTGTTTTAATTTAAATGGATCTGTAGAGTGTAGATGTATTGTAGGATACCATAGAATAAACGGCTCTTTGTGTAAAGGTAAGTTCAAAAAAATGTTTTCCTTTTTATAACACAGTATTGTTAGTAATCTTACTGTTGCACTTAGTAAAATATTACAATAATAGCTTGTTATAAGACTAAATAATTTTTTGAAACAAAACTGAATAATGTAATGTGGATTGTACATTACAATTATAAAAAAGCTGAGAGCAGTAATTTGTTTTTCTGGCTTTGTTTGATAAATAATAAGAGGAAATATCATAATTGGCTATAAAAAACAAATCTGATATGTATTTTTACATTTTGATAACTGTATGCATCATGTCTTGTCAGATATTGATGAGTGCCTTGATCCATTAAATCGATGCAACTTTTCCACAACAATATGTAACAATACTGATGGGTCCTACGTGTGTGACTGTAGACCTGGACATATTGACATCAATGATACAGCCACCTGCAAGGGTAACTAGGCTGGCGCAGTTACAAATATTTATCAAATAAGTAGATTCAATCTTAATGAAAGAGCTTTATGTATTAAAGGGACATTCTTACGAAAAATTGTTTTTAATTTCTTTGTTCAACATATACAACACATTTATTTTGATAGTGCAAAATAACATGATAAAGAGGAGAGGAATGTGATGTTAGATAACACCTATTTAAATATAGACCATCAGGTCTTTATATGTTCTTCACATTTTCTTTACCTATTAAATCTACTTAGTTTTTGATGTTATTTATATTGGTATTTTCATTGCAGTGAATTACAAGAAATTTCCTTTGGAGATTGAATTTGATTTTTCACAACAAAATCTTAGTTCATTAATTTTTATAATAACTACAACTGAATCTAAAGACTTACAAAGAAAAATTGCAAGAAGTGTGAGTAGCTGTTCAGCCTTTTTATTATTTTAAAAAAAATAACCTTAAACATACACACAAAAATACAGTTCTAATAGAATTATATTCAATCATTAGCAGTTGTTTTATTTATTTTATTATTTATTTTAATAATGCTAGATTCTTGTTAATAACTATCAGTTTGGTTAATAATTATAAATAATCTATACATGTTATGCTATTTACATTTTAGTGTTGTTATTTTAAAAAATATGTTTCAGCTAACAAAATTTAGTAAAGAAAAGTATGGAGATGCTGTGTTGTCTTTTGAAATATATAATTTAACGTAAGTTTTTAAGTGAATATTAAATTACATATGTGGCAAGGGTGATTGTGCTGGTGATTTATTGTGCTAATATAAGTACATTTAGAAAACATTTTTAAAATATTAATCTTAACCAATTTATCTTATCTATCAATATAGATTAACTTATTTATGAAAAAGAATTTACTATACAAAATAGATTTCAATTTTCTTCACAAACTATAGGCTGGTAGCAATTTCAACTTAAAAACATTAATTTTACCTCTTCTTCTGGAGCAAAATTTAACAAGTAGTAAAAGCTCATCAATTAATTTAGAATTGTTTTCATAAATTAATAATCTTTCATTATATTATTTTAACAAAATTTTAACAGTAATGGTTCAGTCATAGCCCACACAAATCTTCAAATAGATCTGCTGAATACCAATATATCAGATTATGTTGCATCTTCATTTGCTTTTGAGCTATCTAAAGCAAAAAATTTTACTATTGGTGATGATATAGTTACAATCATGGATGTTAAAGTTCAGAATGTTTCAAGTAAGTTTCCTTGTGTTTATTGACAGATGCATTTTAATTTAAATAGTAAACAATTGTATGTAGATGTTCATTACTTTAAGTGTCTTTAATAAATAACATCACACTTCATGAGAGGAAGGGACAATTTATTTATTTTTTCATTTAAATATAAGCAGTTATTTTTTAAAATTAATTTTTGCTGAGATTAGACATTGTATCAAAGACTTTTTGCAAATTGTAATAATAATTGTGCAATTTAACTAATTTTAAGATTCTTTTGATAAAATTAACATCTTGTAAATAGTAATTATTTTTTATATCCAAAAATAAAAATGTAATTGGCGGAGGATAATAAAATGTAATATTTCCCCCATGGAGTGGTCTAGCTTTTTGAGACAATTTTTTTAAATTTGTTACCCCTTAAGTCAAACAAAATTTACTAATTACCCATTTTAGCACACGGCTCATATCCAATATGTGCATGATATTACATGCACTAAGTATAACTAGGCATAACTAAGTATTGACCAAACCTAGGAATAAATAAACGTTTGTTTCTAGCATTAAAATAAAGAAGAAACCTAAAAATAGGCTGTTTTTTTTTTTATTTTACACTCTATCCTGAAACTTTTTAACTCTTTAAAAACCAGCAAGGTCAATCAAAGATCAATGTGAATTGTACCAAAAACTCTCAACATGTCAACCTGGTCAAGTTTGCCAAACCAGTTCAGTGCCTGAATGCACTGTTGTTACTTCAAAGCCTCAAGCAAATGGTAAATTTTAGTAGGCTCATAAGCTATCAACTTAAAAATGACAAAAATGATGCACTTTATTTTCAATTTAATTTTAATCTAATGTTCACTAATAAAAATTGAATCAAGAATGCTGAAGAGAAAACAATGGTGTGTTATTAAAATCTCTTTATGTTTCAGAAAATGATTTAATAATTGGCCTTTCTGTTGGTTTTGGACTCTTTGTGATTCTAGTGATAGCCATAGCAATAATCATAGTACTACACATCAAGAGAAAACGCATGCAAAGAGATCAGTCTAGTGTGCCATCTAATGATCGGTAAGAATTAATAAAATAAAATGTTCTAATGATATGCAAATGAATTTAACTGAATGGGATGGTGTGATTGTATGTTAGAGCACATGATTATTAACCTTAAAGTCTTGAGTTCAAACCTTAGACTAGAATATGTGAATAAAGCTGACCACATTATCCCTTTTAGGCATACATGCTGAGGTTAATAAAATAGATGAACTCTACTTCATCTGTTATATTGACCAGGAGGTCAAAGTGAGTAAAGCAAAGTTCCCTTTTTGAACCTGATGGACAATGGGGGCAAGGGAAGAAGAGTTCAACTGTATCTGTGACTTCATATGAATGGATAGTGTGGTCAGCATTATGCCCAGATCAGATTAAATAGAGAAACTAATATGCCATCTTATTATCCATAAGAATCGATAAGTCAAAATATTAATACAATAAGCAAATTCAGCTTTATATTCTATGCGAGTATGGTTTGATTACTGTTATTTTATTCATTAAAGTGAAAGTATAAGTGAAATACTCTCTAAGAGTATTGCAACAAGGAAACCACTTGGATACCAATCCTTGTACTCCCCCGAGGCTTATCTACAGCCTGGTGGCTACAATCAACAGAGAGAGGGTCAGTATAATTATGCTGGAGTTTTAGATCAATCTGGTTTTTCAAGTGATGAGCCAGGGCCCACAGGCCACTCACACAGAAGAAGGAGCAGAGGAAGTGATTTGGGTGAGTGTTAATTAGCAGTAAACAGTAATGTGCTCTTCTTAATTGGTTTTCTATACTTCATTAATCTTTTACAATTATATCTTCCTCAAACATTTGCTTTTTTTTAGTAAAAGTAATCATAATATTATTGGGAAGAAATGAAATCTTAAAAAGTATTTTTAAAAAACAAAAATAAAAAAATTTAGATATATTGAAATTCTTTTCTTTTATGTGCCTTCCTTAAAATATTTCCCAGTTTTTAAACATTATATTATTTTTAAAATTAAAAAAAAAAACAAATCTCAACTAAAATAGGTTGCTATAAATATATTTTGGTACCAGTGTAAAAATAAGTACTTAAAAGTCAAAATGATCTTTGTAGAAATATTTAAAATGTATTTATTATAAATAAATGTTTTCAAAGGCTCATCCAAATATTTCTTTTATTATTATCGTTATTCCCACATAGGTTTATCAGAAGAAACAGAGCAAGTTCCTGATAGAAGCACATCAAGATTTTCATGGTCTCATATGATCAATCTTTTAGACCAGCATAAAGGGGTAAGTTGTTATACATTTGCTAATGCCATTTTTTTAAAGACAATTTAATGTATACCATTCAATTGAAATTGTGTTTTGAAATTAGTGCTTTTTAATTAGTATATTCAGCCAGCCTATTTTGTAATGTTCTGAATTTTTTCTTTTAGTTTACAATTAAAAGACCAACAATTGACAGCATTCCAGAATTGAGGGTAAGAATACACAATACCATTTCTCTTGCATAAGTATATTTAACCTAGTTTAATGCTACCTTTGAAAATGTGCAAATTATAATAATAATCAAACACAAATTGGATAGTAGGCCTACTTCCGAAGAGCCTGGTACGTCGGACTCCCAAGTCCCCTACATAATAGCATGGGGGAGGAGAGGTGCAAGACTGCCGGGAACCAAGAAGGGTTTGCTCTTGACCCTAACCAGATATCTTGACTTTAAGCTGCGGCCTTCACGAGGCTTTGGAAGAGTGCCACTAGTCGGACCAAGCTCATGACCCCCCCCCCCCCAATGGGTGCGGAATGGCTAGTGGTAGCCAACAGCAGCTAGAGGTTTTTTATCTGGCCGAGTAGAACTGCTGTATGCGCTAGGTTCAAAGAATGGCCGAACGCCCCCCACGATCAAGCTGGGTACCAGGCGGTAGGACGACGTCCCACGTCTGGTGGGTGGGGAAGGAAAGCCCGGTGAGAGCCGACTGATGTAGCGCGCGATGTGTGGGAAACTCTAGTGGTCGGAGTTCGCTACACTGAGGCCTGCCTGGCTAATGGAAGTCAACCTTCTGAGCTGGTTTCCGTATAAGGAAGGAAGGAAGTAGGCCTACTTTGAGGAAAAAATCAAGTATATGAATTTGATGTAAAATATAATCCCTTTTGAGGTTAAATATTTTTTACTGTTTATATACAGAACTGATTTCATATGTGATAAGTGTTTTAATTGTGACTTACTAATCTCGTAAAAAAATATTTTCAGGCTGATTCTCCAAAAGCAGAAAGAAATAAACCCAGCTGAGTTTAAAATGAAATGTGTGTTACTAAATGCAATAAATTAAATAAATGTCAGTAACTGATTGCAGTGTTAAACTAATAAGCTCCATACATGATGCGTAAATTATTAAAATGATGAATACATTGTAAATACAATGAAAATGTGAGTTTGTATACTATTTATGTAAGAAAAAGCTATTATTTATTATACCCATGTTAAGTTATTATCAATCTTTATGTATTAAATATTATTCATATTTTTGTATGTGTTCAGATTAAAAATTACTTTGTACTAATTATATTTTTGATTTAATGTGATTCACATAAATACCATATAATTGATTGTTGTGGTACGTCTGACATTAAAAAGCTCCCTGCTAATGCAAATTTTGCATAAATTTTGCATGTTATGTAGAGTTATAATCTCCTGTAAAAAGTAACCTTTAAGGCCAGATGGTTCATGTTTCAGATGAAGTAGATTTCATATATTTTTACAACAGGTAATCAGAAGGTTGTTCATAATAAAACTGCCTCTTTTATAGTTATTGTTCAACTTTCTTGTTTTTAAATAACCAATGTCTTCTTTTACCAAATTCATTCCAAATATATTTTAATCTAATCATTATTATTTCTTTCATTTTTTTTCTTTTATGTGATACATACATTCTTTTTGCAATATTTTTTATACTTAAAATTGTTTATCACTGTGATTAAATTCATCCATTTAACTAACTTGAATGTAATAAACATATCTTTTCTGCACATTTTTGTACCCCACAATAAACTAAAATTAAGTTATATTTTGAATTTTTGTATCCTAAAATGTTTTCCCCAAGTATCCCCAATATCTTTATGAGATAATTGATTTACGACTGGAGTATACAATGGTAGATGAATGAAGTCTAAAGTTTACAATTAAGGGGCCAAACAAAAACACAATGTAAAGAGTAACAGAATTAGAGAAGAAAAAATGAATTTTCAATTTACATTTTTTTATTGGACTACCTGTATTTTTTTGAGAATGTCGTTATTATGATTAATGCCTCTTTAGTGTTTATCTGGTTTTTGCAGCTTTGCAATATCACGTAATAAACTACACGCACCTTGGATAAACAATACACACAGTTGACCAACAACCCACACAGTTGACCAACAATACACAGTTGACCAACAACACACACAGTTGACCAACAACACACAGTTGACCAACAACACACACAGTTGACCAACAACACACAGTTGACCAACAACACACAGTTGGCCAACAACACAGAGTTGGCCAACAACACACACCGTTGGCCAACAACACACAGTTGACCAACAACACACACAGTTGACCAACAACACACAGTTGACCAACAACACACACAGTTGACAAACAACACACAGTTGACCAACACACAATTGACCAACAACACACACAGTTGACCAACAACACACACAGTTGACCAACACATAATTGACAACCAACACACACAGTTGACAAACAACACACACACATGTGACCAACAACACACACAGTTCACCAACAACACACACAGTTGACCAACAACACACACAGTTCACCAACAACACACACAGTTCACCAACAACACACACATGTGACCAACAACACACACAGTTCACCAACAACACACACAGTTGACCAACAACATACAGTTGACCAACAACACACACAGTTCACCAACAACACACACAGTTGACCAACAAAACACACAGTTGACCAACAACACACACAGTTGACCAACAACACACAGGTGACCAACAACACACAGTTGACCAACAATACACACAGTTAACCATCAACACACTGTTGAGTAACAACACACACATGTGACCAACAACACACACAGTTCACCAACAACACACACAGTTGACCAACAACATACACAGATGACCAACAACACACACAGAATTGACCAACAACACATACACAGTTGACCAACAACACACACAGTTGACCAACAACACACACAGTTGACCAACAACACACACAATTGACCAACAACACACAGTTGACCAACAACACACACAGTTACCCAACAACACACAGTTGGCCAACAACACACACCGTTGGCCAACAACACACAGTTGACCAACAACACACAGTTGACCAACAACACACACAGTTGACCAACAACACACAGTTGACCAACACACAATTGACCAACAACACACACAGTTGACCAACAACACACACAGTTGACCAACAACACACACAGTTGACCAACACACAATTGACCAACAACACACACAGTTGACAAACAACACACACACATGTGACCAACAACACACACAGTTCACCAACAACACACACAGTTCACCAACAACACACAGTTGACCAACAACACACACAGTTGACCAACAACACACAGTTGACCAACAACACACAGTTGACCAACAACACACACAGTTGACCAACAACACACAGTTGACCAACAACACACAGTTGACCAACAACACACACAGTTGACCAACAACACACACAGTTGACCAACAACACACAGGTGACCAACAACACACAATTGACCAACAATACACACAGTTGGCCAACAACACACACAGTTGACCAACAACACACAGTTGACCAACAACACACACAGGTGACCAACAACATACACAGATGACCAACAACACACACAGAATTGACCAACAACACACACACAGTTGACCAACAACACACAGTTCACCAACAACACACAGTTCACCAACAACACACAGTTGACCAACAATACACAGTTGACCTACAACACACACAGTTGACCAACAACACACAGTTGACCAACAACACACATAGTTGACCAACAACACACATAGTTGACCAACAACACACACAGTTGATTAACCGCTCCATTTTTAAGATGTGTTGGAATTCATCGGAACTACGATAGACATAACATAGAAATAACTTACACAACATAACCAAATAATATTTTAACGGAACACAACAAGACACCAAAGACATACATCCTAGCACTTAAACAAGCAAAACGTGACTACCATAATTTCCCATTCTACATCAGCGACACCACTACTGCCTTTACTGCTTAAAAGCCCTTCACAAATACGTCGTACCCCCTTTCACGTCAATCTCACACTTGATCGGTCCTTCCGAGATCAGCAAACATGCAGGCAGTTTCTTTCACGTTTACCCCCCCCCCCCCCCTTCCCCACCAACTCCCGGGACGAAGTATATAAAATATATAACTTGTATATAAAATATTTGTTTAACTTAACCACTGGCCCACCATCGTCATTCAAGGAAATTTTAAGTGTCACTTTTGAAAAAAGCAGAAGAAATATCTGAAAGAAACCTGCACAATTGATTCATATATATATATATATATATATATATATATATATATATATATATATATATATATATATATATATATATATTTATATTTATTTATTTATTTATTTATTTATTATTATGTATTTATTTATTTATTTATTTATTTATTTATTCATAAGAGCAGGACAATACCGCCCAGTCAATTAATCCACTGACATTACCCCCCAGCAATTACCCCTCCCCCGCCCAGTTACGGTTAGAGCAAGTGTTAGAGTCAAGGCTAGTGTTAGATGTAGGTTTAAAATCGGTGTTAGTATTGATGCTGTGGTTAGGGTCATGCTTCTTCAGGACTGGGTGGGGGGTTTTGACAGGGGGGGGGGGTAATGTCCGGTGTGCAATTGACGGGCGTAATGTCCTAGACCCATATAATATATATATATATATATATATATATATATATATATATATATATATACATTAATATATATATATATATGAATCAATTGTGCAGGTTTCTTTCAGATATTTCTTCTGCTTTTTTCAAAAGTGACACTTAAAATCACGTACCCCTTCAGTAAACCTATTGAGAAACGTTCGGCGACTCGAATTAACTACCCCCTGCAGAAGTAATGCCCCATGTTTTACTAGTACTAGTATACAACGTGTAAAAATAGCTTCCTGGTGTTTTCCCTAACCGTAAAATATCGGTGGGAAAAAAAAGATTACGTTAAAACACGTCGGGTGAATGGCAGGAAAGGTATAGAATAATAATCTTTGAGCGTATTGACTAGAGCGAGGAACACGCGCTATATAAGCAAAGAAATATACTCCCTAAATGTATTACAAGTAGGTTGCTTTCAAGACGTGGGGTATCGTCTAGCGTGTTGGGGATTATTAAGTTCATAGTTGGAGTTATCTACACCCTGTAGTAAGGTATAGTGTTGTGTAGCGTTGACTTGTATAAAGTATGCTTGGTGTAAATTGGTGTATTGATCGTTGAATATTTTTGCGGTTTAATTAATAAAGATAAACACATATTATTTTTTAAAATTAAATAGCTATTCCATTTCTTGAAAAACAAATATTGTGTCGTCTTTAAAAAAAAAAAATCTCGGTGTATATTAAATTATTTTCATCAATATCAGTAGAATTAAATAACTAGTAGTCACGAAGATAACTGTGGTCTATGTTTTTGTTGTATCGCAACTTCTTAATTTAAAATCATCATGTTTGATCATTTCGATTTTTTTTTCAAAGTTAGTTTAATCAAAATAGTTTAGTCCTTAACTCATTTTAATTGTATCCAGTAAATATGAAATACACAAAAATATAAAAACATGTTTACTACACATTAGTTTGAAGAGCTGCTATAAATTTGTGTGGAAATACTTGCGTTTCAGAGTTATTACAACAATTTGATGCTAATTGTAAGCACTTGTAGTACGTTGTTTTGAGCAATTCGTCGGTTGTGGTCGTCGGATAAAACAGGAGATTTTGTGTAAATATACCGAGGTTAAGGCTTTCTGAACGGCATAGTGAAAATTGAATACACAATTTGTGTAGGGCTTTAACGCGTACAAAATACGGATACTCTGGGACTAGGCTGAATTTTTATACATTAACTGTTTACACATGAACAAGAGCGATTTGAATCTGGCTCGTCCGTCTACCGGATTTAAAAAAAAAAAAAAAACGTGTATTTACGTTATAAAAATAAGTAAAACAACGTTAAACTCATATACATCAATTTAAAAAAATGGTTAGCAGTATTCTTATAAGCCCAAAGATTATTACATAAACATTGAAAATGGATTTACAAAAATATTTACATGTCACAAAACAAAACAAAAAAATGTTTAAACCATTCTTTAACAACATTTATTTACAATGTGTAGGCTATACAGGGAGGTAATAAATAGTAAGTGCGTGCTACTGAAAAACTTCAAAGTCGAGCGAGAGTAGGTATTATGGGACCAAAACATTGAAATGAGGAGGGGGGGTTGTGATGGTTCGGGTTGATAGATTTGTGTCTTTACAATTTTTATAGGTTGTGTGATAGTTGAGTATGGGGTAGGAGTGGGTAGACGTGAAGCATATCTGGGTGAGTTCCCACGAACATTGTTTTATATGTACTATTAGTGTTGATTTTTAAAAAGTGTTGATGTTTTACAATTCCTTCATTCCAAGGCGTAAAATTCAGGTTTTGATGGAGAAAAAAAAAGCACAATGAATAATTTCATTCTGGGGTTGCTGGCCCCTTTTAAAATGTCACGAGCCTCTTGGGTGCAACAAGTCAACCCATGCTTAGTGCCACGACTTTTTTTACGTTCCTGCTTTTAACTACATTACGACATGCAGCTCAGGGTGATTGCCCCTTATCTTGCGTATATAACCTGCCCCTGAGACAGTTCACTTCACACCTGAGTTATTGCTTCATATCAAATAAGGGGGATCACTACGTAGCTAGACGTAGGGGGGATCACTCCGTAGCTAGACGTAGGGGGGATCACCCCGTGGCTTGACACAAAAATTGATACAATTGAATAAATTACGCGATTCAACGAGAATGGCTTTAACGATCACTGGCCCCTTCCTTGCCTTTACCCGCCCCCTCTCACACTCAGACTACCTGCGGGTCTGGGTAACGTACGTCTTTGAATTAATAATACTGGATTTTTTTCTTTTGACTTTAGATTTTTTATTTCGATTAAAATTGAAGCAAAACTAAATATAAAACATGTCCTAACCTAGATATCTGGTTATAAAGTAGCTACAAAGACCTAAACGGTCAGTTCCTTACAAACGGTCTAAACGAAAAAAAAAGTGATCATATAGTTTATATTATATTTGGCTCAAAAATTATTACAGCAGTTAAGGCTCACGCGTTTCACCCCCCCCCCCCCTCATCCTCACCACGTCACCAAAGTCAGATCCCAGGTAAATGCAAATGTGTGACATACTTACTGAGCTCCCCCCCCCCCCCTCCTTTTACAGATTATCACAACATTCCGACACCCCCCTGCTCTCCCTAATAATATGACAGGGGGCTGCACTCGAAACACTTCTGATATTCGTACCTAAAATTTCCGGGGGGGGGGGGGGGGGATTGATACTAAGGGTGGAATGTTTGTTGCTTTTCGTTATGATTGTGTTTAATTTAGAGATGGTTATCTGTTTTTTCTCTTAACAAATTAGTTATGATTATAAGTAAATTATGTGTGCAAGTCCGCTAAAATCATTTTTAAACTAAACCAAAAGCCTATGAGTAGGAATGGCTAAGCCTTTACGTGGCCCCCACGTAGAGAATTATATATATAGATGATTACAAGTCCAATAATAATAATAAAATAATAATATTCTACTTCTTTTTAAAAATTGTAAGTTGAACATCGCCAGCCCACACCCACCATTAAATCTTTATACGAGGATTATAAGCACACAGACACCCATATTTATATGCCCCCCCCCCTCCCCCCAGTCGTGCCCCCGAAACAAGACAGCACAAGTGCAACAGATATTTGTCTACTCGTTATTGTCTATTCATGCGTGAAAAGTCTCAGGTTTTTTTTAAATCTACCCCACGTTCGTATGGAGCTCGTATTCGCGATACAAACTTCGACCTAGATATAACCTTTCATACCGTATTATATGTTAGTCGTTTTCTTAACTACAGTCGGCCTTAACTTAAAAAAATTATTTTATATACAAAACTATCTGAAGCTTAGAATGCATTTTGTTTTATCTAACTGGTATAACCTTAAGGAACATAATATATATAAAATAAAAATAAGCCCTATAAGTAAAAGCAATGAGATTTTCAATTTAAAAAAAAAATTAATATTTTTTGTTTTGATTGCGTGCTGGCCTCATAAGACGTGTTTTTATCTTGCAATACAAAGCGACCTGCTATATTGGAACGTGGCTGTGAGAACCCAATAGAAGAGTTTTAGGGCAAAGCTTGCCAATCTTTCCTCATTCCTCTGGCTACGGTTGCTCCTATGTAAAGATCTACATTGAAATATATTTTATTTTCAACTTTGAAACTAAATCAAAACAATTAGTAAATCTAGGCCGTAGATTTTTTTTCACGCCTTTTATCGCAAGTCGACATAGGGCCTATTGGGGTCATCCATAAATGACGTCACGCTTTTCTTGACGATTTTTACCTCCCCCCTGCCCATGTCACACGTCGTCACAAAAAGCCAGACCACCCCCCTAAAATGACGTCACACCTCAGCCTACTACCCCCCTCAAAATTGCTGTTGAATTTCCAAAATGTTGTCAGAACTCTGTCAACATAGAGTATTTTGATCAATTCGTTTTCTAAAACGCGAAATAACGGCTAAAACTCGTTTCTAACATTGCTTTTTTATAATGCAAAAAAGGTTACGTCACACCATTTGAACCCACCCCTCCCCTTCATCACACACCGTCACAAAATTACGGACCCCCTCCCCCCTACGACTGTGACGTCATTTAAGGACGACCCCATTTCTTTTTAGCCCGTTCCCAAATGAAAAAAAAAACCATAAATGGCTTCCGACCTGTATGTTATCGCCCGCTTCACTAGACAAAAAATGAATATAATTTTTTTTTGACAGTCCAACCACTTAAAATACCTGGTGTCAATGCCGTCTCAGCATTGGCTATATAAAAGAATTTGAATAGATGGCTACGATCGGTTTTTGAAAGAGAAATTTCCGCCAGGCTATTTTTAACGTATTTTTAACGTAACCTTTTCCACAGTTATTTATCGCGTTGCTTGTGTTTTCAAATGCATGCATTGACTGTATTCAAAATATGTAAATTATGTTTTTTTTTTTTAATCATGTTCATGCGTGTAGGAATGTGTTTAAAATTAATTCGATCGATAGTGAATAGCCTACTTCTAATGAATGTAATATTTCTTTTGACTGGGTTCCAGACGTCATTTAACAAAAACGTACGCATATTGCCATAACTTACTTATGCTAGATACCCTTATATTGGCAAATTCAATTTAACGCAAATTGCGCTGTAAATGCGATGTTATAAACCGATTGAGCACGCAGATAAAATTAACTGAGGTGGAGACCAACCAAAGCATAAATAAAAACAAACAGGAAGAAAGTATTTTATGAAAAGGGGTTTTATTTTCATGGCGTGAGAATGACAACAGGGGTAGTGGGGGGGGGGGGGGGGGGAGGGGAGGAATGGGTCGAGTGATAAACAGGCTGTATTGATTGATTTTTCTCTTCAACCATTTTCTTTTTAATTTTCTATATTTACCGGAAATAGACAGTAACTACTTATCATAGGGTGTAACAAAAGGGATACTGTACTACTTATCATGAGCTGTCACAAAGATGATACTGTACTAATTATCATGAGGTGTCACAAAGATGATACTGTACTACTTATCATGAGGTGTCACAAAGATGATACTGTACTACTTATATGGGTGTCCTACTTATCATGGGGTGTGACGAAGATGATACTGTACTACTTATGGGGTGTCACAAAGATGATACTGTACTACTTATCATGAGGTGTCACAAAAATGATACGGTACTACTTATCATGAGGTGTCACGAAGATGATACTGTACTACTTATCATGGGGTGTGACAAAGAGGATACTGTACTACTTATCATGGGGTATGGCAAAGAGGATACTGTACTACTTATCATGGGGTATGGCAAAGAGGATACTGTACTACTTATTTTGGGGTGTAACAAAGAGGATACTGTACTACTTATCATGGGGTGTAACAAAGAGGATACTGTACTACTTATTTTGGGGTGTAACAAAGAGGATACTGTACTACTTATCATGGGGTATGGCAAAGAGGATACTGTACTACTTATCATAGTGTGTGACAAAGGATAATGTGACTACTTATCATGGGGTGTCACAAAGAGGAAACTGTACTACGTACTTTGGGGTGGGACAACAAAAATATCGTGACTACGTGTCACGGAATCGATTGATAGCCAGCGTCGACGAAACACGATACCGTTCTGCTAGAAAAGAACCCATGCAGGTCGACGTTTTCATTGCACTCGACATTTCTCGCATCACTGCTGTTTCTTTAATAGCCTTCATGAAAGTTTAATGTCCCCGATTATGTGTTTTTATATCCATGTTTGTTTTATATTTCTATATATGCCATGTTACATATCCGTGATATCCGATGCGTGTCATAATATACAATGCGTGTTAAGTAAACGTTACGCAAAAAAAAAATAATTACAAATAAATATCAGATGATCTGTTGTAACATAACGATTGTATACGATACAAATACAGTAGGCGACACTTTCCAAATTAAAAATCTTTGGCAAATGGATTTCTATCACACAAATTTCATTAAAATGCAGTTTATATAGTTACATTATAATACTAACTTCAAAATAATTTACTTTTTTGATTTTTGGTCATTTTAAAATTGTGAATTGGAGCATCAACCATCCAATGTAAAAACCTCTTTCATCTAATATACAACCCTGTACCATCTAATATACAACCCTCTACCATCCAATGCACAACCATGTACCATTAAAAATACAACTCTCTACCATCCTATAAACACCTATTTACCAACTTGTAGACAACATTCTACCATCCAGTTGACAACCCTCTTCAATTCTGTAGATTTCACTTTAGAAACCTGCCTACCAGGTATATCAAACATGTAGTGCAGATTTCAAGTAACACACAACCAAACTAAAATATATATATAATAATCATTTTATTTTTACACGTGTGAAGCTTCGACATCTTCAATCTTCACTTTGTACAGTTGTTCTTGTAATTACACACGTTCTACCCCATTGAATTATTTTTACATATATATAGGCCTATATATATACATATATATATACATATATATATATATATATATATATATATATATATATATATATATATATATATATATATATATATATATATATATATATATATACATATATATACACACACACACACTATATATATATATATATATATATATATATATATATATATATATATATATATATATATATATATATATATATATATATATATATTGTTACTTCTATAATAAACAGAGTAAGGCGCGGTTTAGATAGGCCTATATTTCTAGACACGAAAATGAAAACACGTTTGTGCTGTAGCATCATAATAACGAAAGATTAAAATCAGCACGACGTCCTCCCCTGAAGATTCGACACAAGATTTGAGAGTCAACCAAGGCGATTAAAAAGGGTGTGGTGCAAAAGTTAACTAAATAAATAAACACGTCAACTTTATGTAAGTTTACATATTACATGTGTATCCGGGAAATGAATGTTTTACTTCCCGATCTCAAAGAAAAAAAGTAGTAGGCCTACACAAATTTTATTTTGCTTACTGCCATGCACACACACAGACACACAGCCACACACACACAATTATTATTTTCATATAGGGGCTTATATATATATATATATATATATATATATATATATATATATATATATATATATATATGTGTGTGTGTGTGTGTGTGTGTGTGTGTGTGTGAACCTACATATGTCTATAATTTAAATATTTGCCTCATACGCGTACGCATATGTGTATACGCTTTAATCACTGAAGACTTAATTGTAACGATGTTTATCGATTGTCAGTTAATTATACAGTTGGGTGTAGCATTGCCTTCTCTACAGTGAGCTCGTTTACGTCATGGTGTCACCTCCACCCTCTTGTAATAATTGTCGATTTGTACTTAAAAACTATTTAACTTTAATTAATCATCAGTGGAAATGGCAAAAAGCATTTTTTCTCTGAACATTTTAGTTTTTTTTGCCATGTTGTCAACCCCCCCCCCCCCCCCCCCCCTGAATGGTGTCACCCGGTGCGGTCCGCAACACCCGCCCTCGCTACGCCTCTGATTTTGAACACATTTAAATAAAACGGCAATATAGAAAATAAAAAAATAAAAAAAGTAAAATGACACCCTAGTCTAGAAACAAGCTATCCTATTATACCTTGCGATCAACTGGGCTAGAGAAAACAATACAATACAAAAGTGACACCTTCAGAAATTTAGAAAAAAAAATAAAAATAAAATAACGCCCAAAGAAAGAGAGATTGGACAAAGGCTAACCCTTAACACAACACCAATCTAATGCAACATAAATGCAAACAAAAACATAAGCTACGACTGTTTACGTGCAATCGTTTGCTGGCGGTTCTATCAATGCCCAGCACATACAGTCAGTTTCTTCCAGACATCTCTTCGGGGAGGGGGGGGTGCTTTACCCTCTCCTCCCAAGAAAGTAAGTCTACCGCACCCACCCAACCCCCCCCCCCCCTCGGACGAAATGGAATTTATATAGAAAATATATACTTTTATTAGTGTCCCCCCCCCCCCCCCACGGGAAAATTTAGTCCGCTTCCCGAAAATATCAAGTAACACACAAGTCTGTAAGAAACACTGCATACAGTTCCTACAATATGCTGTACATGTAAATAATTATCATTAAAAAAGTTTTTAAAAACCCACGTTTTCTGATTGAACTAAAAAGTATAAAATAAATGCTATACATCTCAATAATGCAAGCGATCACTCTATTATAAGCGATGAAAAACGTGGGGCGCCGAAGTAAAAGTTTTTTATCGGTCATTGTTAATATAAGATGTAAAAGTTATATTACTATTGATTAGATAATACTATTGAGTTTTATTAGGGAGCTTGTAGAGAGTCAAAAGTATTAGAAACTGTAAGAAAATCACGGTGCCCCACGTTTTTCATCGCTTATAGTAGAGTGATCGCTTGCATTATTGTGATGTATAGCATTTATTTTATACTTTATAGTTCAATCAGAAAACGTGGGTTTTTAAAAACTTTTTTAATGATAATTATTTTCTACTTTTTAGTCTTTGTCTGTTTGTTTGCATTCAAATCTTGCTATCGATTTTATCTTCTCGCATTCACTTTTTTTTGGGGGGTAAACGAAGACAACTCGTAAAGAACACGTGCCTTTTCCAATCGACGTTTCTTCTGTGTTGCCGTTTCTTTCACCATTTTGCCCTCGCGTGCAAACCATTCGACCATCAACATCCTGATCAGTCAGATTTGCATAGGTTTGTACACAAACACCGCGTGACTACTACTCAGCCAATTGCGTGCTCGCTCCTTCAGTAAGCCACAAGAGGGAAAGTACCTAACCTTGTTTTCATCAAATTACAATTACTAGGTTATGTCCCTTTTTTGTACAAATATATAGGGGTCTAAAATGATCAATAAAATTTTTCCATGGATCAATTTACTAATAATAATAATTGAATATTGTATTGTCATCGGAAACAAAGCTTCCCTGAAAATTTCAGCGCGCTAGCTAACTGGGAAGTGCCCGAAATTTCGCTCGCAAAGCAAGTTAAAGAAAACGTGGGAAAAAAAAACATTCAGTGAATATAAAACTTACTATTCTTCTTTATGTTTATTATATCTTTCTCACAAACTTTTTTTTTCATTCCCGTTTATTTCAGGTATTTAAATCAAAGCCAGATTTATCCTTCGTGAAATTCTCAACAACTAAACTCTAGAACAGAGACATTAGGAGCTAAAGGAATGTTTACTACATGGGCAGTGTGCATTTTATTTGTTCTACCGCTCATAGATATTGGGAATGGAGCCTTTGATGATCATTTAGCAATGGGTAAACAATTATTTACGACATGAATGTTTATAACATGCAAAACACGTGTTTTGGATATATCAAATAGACTAGATGCTAATATATTATAAAAAAATAAATGTTTATCTGCAAGGTTTCGAGTCACCATGGTCATGCTTTTATTAAAAAGAGATCAAATTTCCTTGTAGTTAATGTGTATGTATAAAAATACCATTTTGAACCTGACGGCCCATGAACAGATGAAGTAGAGTTCTTTAGTCACAGTGACCTCCGGAGAATGTGCTTTCCCTAACATGAGTCTGATGCCCATTATAGATGGGTGAACTCAGTGACGCATTACGGACACGCACCATTAACGTTAAAGTAAGCCCATGTAAAAAATTGTAAATTAAAAAAAAACAACGGAATACACTTTTAAACAGGATGTAAACGATGCAGTTGTATCAACAACGTTGTGCCGAGTGGTTACCATAGTCGTCTTGTTTACTTCCTCAATGTTAGACCGTGAAATTCCCAACACCTACACATGTGGTGCAAGGTTTACCCCCATGGGCTTACGTAGAGATGTAGCCTTAATGTGAATTGGTGTAAATCGGAAGGTTACATGCACACATGCATGTGTACGTGTACGGCAACAGATTTATACACTCATGACATAAAAGGGCCGTCGTGCTACTTTTTAACACGTTCAATCCTACAACAAAACGAAATAAATCACACACGGTGCAGTGATGTGTATACATTCAATCTCTTACATATACGTTTACTTGTATGTGTAAGTGTACTCGTATGAGTACATGTAGTGTATATATATATATATATATATATATATATATATATATATATATATATATATGTTTATATATAGGCCTATATATATCTATATATTTATGTGTGTGTGTGTATAAATAGCATGTGTATATAAATATATTAATGAGTATGCGTACATATATTACATCACCAAGAGTTAGACGGCGAAATGAGTCATTTGACTTTAAGTTGTATGACTTGTGTTTCATATAGATAAAGGCCTGTATGTAAACACGTTACTGCACAGTGTGTGATTTTCTTGTTTTGTTTGAGGATTCAACGTGTTAAAAATTAGCACCACAATTTATTATGTCACTAGTTGCTGTCATTATTTGATAAGTTATTGCCCCAATGAATTTCGGGACCATATTATTGTTGCTATTGCTACTATGGCATTAGTCCCAGTACTGTTTCTTTCAGATTTTTTCTCCGGGGGGGGGGGGGGGGGGGGCTGTAACTCTTGAGTGTTTAGGGGAGGGGGGGGGGGGCGGACACTGGTTGAAGTAGATATTTTCTATATAAATTCTATTTGTGGCGGGGGGGGGGGGGCGGTAAACTGTTGAAATGTTGAAATGCCTAAAAGAAACACTCCTGATTCAACTTTAAAGAAGTACGAAATTAACTTTCATTCACAGATTTTAATATCAATCAAAACTACTCAGCTAATTTTAGTGAAGTATCGCAAAAGGAGAGACACAAATCTGAACGATTGAACGAAAGTGTAGACGAAACGAAAACTGAAGGGACAGGAATCATGTGGGCAGAACAAACTGGTGATAAGTCTGCAGAGGAAATATATGTGGACCCTAATCCTACAGGTAAGTTAAATGTTACAGATTGAGAGGACGGTGTGGAGTCGGGTGCAAATTCTTGACTGTTAACACAAAAGATCGGTTAACTGCGCAGTTAAAACTCCTAGTTAAGGGAAAGCAAAGTGAAAAAAAAAGACCGATAACTGTTACCAGATTTTCTTGACTACGGAAAAGCAGAAAGGCTATGCAGGCTGACGTCATCGTGCTATTTATTAACATGTTCGGACTTAACATTGAATTACGTTCTAGAAAAAAAAAACAACAGAGATGTTGGACTTATTGTTGGACTTTGCAGTTAGATCCCTTCCAATGTTATTATGTCAATGGAATTTCAGTTTTTTTTCTTTCTTAAATATTAATGGCTACGTCCCTTTAATAAAGGGACACAACCAATAAATTACGAAAAAAAACAAGGTTAACTTCCTCAAGTTAAGGAGAAGTGATCAAAAACATTACCGGTCACTAGATCTAGATTATTCTAGATCATTGAAGTATTTACTAAATAATATAGTACTGTCATTTTTTTTAAAGTGAGGTGATTTATTATAAATACTAGATAGATCTAGTTGTATTGATTAGGGCTGTGGTTAGATTTTAAGTTGTAAAAAAATCATACTCAATAATTTCAGACCTTTTGACAATTTTTGTTAACTGTTTTAATATTTTTAGGCCTATAGAATATAGATCTAGATCTAATCTAGATTTTAGTCAAATACAAAATTTATATTACCGATACTGTACTATTTTTTCTTCCGTTGTATATGTTTCAGATAAGTTTCTTCATATAAAAAAATTACTGATACTGTACACTTTTTTCTTCTGTTGACCTAGTACAACCAAAATACAACAGCCTTCCAAACACAAAGCCCAACCGAAACAGATTTGTAACGCCTAATCTCCAAAACCAACAGCAGCATCCTACAGCATTTCCACAGCCAAATACAGCTCAAATTAACGATCTACAAGTTACCCCTTACGCAAGTCTAATTCAAGCACAGGAAGGTCCTGACTTGCTACATAAACGCAGTAGAAACATAAAAATATCTGATAAAATTGTAGGAGGCGTTACAAACATACATTCAGAAGAAACAGTTACCAGGCCTAATTTTATACAAAGTAATGAGATTGAGCCTCCGATATTGATGGATGATTCTTCAGCATCCAGCAGTGAAATGGGTGGTGTTTCAAAGAATGTGTATCTTGAGATGAAAGATGAAGTATTACTTGATCGTGATAGAAGATCTTATGCTGACTTCTCAAAAAATCAGTATGGATCTGGGGTGTTGCAAGGTAAACATTTAACTTCTTGTACATTGTATGTTATTCAAGAAGACTCTACCTGCTTAATTGCTAATTACACAATTAACTACTAAATTATCATGTTAATTTAAAGTTTAACATGTGATTTATATCATGTTGTATATTTCTATTCACAGTCAGGGCTGAGTTTAGGCTTACTCCAGTTTATAAAAATACAACAAAAAGTATAACAGATTTTGTAAGTTTTCTAGTTTGAGATCATGAAATTTTAATTCATTAAAAATTATTTTATGTGTCTAATCAATGTTTGTTCAGGTATAAAGTAGTTGAAATATTACTGTGCTTTTTTTATAGCCCTTTGTATTGTAAAAATTTAAATTTAAAACCAAAGAAGTAAATAAACAATTATTGTTCAAATAATTATAGCCACATTAAATGACATGAACACGGAACTGTCTTTAACTTAATTTGTACTTTTTCTGATATTATGAGGTAACAAAAAAATAACCATTCCACTAAATGTTAATTAAAAGTTTAAATATATTTTAGCTGTTTTAATATATTTTTTCTAGCATTCCACTAAATGATAATCAAGAGTTTAGATGCATTTTTAGCTGTTTTTATTTATTTACCATTCCAATAAACATTATTTAAAAGTTTGAATGAATTTTTAGCTGTTTTAATTTATTTATTGACCATACCACTAAACATTAATTAAGAGTTTAAATGTATTTTTAGCTATTTTAATTAATTCTTTCACACACAGCTGACGAATCATATAATCCCCTTTATAAAGAATATGTCTAATCAGCCGTTCACAGATGTAGAAAGTTTTTCTTCAAACTTAATGTAGGTATATTTTATTTCTGAAAAGGCCTTTAAGTATTAGGACCTAATAGAAAAATAATAGCCTTGATGTACTAGGAAAAGATAATGAAATACCTCTTGACTTATTTTATGTTTTGGTAAATAGCACAGTTTCTTTCTCTGAGGGATTCACTGTCCCCCACTCCCACTAGCCCCCTATCTAGTCATACCGCACATAAATGTATAGCTGCAGCTACAGAATTACTTGTTTGGCCTAGGGTTTGTCTCATTGGACAAGATGTCCCTTAGTACTTGACAGTGTGTTTTATTTATGTTATACTATTATTATTGACTGGTTGTCAATATTTAATTCAGTGAAAAGGTTTAACTTATTTAACTTTTAATGCATGTAAGTTGGCATAACGTAATTAACATAAGAGCAAAGTTTTTAACTCAGATTAGCCTGAAATGGACAACTGGTCTTCAGGGCGGTGTGGTGACACTAGCTCACATACAGACATCTGTAGTGTCTCTTTAGCCCCAAGCTGGCCGGCTGTAAAATACATTTGACAAACTTCCTAACATCTGTGTGATATACACATTCATTCAGACATCAGACACACACAATATTACTATTTTTACATTTACTATATTACATTAGCCTGACATAGGGCCTTCCATAAAACATTACTAAAATAGCCTTTTCATTAATTCATTGTTTTATATACGTTCCTTACCTATGGATTAAAATATAACTATACAGTTAATAAAAGTAAGTTTTCAATTACCTTCAAATGAAGCCACACAATCCTCTACACTTGTTGCCAAAAAGTAAGATACATTTCTCTGTGGAGAACAAGTAACGTAGCACGATAATAAGTATAATTTTATGATGGCTAGTGCCTTAGCATCAAAAAACATGTATCTCCATAGAGGGGAGAAGGTAGAGTGGCCGGACTGTAGCGTCCCTACCCTACAGGTCACATGACTCAGGCTCCACCCTCAAGACGGCAGTCAAAAGTCGATGCTGGGTCAGCCTTACGATACCACTGGACTCAGGTCTAGGTGTGTACCGTAACCTGTGGGGTAGCAAGAAGTGGGGAGAAGTGGAGACACCATGATAGATATTTATAATCTATCAAAACACCCCCTCCCTCAGAGGAAATACAAAATATATATATTTGCCCACCTCCGTTAATAAATGCCCCTCTCCCCCCTCCCAAAAAAATACCTCCCCCAGAAAATAAACTGAAAAAAAAACTATGGTCAATATCCTGTGGAGTTCTAAATCTGGACTGAGACACAAGGGCTAACACACTTTCTGGCCATGGGGTTTTTCAGTGAAGTTTAATGAATCTTTTTATGACTAACAACATGCTAGTTTTTAAAGATAAACCATAATTACTGTTTTGTGCAACATGTCAGAAATGTTGTTTGCAATAAAAGTTATTGAAATATATATATTTTATTAAGATATAAGAATATCTTTTTCATAAGATAATGGTATAAATATTTTGGAAACTTAAGATTCCACATACATTACCATGTGGAAGTAATGTCTGAATCCAATTGTTTTCATGCTTTAGATAAAGTCCTCTAGATTAACCAAATGACCAACTTTCGGTTTTTAATTAGTAAAAAGTATAAGTTTGGATACTGTGTATTTAAAAGGGAGTTCATTCACATTTATGATACATAATGATTTTTTTTTAGTTAAAATTTTAGAATAATGATTTTTCTATGCTTCAAACAGGTGATTAATTGAATATATACATTTTAAGTAGCTGATGTCTTACAAAATTTTACAGTAATGTAATTGAGAGCTACACAGAAGTAGAAGTAGATATTCAACTTAGGTCTAAAGAAGATGGCTATTTATCTGAAGATGATAGGCTGGTTCGCCTTGCTCTAGCCACAGCATTCAAAAACTTAACCACATTATTGAATTACAGTGTCAGTCATAAAAGCATAGCAAATATAACTGATGTAATGGGTAAGCACTTGTAAATTAAATTGAATTTGATTGTATTATAATTTAATATATCTTGATTGAAATTACAGTTTATTTCTTATAAACTTAAGCAAGTGAATATAAAAAAAATTGAGTGCAAAAATCTAACAAAATATATACATGACTTAATAATTTGATGTCTTGTCAAAAACATCTAAATTTAAATATTGAATTAATGTTTAATAAACATTGAATTAATGTTTACAATTAACCTTTTTAGTAGCTGCGTTTTTAGAAAACAATGTATATTTCTCAATATAATTTGTTCAAAGAATTTTTTTTAAATTAACTCTTTTTATTTTTCAGTTTCATATTCTTGCATATCTTGTAAATCAAATGAGGTCTGCATTCAAAATAGCCCCACCGATGATGTATGGAATTGCATGTATGAGAAATGAAATTATTAGAAATCTTTCACTTATATTTTATTTCTATTTCATTTTAAAACATTATTTTCTTGTATAATAACATCTATTAAAGACAACATTATAATTATTATAAATCATTTTAACAAAACACTATTCTCTTTAGAGGACAAAATAAAGAATACTTAATAAATTTGTGTTATGTACTGTCATTGATGATGTTACCAAAAATAAATTATTATTCTTTTTTACAGAGTATCACAAGATGGTGAGTAAATAACGCCCATGCTTAGAATGCAATATAAATCACATCCAGTGTGTAATGCCTTGCCATGACATATTTAAAATACTCAGGCAGAAAATTCTATTAACTGGTTGATTTAGGAGTGCATCCATTTTATGCATCTACATTTTGAAACATATGTTAATATAATTAGTGCTTTTATTTAAGGGCTATGTAACATCTTTTGCTTGTCTGGGTATTTCTTATTAATTAATTTATTAAAATGGGAAAAAAGAAAAAAAATACTTTTACCAGCTAGTTGTATTAATAGGTTTCCTTGATATCTGAATACACTTTCTAACAAATATTGTGATCAGTTATATTTCTTAACTCTTATTAGAGCAGATTGGGTTACGGATAAAACAGGCATTATGAAATGTAAAATGCAGTCCTTTTTTTCAGAGGCTTTCCCTTTTGGAGTCTTGGTTGGAGATAAAATGTTGCCAAGAGACAATGAATTAGCCACTGTAAAGATTGTAATCAAAGATTTTATTCCTTTTCAGACAACACTACATGATAGTTTATGGGTAGGTATTTAGTAAGTAGCAAGTTACACAATGATGTTTAAGAACTTTGCAAAATTTGAAATGACTTTGGAAGCAAATAAAGATGAAGCTAGAAGAAAAATGTCGAAAAAGATATCATACTATTAATGTTATATTCAATTCAAAGTCAATATATAAGTCAAAATAAAGTCAATATAAAATTTTATGTCTCATATCTATAAAGCTGCGCTCACATAAATCAGTATTGTATTAATATAATTTTCATCCAAAAAAGTAATAGCAGGAAAAAAACATATTATTGTGTTAATTGTGTAATTTTCATCATATGAAAATGTTATCTCCAAGTCCCACTTAAGGTAAAAGAGGCAATCTGCAAGTTAATTACTCATTCTCTTAGTCATTCTCGGAAAGATTCTATATTAGATTAGTTCAGGCTGTTTAAAGAAGGTCACAAACTTCAACATTTGTATATGAAACGTATGCATATTTGAATATGTATTAGTACACTCATATATTCACATATATCTACACATACCTTTTTTTATGTGTGTATATTACTTTCAGCTTTCAGTAAATGGTCTTATTAGTTTTGGAGTAGAGTTTGCAAGCTTCAGTCCTCAACGCCTGCCTGCAAAAAATTCACAAAATGTTTCTTTGCAAGTGCTTGCCCCTTACTGGACAGACCTTGATTTTAAGACAAATGATGATAATGAAATCTCCTATCAGGTAAAGCACTCATTCAATTTTGAGTTTATCAAGAGGGGCAAAGGGCTACAGCCACACCACTCCACTGGAGTTTGTTTTGGAATGCTCTGTCTCTTTTTGAGATCATACAAGCCAGACTGCAATTTTAATTTATACTATAATTAGAATCCTTTTTTATATTTATGGTAAATTATAGTCAAATATGTTTTATATCTTGTTAGAAATTAACTTCGAAATTTTCAAATTTCAGTTGTATCAATGCAGTCCTGATCAACCATCTGATGTTTGCCGTAAGGCCAATAGCGAAGTAGTTAAAAATTCAAAAAACAACCCAGATTCTTACACCGCTACATCAGTTTTAGTTGTAACATGGATTAAAGTCCCTGCAAAAAATAAAACATCTGACAATGAGGTAATCTTATAACCATAATTATTTTGAATTATAAGTTTTACTATCCAAACTTTTAAAATGTGTCTATACGTATAAAGGCAAACAATTGTTACATTAAAACTGTGGAATTTGTTTGAAATATCCCTTCTTGTAATATGTACACATGATTTCCATATTAACATAAATGTGTAGACACAAACCAAAACAATATGTAAATCTAATTATTTAAAAGCATTAAAAATGTCTATAACTATATATATATATATATATATATATATATATATATATATATATATATATATATATATATATATATATATATATATATATATATATATATATATATATATATATATATATATATATATATATATATATATATAAGCACATACCATGGGTTACCAGTCAGGGGCGATAATTTACAATTTATTTGTAATTTTCCATTTTGTATTTTTGCAGCGAGTTTCATTCCAGTGTGTTATAATATCAGATGGCCAGACAAGCTATGTTATTTATTTGTATGTGCAAGGAGCAATGAATCTTAACCCAACCTATGCCAGGAGTGTTGAAGTTGGATGGGGAAATGTTAACTTTGACACCACAAGATATTCCTATTACACCTTTGACCGCATTTTGGGCAACACAGGTAGATTGCAGTTCTGATCATGGGAATTATGAAAATAGAACAATGTTAAACAACTAGATATGATATAGCTCACATTCTCACAGTTTATGTATTGGCTATTTGAAACTGTCTAATGACTATTTTACTCTATTGGAGCTGGGAAAGGCTCTAATGTTTTCTTTAAAACAACCCTAGTCTCAAATTAAGAAAACAAAAACAATTAACTTCACAATGTTTGCTATATCTGTATTGTAAATGGTCGGGCTATTTTTGTTTATTAAAGTACAAATTGTTTAAATAATGTGTATTCACTGTACAGGAAAACCTGGAATTTGGTTTTTTAAGCTTGGAGAGACAACTAATTACAATGCAAAATGTTTGTCTTGGTTTCAATCAGCATCTAAAGAAATCATAGGTAAATATTTTAAAATTTTTTATGATGTAGGCCTAATAATTGATACATTATTAATCGGCATCCATAAGTGATGTCATACTCATGGCGGGGGAGGGGGTTCTGTCATTTTGTGAGGTGTGTGTTGAGGGGGAGGGAGGAAGGGTTCAGATGGTGTGATGTCACACTTTTGCATTATAAAAAAGCAATGTTAGAAAACAAATTTTAGCCATTTTTTTTAGATAACTGTTTTAATTAAATGTTTTAGAAATTGATTAAAATACTTATGTTGACAGAGTTCAGTCAAGATTTTGGAATAATATCTAAAAATTCTACTGCAATTTTGTGTGTGTGTGTGGGGGGGGGGGGGGGGGGGTTTAGGCTGAGGTGTGATGTTATTTTAGGGGGGAGTTCTGGCTTTTTATGACGATGTGTGATGGAAGGGAGGTAGGGGGGATAAAAGTTGTCAAAATAAGCTTGACATAATCTATGGATGACCCCTTAAGCCTGTTAGGGTAAAAGTTAAGTCAATAACGTTTCAATTAAAATACATTTTTTTTCTTTATTCCATTGTAAGTAAGTAAGTAGTAAAGTTCCCTTTCAAACCTGATGGTCTATAGGGCTAGTGAAGTAGAGTTCTTTTGTTTCTGTGACCTCGTCACATGAAGAGATAGTGTGGTCAGCAATATGCCCAGCTGCCTTTACTTGCCCTAATGTGAATTAGGTACCCATCAGAGTTAGGTGGACTCTGGGACGGTCTACTGACTTGAACCCGGATTTTAACTCGTTATTCCATTGTACCAGCATTAAAATTTGTTGTTTTTTTTTTTAATTTTAATTTGTCTTCAGAAATTACAGCACAAAATAATGATCTACCAGCTTGTCCCTGTAATGAGCTTGCAGCAAAAAATAGTCCAACATGGATCTCAAACAGCCTTTCACAGACTGAGGGCAACTGTTATGATTTGTTACCTAATTATGGTGAATTTGGGAGGGTAATAACAGTTGCATTTTTATTTTATGAATCCCTTATTTTATATTCAAATCAACTTTACTAGTAGCTTCAGTATCAAAGAATTTCTTGTAAATTATGACTAAAAAACTTATTAATATAAAGCTTTTAAAAACTGAAAACAGTGTGTTGTTGAGCAGCCCTAACTTAGTAGTTTAATCAGTTTGGTTTATTAAAGTGTAATTCATTTAAATAAGTTTAATAAGTATTATGAAGTTTCTTTTTAAATTCTATTTATATATAAAACCTTAGGAAGAAATTATCCTTAAATTAAAATTAAAATCAACCCAGTTCCTCAGATCTGCCTACAACTTTTAAAAAAATTATTTTCAATTTGCAGAGATGTTGTTATAGATCTGATGGCAGCTCCAGCTTTGAAAGCAGAAAACCATTGTCAGGAAGCCTTCAGAGATACAATGCTTTTTATTATATTAAAACCAAGTCCAGAGATCATGAAGTGAATGATAGAGACCCAAAACGTTGGTGCTGTGACCTTTCGAATCAATGTGAACTTTACTACACTCTTAGGCCAACTAAACCGTGTATTTCAAGTAACTGGGTTAGAGGTAAATTTACAAATATATTTACTGTCCATTTGTTAAAGATTTTTTATATTAACATTTTTTCTTAAATTCATGATTTTAAAACTTTTTATTTTTTATCATGAAACTGTTCAGGTAGGTCTCATTCAAAATATATGAAGTAGTTTTATTATTGACTTTTAACCCTTTCAGGACCAAGGGACACCGGTGTCCCAAATTTTCAAATTATCACTAAATGAAATTGGAATAACATAGAGTTGTTGAATTTGCTTTAAAACATTTATTACATGATAGACTTAATATAAATAAAGTTGCTTTCAGTATATATGAGATAGTTTTGTTGTCATAATTATGGGAACTTTGCTTTTTTAGACCACTCACAAAGCTACAGTTTACATTTTTATATAAAAAATACTAACTGTAACAGAAAGAAATAACTGGCGGTTTTTCAAAGGTTTACTATTTAGGTATTGTATTTACATTTGTTTTTCCTAATAGCTTTGCTTGTTTTTTTTTAAAAGTAGTTTTTTTTGCTTGGGACATATATGTCCCTACGGTCCGGAAGGGAGCTAACTTTTTTTACAATGTTGCCAAGCATGAGTTTTGGCATTAGAATACAAATAGTTGCAAAGCTTTTATTTACTATAACTGAACAAAATGCTGTGCAAATACTGTTTATTTACAATAAAGACGATGAAAACAACTTGATTCTGTATGAAAAAGATGTGAATTTTCTGTAAAAATATGCCGACAGAGTAAGTGTAGAAGCTATAATCAAACGACTTGTTCAAGTCCCAGAGCAGATTGTCGCTACTACGATAAGGCCTACACCTTATTCTAGTCAATCTGCTTTGCATACATTGCATACATCGTCAATGTCACATGCTTTAGTGACTAATATTCCCTCAAATCTGCATGGTCCGCGCAGTATTTGTGAACATGCCGCGCTGTCATTTCGTAAAATACATGTTACCTTGTATGAGATTTTTAGAACACCGCGCACAAAAAATATACGATGTACACTAGAGGTTTCCCCTCAAAGGGAGCGTTAATAGTTACAATTACCTCTCCGACACCCCCCACCCGATATTACCACCTCCGAGCAATTACCCCTCGTCCAGTTATGGATAAGTTAGGACTATGGTTAGGTTAGGGTTAGGGCTAGTTTTAGAGTTAAATGTTGATTTAGAGTTGTAGTTAGGGGTTTTGTTAGGTTTAGCTATAGGCTTGGAGTTTGGGGATAAGATCAGGGGTCTTCAGCATCGGTGGGGGGGGGGAGGGGAATTGGACAGGGTGGTAATGTCCTAGACCCGAAGCTGACACATATCATTATCATCAATAGAACTAGACTTGCCAAAACATGAACAACCAAACGTTTTTGTGATAATTAAAAATGGAGAATGGAGCAAGATATTATTTTTAACTATAGGCTTCTGAAAACACAGTTTCCAATAAAAGTTATTGACTATGGTTATAGGAAATTGACAATAGATGTTGATTGAAATGAAGATCCTAATGATTTTAGGCAATTAAATCCATGTTTCATACATTGATAATTTGTTTTCAAGATAATGATTTGGATTAAAAAAGCCATTGATACCTATATTTGGCTACAATGCAAAACCAAGCTTGAATATAGGCAAAAGATAGCGGGAGCTCAGATTTAGGGATTACATCAAAGAGATATCACCTCAAGACCTGTTCATAGAGGCAAGAATTTCACTTCAACCCCACCAGAAGTTGATAATTCAAAGGAAGAGAAACGCAGGAGTTATGCACAATGTGTAACAGAAAAGACTGAGAACAGAGCGGACATTATGTATTATATCTGCCATGATCGTGTATTTTATATAACATCACGTAACTGCTTCCATAAGCTCCATTCATTGAAGAGAAAGGACATAAATGTGTTCTCGATACTGATATTTTCAATTTCTAATGTACCAGAGCAACTAACACACGTTAGATCACTTTTAGGATAAACATATTGACATAACTCACAACATAACCTATTTTCGATAATTTTCCTTTGAGGACCGTAGGGACACATATGTCCCATGCTGTATCTCAAAAACTATTTAAGATAGCGGAAAACCGTTAACATTTTTGAAATCTACGTGTCATTTTACTACTAAATGTGTGCACAGATATTTGGAATTATGCCTGTAATCCTTGTGGTCCTGAAAGGGTTAACCAATTTTAACAGTGGATTTTGATCCATTATTGATGAAAACTGCCCTAGATTGTATTTTAATGACAGGAGTAATATTAGTGAACTTATTTAGAGTTGTGTATGAAACATATTTTTATTTTCCTACTGACTGTGCTATTTTTTTAAATACAGCATAGTATAATTTTTTTAATGCCATAGCATTAAACACAAGCTATCATATACAATAAACTGCATGGCCTAGTACATTGTTACATTTAATTTATCCAGTTAATCTATGTTGTACAATAAGCTTAAAAGACATAGCTGATCTTAGGTTGAGGGTTGAAGCTCATGAAAGGGGGAGAATAAAGAAATATAATAAAATAAACTGTTTTTGACAAACTTTTAAATCCAATTTTTATTAGTTTTCAGATGAGCCTATATGTTAGCCCATGTTAGCCCCAGTTCAACATTAACTATAGAATTATAAAATGTTATTTAAACTATTTAGGCCGAGGTCATATTTTTTTTCAGCATTTTTATTTGGTGACCCTCACATTGTCACTTTGGACCAAAGGCCTTATATATTTAATGGGCTTGGAGAATACAAAATACTTCAAATTAAAGACAATGAAAAATATCTCTTCATGATGCAGGTTGGTAAAATCTTATATGAAAAAAATGTGTTTATTCAAAGAATAATTAAACGTATAGTATTATTTTAGATTTTTTTTTCTATTAATAAAATCTATTGGTGCAACTGTTGAGTGAACAATATTTAGACTAAATATTTTCAAGAATCAATGAGAATATACAACATTTAATCTTTTATTTACAAGGCTGTACACAGAGAGAAATTTTACTTTTCATATATGCATACTATATCCTTAGTATTACTTAACTATTACTTTAAAACTAAACATTCTGATTCTGTTCAAAAATTGGAGTCATGTATATTCATTGTTTCTGTTTAATTATTATTTTTAACAGATTACTGAAATAAGGTTTATTTTTCTATAACATTTCAATTTATTAAAATATTAGATTATTAGAGGAAATGTATGCAATATACATTTGGTTAAGACTTTTTAAACATTTATGTTTTGGGCTATGTTTAAATTGATTACTTACTTTACTTTATGCAATGAAACAGTTGCTAACAGTTGCTGGTACATCTCATTAGTAGACTCTGTTTAGGGAAGCTCTCTCAATTCCCCTTTTCAAACCTGATGGTCCAAATGGTAGGTGAGGTAGAGTTTACCTGCTTTTGCATGGTCAGCCCTATGCCCAGTCACCTTTACTTTCTTAAATGTGAATCAGGTACCCATCAGGCACGTTCTGAAGCGAAACTGGATTTGAACTTGAGAATTTTGGGTTAGCAGTCTAATGCTCTACCACTAGGCCGCACCATCCCATCAGCTCATTTCACAGTCCTAGTATATCTACCACACACGTGGTTGAAATATAGACAAATACATAATTTATATAGAAGATATATACCATTGTCCACTTTCCATGCCCAGAAATTTTAAGTGTCTCACTAAAGTTCCAACTGCTCCCACTGAAACTAAATCTGAAAGAACCCTGTCTCTTTCTATCTGGGCCATATAGAAACACTGCCATAGCCTTTAAATTGTAGATTCTTATCTAGCTTCGGATGGACAAGGCTTTGGCATTCCATATAAAAAATAAATAGTTAAAGGCACATAAGCCTAATATATATAGCTTTTTATGTCATTGTCTGCTTACTTTCTTTGTTGATCAAGCCAGCCAGTTATATGAATATGTTTATCATATTTATTGTCTTCTCCATTTAGCTGTATAGCCAGGTCCTGGTTGTCATTTAATCTGATTACCTCTGTTTTACTTCTAGTGATTTTAAGCCTAATTTAGAGGCTTTTTTATATATTATTATTACGGAATATTATATATATATATATATATATTATATAATTTATATATTGGCTAGATTTATATCTTAGGGTCGCACCTGCATTGCCAGAAATGCCAACGGAACAGATACTAAAGCCACTGTATGGTGTGCTTTTGCTATTTATGTACAGGATAATACTACTGTAAGGATTGAAATCAGTCCATCTAAAAAAGGTAATGTTGATTTGAATAGAGCTAACACATTACTTATATAATTAGTATAATATTGAAATAGTTTTTGATTTTTAGTAAGTATAATGTTTTTTTTTGTTATCAACTTGTGTCATTTTGTCTAATATTTATTATTGCTAATTACACTTTTAATATAAGAGATGGTGCATACATTTTAGCGAGTAAAATAACCAGGTTTTTTTTTACTTTTTATTGTCAGTCATGATCATTTACGCAAACAATCAAGATTATACAAACAAGTTTCAAGATGCTCCTAATTTCACTGCATTTGAAAAACAAACTTTATTAAGAAGAGTAAATGATTCTTTGGAAATTAGTTTTCCAAATAGTAAGGAATATTTTTATTACTCATTTCAATAATAACATTTATTATCAGTAGAGTATATGAATGACTAAATGAGGATGACTGGTTATGTTTTAGAATAATTGTGGGCATGTGTATACATATTTTCATTTATTATTATATATTATATATATATACAATATTAGTCTATGGATAAGTCTATGCCCTGGATTCAGTTTAGTGAATGACTATAGTAACCCTTTTTATCTACAGCTTATCACACTCTTTAAAACTATGCACTATATAGCTCACATGATAGATCCCCCCCCCCCCCCTGATGTAATGTTTTTTTTGTGTAATTTAACATCAATTTAAATTGTAGTACAAAAATGAACACTTTAAAAATATTACACAATGGTGATTAAGTCGAGTTTTTTACTATATGCTTGTTTTCCACAAATATACATACAGAGGCAAAGAGCTTCATATATTAGGCAAGCCATCTGGGCCAGGCTATGCACTGGCCTCTGTAAAGGACATTGACCATGTTTGAGCAGCATATACCTGGCATTACTCGGGTTTAGGAAATATACAAGTTTTCCAATTAAAAATCTATATGCAAATATGGACGTTTAAAATTATGTAACTCTAAATTTAACCCTTACCACAGCTAAATAGAACCCAACCCAAACACAAACAGAAATGCAAACGCAAGCACAAATGCAAACCTAAACCCAAACCCAAACAATAAATAATAAGCGTTTAATGTTTTGATATTTGGATTTATTTTATAACAATTGTCTTGTTTATACCTACTTATTTTCATAACTTAAAAACTTATATATCCAGCATCTGCATTATTATGTTATTCTTATTAGCCATTAGGTTCTTATACAATTTTAATATTACAATAATAAGTTCAGCGGCAATGTTAGTGTCCATATCATCCATTATCAATGACGTCATTTTTTTGTGTATCCTTTTTTTGACTTCATAAGTTTTGTTTCTTCTGATTTGAAGTGAGTTTTGAGTTTTTTCTATGTGTATGTCTTCCACAAACATGCATGCAGAGACACAGAGTCAATTTCATCTCTATAGATTATATATATATATATATATATATATATATATATATATATATATATATATATATATATATATATATATATATATATATATATATATATATATATATATATATATATATATATATATATATATATATATATAATAAAATGTACACTTTTCTAGAGCAAGACTGTTATATGTATTTTCTCTAGGCATTGGAATCACAGTAAGTTTAACTTATGAACTGCTTGAATTTTCTGTAACATTGGATAAGAAGTATCAGAACAAGACGAGTGGTCTTTTAGGCAATTTTAACAATATATCCACTGATGATTTCATTTTTCCAAATGGAACAAGTTTTCCAGATTCTTCAAAAGAAAGGGAAATATACAGCTATGTTGAAACTTGTGAGTCATTATGGATATTCTAAATTTATTCACTTGAATTATATCGTAGTAGCTATTAACGTTATAGTTTTTACTTTTTAAATAATTTACATGTAGTAACGTGAAATCTGTCAAAGATTCAAATTTGATGGCAACAGTTATTAACATGATATTTTTAGTTCCAGATTTATAATATAAATGAAATATTATATAGCCTAGTCTGCCAAAGACAGTTGCAAATGTATCACATTAATATATTTTTGACACTTTCACAAATTTCACAATTATTCAGTTTTTTTATTTAAAATCAATGCAGGGTCTATAACACAGGAGGAAAGTCTGTTTCAGTATATTTTGGGACAAAATACAAGTACTTTTTCAAATAACAGCTTTGATCCATTAATGATGGATGAACAAAGTAATGACACAAAGTCACAGGCTTTGCAAGTTTGCAAGGACATCAAAAATATACCATGTATTTATGACTTCATTATTACAAGAAATAAAAACATAGCTTCTGGTACATTAAATTCTGATGCTAAATTCAAATCAGAATCAAAGAGTACAGGTAAATATAGTCTTTTTGACCGTTTTATTTATATATATATATATATATATATAAATATATATATATATATATATATATATATATATATATATATATATATATATATATATATATATATATATATATATAATTATATTATTCCATATTATACCTGATTTTTAAACAATTTTTCTGAGTTAGTCAACAAATTGACTCATAACAAATATTAACACATGCTATTGTTTTTAATTTTTTAGCGCAATTTCCATTCTGGAGAATTGCGTTTATTAACTCGTCATTTCTGGGAATGGATGGATGAATGAATGAATGAATGTATGGATGAATGTGTGTTTGGGCTTTAAGTCGTATCTCCTCCTCAACGAAGCAATATCGATGACTAGTTCCAAAAGCAATTATGTTAAGCAAGTTACGAGAATGAGCATAGGCCATAAAAATTCCGGGTTTCTTTCATGTATTTCCCGGAAAAGCCAAAAAACCTCAAAAAAATTCAGTTTTTGGCCCATATCTCGGCAACCAGACCACTTAACGACTTGAAACATGTACCAATTGATTCCTGCCATAATTTAGAACAATATTGCCGAAGAAAGTTTTCAAAAATATCCTTTCGTTTGGTCACAAAAAATTGTTTGAATTAATTAAAATTTGGACCGAATTAGTAGGCATTTTTATCCAACCACACCACACGCGTCATCACGTTCAATAGCTGCGCCATCACGTTCAATGGCTGCGACATCACGTTCGGTAGCTAGGCGCGCAATGGTTTTTAGACATGTAACTCTATTGTAAATAAAACATGTATTTTAACCAATGGTTTTACTAACCCTGCTATTGATTTACGCTACGACAGAGCTATTTTTAGATAAAATAAGGAAATTGCGCTAAAATTGTCACTAGACTTTTTGATTACCTTGTTTATTTTAATAATAGCTTCACTCAATTTTTTTTTAAAATGGTTTTGTTGATAAAATAGCTAATAATTGACTATTTGAGAAATTTTTTAATTTGTTGAATAGACACCCAAAAAATGAAAAAAAAAGTGCCATTAATATTTGCCTCTTACTGCTTTATAAATTTTAAGGAATAAATATTTCTAAGGCTAAAACTTGTAAAATTATTCAAAATATAAATGTTATAATATTAATAGCATGCATGTACTTTTTAAAAGCATAAATTAGTTTCTGTGACATAGGCCTACATATTTTTTTAAAAGCTTGATAGTTTGTATAGATTGTTACATTTTTTTCTAATTCTTTACCTTTATTTGGCTCCCCAGCTAATATAGCACCTAGTACATACCTTTCTAACTCAAAAATAAATACAAAAATAAATGAGACCATCAGTTTCAATGTGACAGGTGTTGACCCAGATGGAGTAATTAATGGCTGTGAAGTATTATCTAATAATAAATTTCTCCTTCAAAATATTCAAAATGGCTACAGTGTTTCGATTGCTGTTTCCAATAACGAACCCATAAATATAGCGTGAGTATTTCTAACAAATTTTGTTTAAAAATATTTGAATTATTGCATTATAAACTTGGTTTCAATTATAAGATAAAACAGACTTGTGTACACAATCTTAACCACTAAGTCCTATTTTCAAATATTCTCTATCATATATCATTTACAAAATAAAATTACTTGTAACATTTTTATAATAAGACTTTTATGTATTTTGGTAAGAACAGAGTATCTACTATTGATAATAGAGGCCTACATTCAGAACCAGCTTCAATTACTACTACTGTCTGCTTAGGTTGTAGTGAGCATGGAGTATGTAATTATGAAATAACAAGAAATACTTCCAATCCATACTATTATTATTCAACTTGTGACTGTGACATTGGATATACAGGTATACGTAATGTTTATGATTCTAGTACATTCTAATATCAGCATAAATTCTACTGTTTTTTATCAATCTATATATTTCTTTTAAAATAATCTGATAAATCTATAAGCTTCCCTAAAACTCTACTAAACTTTTAGTAAAATATTACCTCTTATGAATGAAAGAATGTCCTTGAGTTCATCCACTTTTGATTGGTACCTGACTAATGAGAGGGAAAAAAAGTCTACTGGAAACAAAATCAACCATGCAATCCCTTTTTGTGTGGCGATTACTGGAAGAGAGAACTCTACTTTATCTTCCTTATTACCCACCCTGTCTGGAAGATATTTTGGAAATTTTTAAAGAAATAATTTAAACGTTTATAATGAGCTTAGGTTTTAAAAATTGAAAATAGTACTATTAAAATGATCAGCCCTGTGAATTTAGCAATTGATTGTTACCCACTGAAGTTGGATAGTCTCAGGGTCAACTGTGACTGAACTTCAGACTTTTGGGATCAGCAGTTGTGCAGTCCACCACCTGACCACACCATCATATCTGACCACACCATCCCACCTGACCACACCATCCCACCTGACCACACCATCCCACCTGACCTCACCATCCCACCATCCCACCTGACCTTACCATCCCACCATACCACACCATCCCACCTGACCTCACCATCCCACCTGACCACACCATCCCACCTGACCACACCATCCCACCTGACCACACCATCCCACCTGACCACACCATCCCACCTGACCTCACCATCCCACCTGACCTCACCATCCCACCTGACCACACCATCCCACCTGACCACACCATCCCACCTGACCACACCATCCCACCTGACCTCACCATCCCACCTGACCACACCATCCCACCTGACCACACCATCCCACCTGACCACACCATCCCACCTGACCTCACCATCCCACCTGACCACACCATCCCACCTGACCTCACCATCCCACCTGACCACACCATCCCACCTGACCACACCATCCCACCTGACCACACCATCCCACCTGACCACACCATCCCACCTGACCACACCATCCCACCATCCCACCTGACCACACCATCCCACCTGACCACACCATCCCACCTGACCACACCATCCCACCTGACCACACCATCCCGCCTGACCACACCATCCCACCTGACCACACCATCCCACCTGACCTCACCATCCCACCTGACCACACCATCCCACCTGACCACACCATCCCACCTGACCTCACCATCCCACCTGACCACACCATCCCACCTGACCTCACCATCCCACCTGACCACACCATCCCACCTGACCACACCATCCCACCTGACCACACCATCCCACCTGACCACACCATCCCACCTGACCACACCATCCCACCTGACCACACCATCCCGCCTGACCACACCATCCCACCTGACCACACCATCCCACCTGACCACACCATCCCACCTGACCACACCATCCCACCTGACCACACCATCCCACCTGACCACACCATCCCACCTGACCACACCATCCCACCATCCCACCTGACCACACCATCCCACCTGACCACCTGACCACTCCATCCCACCATCCCACCTGACCTCACCATCCCACCTGACCACACCATCCCACCTGACCATACCATCCCACCTGACCACACCATCCCACCATCCAACCTGACCACACCATCCCACCTGACCACACTATCCCACCATCCCACCTGACCACACCATCCCACCTGACCACACCATCCCACCTGACCACACCATCCCACCATCCCACCTGACCACACCATCCCACCTGACCACACCATCCCACCTGACCACACCATCCCACCTGACCACACCATCCCGCCTGACCACACCATCCCACCTGACCACACCATCCCACCTGACCTCACCATCCCACCTGACCACACCATCCCACCTGACCACACCATCCCACCTGACCTCACCATCCCACCTGACCACACCATCCCACCTGACCTCACCATCCCACCTGACCACACCATCCCACCTGACCACACCATCCCACCTGACCACACCATCCCACCTGACCACACCATCCCACCTGACCACACCATCCCACCTGACCACACCATCCCACCTGACCACACCATCCCACCTGACCACACCATCCCACCTGACCACACCATCCCACCTGACCACACCATCCCACCTGACCACACCATCCCATCTGACCTAAACTTCATCTCCCATTTCCAAACCAGGTGTGGGGATACACCTGGGAAAAAGTAAACACCTGGCAGAAACCCACTGGTCTAGATGTTGGCAACATTCAATCAGAAAATGGTCTACCTTATGTTATATTCTGCCTCACATAAGATCATAGCTTGAGTTGGTTAGGTCTGTAAAGCTAAGAGATATGGCTTCATTTTGCTTTGAGAGACAGAAGAATTCGGTTGCATTTCAGAGTATTTAATAAAGTAACACTGGGTTTCTATAAATTGTGGTCCATCTCTCAACCATGACCTGTTCATTCCAAATGAATGTTAAGCAAAACATTTAGTGCTAAATTTGGTTGCTGAAGTTGCTAAACAGAAACCAAAGGTGGTAATCCAATTTTCAATGGGGCTCCTCTCATCTTTGATTTTGGAGATTTCTCTTCCAAATGAGATGTTTCCAATTATTGAGCCTCATCGGCTCAGTGGTTCAAACTTGGGACTATTGGTTAGCAGCCATGAACTTCCCTCCCAATAAGTCTTTATATAATTATAGTATTATTTTAATTTAAAACAAGGTGAAAACTGTGAAACTGACAAAGATGGATGTACTGGAAATCCTTGCTATCCTGGTAATTGTATTGACATACTGGCATCTGTGGAACAAATTACAGGCAAACAATATACATGTAAAACTTGTCCTGATGGGTTTGAGCTGTTTGAATCTAACACAACATTGTCATGTAAAGGTATTCAAACAATGTGTTATATAGTAAAAGACATAAAATGAATTGATATTAACATACATAAAAGTTGTATTATTTTTTACTTCAAAAGACTAACTTGAAATGTTATAGCAATCATTATTATTTTGTTATGATAACTGTAAGAAATAAACTCACATATCCTTATTACTCTAAATTTTGATTTACTTTAAGATATTGATGAATGCAAGGCAAATAAATGTGGTGATAATGGACAATGTGTAAATACCTATGGAAGCTTTTTCTGCAACTGCAATAGAGGTTTCAGGTTATTTAATAAAACCATTTGTATAGGTAAATACAACATTTAATTACAATCTTTTTAAATGAACCTATCAGAAATGCATCTTTTTCTTTTAAATGTAATCAGTTGGTATACATAGCTCCAGCGGGTACCTGACTCACATTAAGGAAAATAGGGTGGCTGACCATATTATCCCCTTGTATGGCAAAGTCAGTGAAATAGATAAACTCTACTTTATCTACCTGATTTGTCTTGGGCGTAAATGGGAAAAGAAAATAATATCATTTTATATTGAATAATTTTAAAAATATAGATATATTAAATAACTTTAACAATATGTAAATGAAGTATTTTTAAAACTTCTTTTAAAGATATAAATGAATGCACAGAAAAATTAAATAACTGTGATCAACTTTGCATAAACACTAATGGAAACTACACTTGTTCATGCTTTCCTGGCTTCATTTTTAAGGCTAATAATAATTTGTGTGAAAAAGTGGAAACCGGTAAGTGATTTCCTATTTCTTTTTCAAATTATTATCAAACTGACATTGCTGGATTGTTTAAGTCTGCATTTGTTAATAATACATTCCTATATATTTATATAAAGTTAAGATATATTTAGCTTATACTTTCTAATACGCAGATCCCTGTGAAATAAAAAGTAATAAATGTGAATACAGCTGTCGCAGTGGAAGTAATGGATCAGAATGTTTTTGCAAAAATGGTTTTCAGTTGAATGAAAATGGCTATTCTTGTGAAGGTGATGCTTTGTCATTATACTATGCACTCATGTATTACACTTACATACTAATTTATTAATATGTAATAACTATTTTAGGGAATCAAAAGCAATTATTTTAATAAAAATACAATAAAAAGGAATAGTAATTATTGATTCTGTTTAAATTCAGTAATGCAGACTATAGCTAAAATATTTTTATATTTCAGATATTGATGAGTGTAAAAGCAGACTTTGCCCTCAAAACTGTTTAAACACTATTGGTGGCTACAAGTGTTCTTGTTTTGTTGGCTACAAGATGAGCAAAAATGATGAGAGATCTTGTGAAGGTAAGTGGAGAATATATTTTGGTACTCATTGTATTATCCAATCTCAGTTTAATATGTATAGGTTCTGGCTATTTTAGCAGTACAATTTTTCAAATCAAAGCCTAACAATATGCAAAAAATTAAATGGGATTTGTCTTTTGTCATGATAAGCTACATTCAGGAAAGGAGTAAGGAAGATGAATTGCTTAATAGCATATTTTTTTTTAATTTTATAAAAATAAAACAGATGGAAAACATGTTAGCTTGTGTAAGGATTAAGGTTATATGTGTAAAAATAGTTAAATAAAACAGTATGAAATTGCTTATGAACATCCCTAAGCTGGTTTATCTAAATCAATGTATTTCACCAATCTAATTATAAGTACTTTTATAGTATACATGCTAAGTTTATTTTAAAACCATTTAACTTTGTTATTCTGTTTTTATTAGCTTGTACTGGAAACTCATATGGCACCAACTGCACAAAACATTGTAACTGTCATGGGAATGCTGTAAGTTGTGACAACATCAGAGGCTGCATCTGTCAAGACAATTGGAAGGGAGAGAACTGTGACACAGATGTAAATGAGTGTGAAGAAACTCCAAACATTTGTCCACCAGACTACTACTGTACTAATACACTGGGATCCTACACATGTGACTGTGCTACAGGATTTGAAGATATAAATGGGACGTGCATTAGTAAGAAATTATATTGTAATGATCTAAAATTTTACAAAGTTTCATTCTAAATTATGAAACTGAAATGCAATATGTGATAGTAAGTTATATAAGCACAAAACCGTTAATAATCATGCTACATCTAAAATAGAGAATTCATAAGCAAACAATTGTTGTTCCTCATATACTTACAAATGCTTTATTGTCTATTGACAGATATTAATGAATGTGATAGTCTTTTTCTGAACACTTGTCCTCAAGAATGTATTGATACCACTGGTTCCTTTGTCTGTGAATGTTATGCAGGATATTCTAAATCTCGAAATGGAAGCTGTTTAGGTATGGAATTATTTTATTTCTTATAAATTGATTATTTCATTGTTTTGTAATCAATTCAAAATAGAGAGGTGGACATGTATGCTGGCTGACTAATACAATTTTTCTCTGTATAATAACTTTTTTGCAAAAAATTTTGAATTAAAACATTATGTCTCCAGTTGCTATTACTAATATCCTAAAAAGCTTGGAAATATGAAATGTACATGTATTTGTACAACATCTTTTAAAAGATTATAATACTATTTTTTGGTGAACTGAATAAACAAGACCCTATAATTTAAATTATGTTTTCAGTTTGGATTATATATGGATTATATAGAAGTAAAATATGATGGCATGCATTATATTTTTTAAAATATAAATATAAATTACTACAACAAACATTAATATTGACAAGGCAATATTCTTAATTCATGATATCATTTATGAATTATAAAAATGTTACATTGTTTAATATTTGATAATCATAAATTGCATTTACTTTCCACATTAGAAATAATTGCTTAATGATCTAATTGTCAATATGTAATTCATATTTTATAGACATTGAAGAATGTAAGACTGGATTATCTGACTGTGAACAAAAATGTGTTAACGTTCAAGGAGGCTACAACTGTGATTGCTATGCTGGATACATACTGAAAGATGACAGGAAATCTTGTGAAAAAGAGGGTAATTTATTCTTACACAAGAAATAATATTTTAAATTCAGGACAATTTGTTTTGATCCTAGATCACAGACTAACCTTCTTATTCAGAAATACCTGCTAACTTTACCCTGAGATACTGACCTTAGACTAATGTACTAACTTAAACCTTATTTGCTGACCTTAGCTATATGCAGTTTTAACTTATTTAAGTTGGTACTTTCTTTATTCTCATATCTTGGTATTATCACACTATTCTAATTTAATCTAAATCCATTATATAAAATAAATTTTAAAAATTATACTTTATGAAAAAATGCTGTTCTAAAAATATACTTTAAATCATTTAACAGTATTACTGACTGACTATTTAAACTTTTATTTAAGTCTGTTTTAACAGCTGATAGGGTTTTAAAATTTGTCCACAGCATACAAGTTAAAAAATACTTAAGTTAAGCTTGATATTTTAAGTGAAGATAACACAATTGATTGTAATGTGCTTGTGTATTTTACATTTTTATAGTGGATCCTTGCATCAATTTTTATCTGAACTGCAGTGTTGGATGTTCGATTATAAATTCAACTGCACAATGTTTTTGTGGTCTTGGTTACAATCTTGGCACTAACGGTTATGATTGTATTGGTATGCTTCATTTAAATTATTCTAATTTAATTTATAAACTACAATTTTAAAAAGTAACTAAAATTACCGTTAAGTTGTTTTTTTTACCATTGTTAATTACAAATTATTTGATACTCCAGATATAGATGAATGCTCATTAGCTGAGAATCCCTGCAACGGAACATGTAGAAACACTCCAGGCTCATATTTTTGTTCATGTCCAATAGGAAAGGAATTACAAAATGATAAAACAACATGTCTTGGTAATGATAACTTGTTTAAATATATAATTTGGTATAATATCACTTTGTATACATGTATCTTTTTGCAACTGGACATAAAAAAATGTCGTATGTTAATTATTTCATAATTGCTCAAGAAAGTCAATAAGATGTGTTTAAAATATATTTGTGATATGTTAGCCCTTAGCATTGTAGGAGTTGAGTATGGTCATAAAATATTTATAACATGATCTAATCTTTGGACTGTTTATCACTCTCTTTTGATTTTTAAAATATAAACCTCTAAAATGTATATTTCTCATTTAAGTTCACAGTAAAAATATATATATTTTTATCCAAACATTTTGTCATATATAAAACAAAATGATTATCTCAAATATTGGCATAACATTTTAAATAGTTAAAGTAATTTTTAAAAATATTTTTATCATTTCATTAGTTTTTAATGAGTGGTATGTCCTGAGTTTCCCAATATATTAATTCCAGTAATTTGTTTTAAACTCTAAGCTATTAGATCAATCAACACCTTATTAAAAATCTTATTTTTGAGTTTTGCTGTAATTTTATTATTGTGTTTTTACTAAAATATTCAAACAAAGAAGTTGATATATTTTTAATACTATCATGATATAAAAAAAGTATAACAGTACATATTTAATAAAAAAAAAGCATTATCTGATACTGCCATACAAATACATTACATGATACTGCTATACAAATTTTAGACCAAAAAAGATTTTGCATAAATTTTCTTGTTTCCTCAACAGTGTGTGATGCCTATCACTGGGGAGAGAACTGTAATACCACATGTGACTGTAGCCCAAAAGGTACAACACTTTGTGATCCAACACTTGGCTGTCAATGTAAAGAAGGCTGGGCTGGTGACAAGTGTCAGTTTGATCTGGATGAGTGCAGTAATGGAACTATTTTGTGCTCAAATTTTTCAACTTGTATCAACACAGTGGGATCATTTATTTGTCCATGCAATAATGGATATATAAAAAACAATAGTTCAAACGGTACATGTGCAGGTACATGTTTTTACTCAAATTCCACAATTTATTTAATATTCCGTAAGTTTACTTCAAAATTATTTGATGCAGATAGCACTTGTTAGTAGTGTCATATAAAATAATTACCAATAATTAGTTTAAAAATATTTCAAAACTGATAATTGTTTAAATTTGTTGTTATAAATATTTTGAACCAAATATATTAAATATGGCCCAACTATAATTAGTTTTTAAAATTTTATTAATTTTAACATAATAAGCAATTAATTTTCAACCCAGATATTGATGAGTGTGCTGGTAGTAGCTCCTCCCCCTGTGATCACATTTGTACAAATACATTTGGCAGTTTCCAATGCTCTTGTCATGAAGGATTCAAATTAAACGACACTAAATGTTTTGGTATGTAAGTTATGGCAAACGCACACATTATGTCATGTATGCTTCATAATGTTAGAAACTTAGTAAAATATTTTTTATAACATTATAAATTAAATTATTTTAAAATAAAAAGTAAATGAAAAATTAATGGTTCAATCAAAATGCTATGCTTCTTGAGATCATAATTTTTTGCTATAGATTTTTTCAGGTTAATTATTTTGTCATGATTTATCTTTTCCCCAGATATAAATGAATGCATTGTACCTAAGTTGAACAAATGTGACCAGAAATGTAGAAACACAGAAGGAAGTTTTGCTTGTGAATGTTTGGATGGCTATGAACTCAATGTTACTACAAGCAATACTTGTTACTGTAAGAATAATTATTAAGCCCCAATTGTGCTCTATAAATTATATTTTTCAAAGGGAGAATGTATAAATATGTTTTTTCACTTTTTGTATTCTATAGCAGAGACTATTTAATAATTTGTATGCAAGAATACAGTACAGAATATTTCAGTGTTGTTAATTACCACGAGCCGACCCGCAGCGTATCATAAGCCGATATTTAGTTGTTTTATTTTTTTACTTTTCAGTAATTCATAATTAGTGAATTCGACAGTACCAATGCTGCCACTGAAAATATTTGCTTTAAAACTCTATCAGATGGTTGTTAAGGACAATACCCCCTCCTTTCCCCCAACCCCTTGAAAGCAAACTCCTCTTAGTTACCTCCCCTAAGTTTAAAATCATTTCAAACTAAATTATCTGCCCCTAATAGCCGTCACTAAACCCGGCTCAACGATTGTAAACATTTAGCATGAACCACAGTTCACCAGACCATGTAGGGGTGGGGGTGGTAGGGAGCACGCTTACAGCTTGGTGTTTTCGATTGTCTCCAAGAAGAGAATTATATATAGATAGTTTACATGGATCTAATAGTAATTATTTATTCACCAGTATCAAATAGTAGTGCCAAATGTGAGACTGGAGTTTGTGATCAGTTTTGCCACCTTGAAAATGGGAGTCCTGTATGTTCTTGCAGAGAGGGATTTCTGCTGAATGCAGATAACAAAACATGCTTAGGTTTGTGTATCCTATATCACCTTTACTCTTAAATGAAAAATTAGTTAAAATTTCTAACAAACCCCCAAGGAAAGTGTTACAATGGTGTCAAAATGTGTAAGTTGTATTTTTTTGTGTGTACCACACAAAGTCTGCTTTTATAAATAAGTAGCCTATAGGCGTGTGCGATAATGTTATATTTTTGTTTATTTTACAATTCAAACTCCTGTGGCTTTAAATCTGATATTGCACCAATTACTACTTCATAAAGTTAACTTCATACTTTTTACTTTTTATAATCATTTAAAATCAATTTTATAATGAATACCTTTTATTATAAAAGCATAGGACCAATATACTCTTAAAAATTTGCTGTTAGCATGAAACCATAGCCTACATTATTTTATCTTCTTACTTTGTAGTTTATTTAAACTAAAACAGTTCAACCACTTCTCATAAATTCTTCTGTATGTTTTGTATTTTTTAAAAAAAAACATCTGTTTAAATATGTAAAATTATATAATAAGGAAGCACAATAAAAAATCCTAATTAAAAATGTTTCTTTTTTTGGCACATTCCTGTTATTATTAGGGGAATTTAAATAATGGGTCAGTTCCTTAATTTTAAGTAGGTCCACCTAGCTTAAATGGGCATCCGACTTATGCCATAGAAAGCACAGAACAATTGCTTTATATGTTGAGATCAAAGAAATGAATTCTACTTCATTTACTATACTGTACATAAAGTTTTATATTTTAGCCTCTATTACATTAATATGTTTTTAAATAAATGCACTCAATCAAAAAAAATTATTAGAGCAATAGGCTATTAAATGCACTGAATTAGTAAAATAAAGCGTATTTGCTATTTAGTAAAAGGTTTGGTCGCTCACGAGATCTTATACATATTTTAGCTACAAAATCTATTACTAAAAAGCAAATATGCTTTATTTTCTTATTTTCATTGCATTTTAAAGCTTGTTACTATAGTTTTCTTTTTATATTTGTTTTATATAAAACTAATATGGAAATAATAATTTTTAATATTTTTAGACATTGATGAATGTGCTGAAAATATATGCATTGAAGGGCATTGTTATAACCTGAATGGTAGTTTCTCATGTTCATGTGATAATGGCACTATGCTGTTAGAAGACAAGCTCACATGTCAAGGTAGGAAATAAATATTTTATATAAATTTATATAAAAACTTATAGAAATAGTAAAAATTGGCTAGTCAACTTTGAAATAGTAACGGATAGATAAGTTTTAACAAATTGACAAATTTTTTTTAATCATGTCTTCAATACTTCTAGTTCAAACTGAATACATTATTTTGTTTAATTTTTAGTTTGTCCATCCGGATTTTATGGCTATGATTGTGCTGCTAACTGTTCCTGTAACACTACCAACACCAAGCCTCAGATCTGTTTTGCTGAGAATGGAACCTGTGATTGTTTACATGGTTGGACTGGCAGTGACTGCAGTACTGATGTTGATGAATGTAATACATCACCGTGCCAAGAAAACTCAATTTGTTATAACTACCCTGGTACATATAAATGCCCTTGCAATAAAGGGTACTTTGAATCATCAAATGGGTGTGAAGGTAAGCTTTTCATTTTGAATTTTATTTTAAGCTTTGAGTTTCTTGCAAAAAAGTAAATATATATTTTTTTAAAATGCTTTCATCTATTGATAAAATATCGATTCTGATTGAAATATATAATTACTTTGCATTTAATATTTATACACCTATAACTATTATAAATGAACTAAATTGAATTAATTACACAAAACTACAAAAACATCTTCCAAAATAATTATTTCTTTTATATTTTCAGCATGTGATAGCACTCATTATGGTAACAATTGTAAAGAAAAATGCCAGTGCATACAGCTCAACACAAACCTATGTAATAGTATAAATGGATCTTGTACATGTGAGCCAGGCTGGACTGGAGTTCATTGTGAGACAGATATTGATGAATGTTTAAACACTAGCTACTGCCCAGATGAACATGACCATTGTTTTAATATAAATGGATCAGCAGAATGTAGATGTGATGAAGGATATGGAAAATTTAACAACTCACTATGTATAGGTAATTTTATAATAATGAAGAAAGATTATTTCACAATTTCAAAACCGAAACTTTAAAAAAGAGTTTTAATACCCTATATCTTTGTTCAACAATGCCAATTTGTTTGTTCTATTAACAATTCTATTAACTGGTTACAACAGATGTGGATGAATGTCTGGATTCATCTAACAGATGCAATGTTTCCACAACAATATGCAACAACATTGAAGGCTCTTATAATTGTGCTTGTAAACCAGGACATATAGATGTCAATGATTCCAGCACTTGTAAAGGTAAACAAAATAACTTCTTTTTTTCTGTTAAAGATTCTGCTCTATACAAAAAACCTAAAGTGCAATTTTATATTGACTATTTTAAATTAAAAATAAATAAAATATTTAAATTCATTTGAATGAACAGTCTAATATGATATTATAAAGCTAATATTAAGATAACTAATTAGTAAAATAATGTAATTATTACATTTTATACATGTGCATATTTCTAAATGGTCAAAACATAATTATTTTTCCTTAACCCTTTATCTACTGAGGTACTTATAAGTACCACTTTAATTAAGTGACTGTGTTATTTTTAATCTAAGTTGATTTTTTTAAATTTATTGATATAATAAATAGTTTTATCTCCCCTGAGTATCCGGTAGTTGGACGGATCGATGTTATTTGAAAATTACCGGTGCGATGTTATTTGAAAATTACCGGTGCGGCGCTATTTTCAATCTCGTCCTGTATCGGTAGTTCACAATTGTGCTGTACAGATCTCACATGTGTTCTTAATTTTGCTTTGTTTTACCTTAATGTTTAACATTTCAAGCCCAAATATTTTTTATTGGCATCTTCAGTAGTCAGGTAAGTGTGTTTAACTTCTATTTATTCAATTTTAGTAACATTTTCTTTGTATTAGATCATTGTATACACAAGGACTTTTGAGTACCATCAGGGCACACCTTCATAATTTTAGGATTTCTTGAAAATAATTTTTTTTAGATGTGGAGTGACATACTAATTATTTTGATAACCAATTATCAAAGTTTACTTAAAAAAACTATATTTATACATTTAGAAGATGTTTTGCATGTTTTACCTAACAAACATAGTAATTAAATTTAGATTTCTTTTAGTAAAAGAATAACAAGAATGAAGATTGTAGTTGTAGGCTAGTTTACTAGGTTTAGTAAAGTTAACTTGTATGACTAAGTCCAGTTCTAGTCTAAAGATTTGTTTTTTATATGTAATGTACGTAGACTAGTAATAGTCCATACTTCAGCATATAATATAGATCTTTTGGTAAATTTTAATCAGCAGATATAAAACAGTAAGCCACTAAGCCCATTCTAAACACATGGAGCTCACTTCTATTTATGAATGTTACACTGAAGGGTAGGCCTGTCATAACATTCTAGCAGGCTACAATCATATACTAGTAGTAGGGTACTACTAGTAATATTTTCAGAATATTTTTTTATGCGACTCATTGAAACTTCTATTGGAAGCTTCCAGCAAAAACAGGCTCATTCCAGTGACTGTTACTACACCAGACAGACCACATACAAGAATGTGTCACTAAGGAATAAGGAAGTAGGACATGTCGGCATCTTTTTCTGTGTTTGGTACATTCAGATGAAAGGTCTAAGTTGTGTTCCCATAGGAAATCTGGTCTAAAACAATACTCAAAATATATCTTGAGTTGTGTTTATGTCTGAAATTTATAAAAATGATTGTTATAATGATTGCCATGTTATTAGTTAATAAATTTTACAATTTATTCATGATTCTGAAAAAATTGTCCTACGTTCCTGACGGTACTTTTAAGTACCAATATCTATTTTGACCATTAAAAATTAATTAAACTAAATTTCCTTCGACTTACTTATGCTTTAAGTGTGCCAAAAGCATTAGAGTAACACATTGGTTAAGACAAAATATCATTCAGAACTTAATTTAGTAAATTAAAGGTTAAATATCTACATTTTTAAATATATTATTCTTTGTCTTAAATAGTGAACTACAGCTCCTATTCACTCAAGGTGGCATTACAGTTTCCAACAGTTTCCAACCCATTAATATTTATAATGACTACAATAGAATCTAAAAAGTTGACAAGGGAAATTGAAGAAAGTGTAAGTTTCTAAAATCCAAATTTCAAACTATATTTTAATTAATTATATACTTTAAAATTTATGATTGATCACTCTAGTCATCCCTTAGTTACACAAATTTCATTCAATCGCCTGTGTTTCCTTCCATTTATGTCATGCTCTATAAAAAGCAAAATATACTATTTTTAATACAAAATTTAATTTACATTTGCATCATATTAGAATAAAATTACCCAATACATTCTAAGTAGTTATTTGAAGCCCAGCACTGAACATAAGAGACTTGTTACAAATCAGTCATCTTTCAGCCAATCACTGTGAGATGAAATCTCTACCAATACTTTGCCACTAACAGAACTCATTGAACATTATAAAAGTGTGCAGCATATCAGATTATGCATTTAATAGTTCCTACAAAAGTAAAATGACAATGATGCAACACGTTTTTCTTCTAATCAGACAGACATTTTACTTAAGTACTGGCATATCCATACAACAAGTATTTGGATGAGCACAACAGAAACAAATACAACCTACCACATAGATCAACTAGACCAGATGTCACATGAATAAACAAGTCAAAACTTCCACAGAGATAAACAAAAGAAGCTTTGGATACAAAAAAAAAATACAAGACTTCTATTTAAAATTAAAAAAACAAGACAAGCCTTCTAATTTAGTAAACAAGACCAGCTTCTTCTATTTAAAAAAATAATATGAGCTTTCCATACAAATAAAATTTCTATTAAAATAAAAGACAAGGTTTATTTTTAAATAAACAAAACAAGACTTAATCTTAAACTTAGCTAAACAAGACTAGACTTAGTCAGCAGAGAATGGATCAGGAAATACAAAACAGATTTGTTCTTCCAACGATACCAAAATGATTCTGGGTGCATTATTAAGTGTTTAAGTGTTTAACTATGTTCAGTAATGTTATAAACAGTCTATTATTTAAGGGATGTTGGATTAACTGGTGAGTTATTTTAACAAAACTTGTTTCAAGCATTTTTCAGTGTCTGACAGCTAGATCATGTCAAATTAAAACATTGCTCATTATTAGTTTCCATTTCAACACACCTTGCATCAATTGTAATTTTGCTATTTTTTTAGCTGACACAGTTTGGAAGAAAACTCTATGGAAATGCAATATTGCCTTTTGTTGTATACAATTTAACGTAAGTAAACATCCATTGTAGTTTACATTAAAAACAATGTGGTGCAAAATATTCAAATTAAACATAATAAAAATACATTTTATAAAATATAACTTTCGTATTTATTTCAATATTTATTGGATCAATATAAGTTAATATAATATTAAGGCATGCAGATTAATAAAATGTAATAGTTTGACATTAAAATACTATACATTTATTATATGTGTATTATGATTAAGAATTTTTACATCATGGTTCCATATTCAGCTGCTGTCTGGTTATTGAAATAGTTGTGAAAAAAAAAAAATCACTTTGTCGGCCTATCATAGCCATCTATAACACTTAACATGAAAAATTGACCAAAAAAGGTTAACTTTTGTTCAATATGTGTTAATGAACAACATCTTATTCAACAAAATTATGTGAAGCATTAAAATTGGAAAGATCATGTTAAAAAATCACCACAATGAAGAACTGAAAATGGTGAAAATTATAACTACAATTATACTTCATTTAAATATTAGATAAATAAGCCAATTTTTTTTTAAATTTCAGGCCAGGATCAATTATTGTCCATACATATCTTCAAGTTGATTTAATGTATTCAAAATCACCTTCTTATTCTGTTTCCTCATTTGCCTTTGAATTAAAGCAAGCAAAAAATTTGACAGTAGGTTCTATAACCACTGTAGTAGAGGATGTTACAGTAAATAATATTTCAGGTAGGTCATATTTGATATATTTGAATAGTATTTTCCACATGTGCCTCACATATAAATAGAACAGGGGTGTAGCGAGGGGGGGGGGGGGCGGGGGGTGCGGACCGCACCGGGTGACACCATTTAGGGGGGTGACACCAAGGCAAAAAATATCAAAATATATAGAGAAAAACTTGAGGGGGTGCAAAGTTTGAGGGGGGGGGGGGTGCAAATCGAAAATTTGAAAGTTTGGGTGACACCATTAAGTGCCGCACCGGGTGACACCCGACCTCGCTACGACACTGAAATATAATACACATATTTCCCATGTCCACTAATTTTTGTAAAACTTAAATTTGTTGTCTTAAATTGTTTTATAAATTTGAAATGTTAGAACAGTTGTTTTGTTCATTTTTTTATTTACAAATTGCACTATTGTTCACCAGTGGGACCTATCTCAAACATCTGTTCTCTTTATGGAATGCTAAAAACATGTCCAGAAAATGAAAAATGCATGGAAGTTTCTGTGCCAGATGAATGTAAAAATGATGAAAAAGGTATTAAAAATTTCTGATTTACATTTAAAAGTTATCTTGTTTTTTTCTATGTAAACATTTTAATCCAATAATTAAAAATGGAGCAAATCTAGGTAATGGAAAATTGTATTAGATAAAAAAAAATTTTATAATTTATTTATTCAATGTGATGTTCTAATTTTAAAGAATACCTTTTGCATATTGATAATTATTAAAACAGATATTAAATTCTTATATTGCCTTCTTCAATAATTTACTGCTAATTGGTGATGTATATAAATTGATCATAACAATTTTTGTTATATTATTTTTTTATTAATAAAATAAGTATGCAAATTTGAATTTCTACCTTGTTTTTAAAACAGAAAACATATACAATTTACCTGAATATTAATGTATTTTCAGAAACTTATGAGATGATAATTGGGCTCTCTGTGGGTCTTGGATTATTTGTGATCTTAGTAATATCTATTGCAATCTTAATTGTGCTATACTTCAAAAGACGTTCAGTACAAAAACACCACTCTAGCTTGCATTCAAATGATCGGTAAATATTTATTTTTTAAAAACTATAGTGCAGAAACATAGAATAATATCAAATTTAATGAAAAATAATAAATTTGGAAAATATTTTCAGTGACAGTATAAGTGAAGCAATGTTCAGGTCTATAGTGATGAGGAGACCACTTGGATACCCATCAATGTACTCACCTGAGTCATACATAGCGCCTGTTGATTACCCAGACAGGAGGGAGGATCAGTACCTACGTACCCTCCACCAGCAAGCTGGGATTTCTAATTCATCAGAATGTTTAGATGAAGAGCCTGGACCTTTAAGGAGTACAGACAGATCAAAGAGCACAGAAGGTTGGTTTCATAAAATTAATATGTTACAATAAAATCACTCTTACTTATTTATTTTAAAACAAACTTACCTAGTTATTTAGTTCTTTTTAAATTGTATTTGTCACAATCTACTCATCGTTGTAAACAAATTCTAGTACACAGGTTCTATCAATGGTGATTCCTGGCTTTAGTCTACGTTTTTATGTTTAGGATTGTTATACAATGGTGTATACATGCAACATTTTATGAGTCTGAGTGGTTGAAGATATGGTCAAGCAATAGATTGTACAAGGTCACACCCAGGAGTCTAGATATCTGTTACTCGTACATGTTTTTTAAGTAGTATCTTTGGCCTACTCAAACTTAAATGCAACCTGAGATAAAAATAATGGAAACTAAAACTTACTGGACAGTCACCAAAAATAGAGATCAACTCTACATTTCCATGTTGGCCATCAAGTTTAAGAAAAGTATGGGCTAATTTTGTGAATAAGAAAAAATATATGAATTTTTAATCAAAACAATTTTTAAAATATTTTTGTTGTGTGTATCCTCTCAGATATAACAGCAGATAAAAATACAGCCAGATTCTCCTGGACACACATGTTTGATCTTTTAAATCAACATAAAGGAGTAAGTAGATATAACATTCCAGTTGTAATTTTTTATGTGTTTAGTTGCTAATGATAATGTATGGTGTAGCCTAGCGGTAAAGAGCTAGACTGCTAACCTGAGAGTCTTGAGTTCGAATCCAGGTTCAAATCAGTGGAAAGTTCCTGAGTCCTCCCAGTTTGCTGAAACATCAATAGACAGGCACGTAATCTAATTGCAGAACCCTTTAAGCAAAATGGATTAGCCAGAACAAAAATAAGTTGGATTACATTAATTGTGAAGAAAATTAATGTTGCTGATATGATATGTTTTATTTTTATCCATAAACTATGTTTTCATGATCTTAGTGATAAATCATATAGAAATTTATAACTTATACAGTGCTAAAAAAATGGTAAGATTTGAATTATAAAATATGTTGGATCTTTTTCACTTGATTAAGTTTAAAGAGTTTAGAGTTTTTAATCTTTGTGTATCTTTTATTTGTTAACTTAAATATTAGCATAGTTTGCTATAAATGAAGAAAATATCATTTGAATTTTATTTCTTTTAGTTTGCTATTAAAAGGCCAACATTTGAAGGTAGTTCAGACCTAAAGGTATGTAAAATAATTTTAATTTTCTGGTATTATTTTGTTTTATCAGTTGTTTTTTCCCCTAAATATTTGTTATTGGAAATGTTGTTTCAAATGTAATTGAAATTGTCCAATATACCTACATTTAAAATTTGTTTATTTACCTTAAAACTGGATAATGTTGAGTAAATTTAGATTTTTTAAGGTGGTAGTTTCTTGCTACGTCAATCAATATAATTTGTTTTTTTATTGATTTTTTTTTCAGCAGGAATCACCTACGTCGATAAAAACTATAGAAAACTAGATTTATATTGAAGTTTGTATGAAGTGTTCACACTTTTGAAAGAATATGTGAATTAAATATAAAAAGTTAAACAGGAAAAAATTTTTTTTAGTGAAAAGTTTATTTGGAAAATATTAAATTAAGAAAAACAAATAATTTTTACATTTTGTGAAAAGCAAAGTCTAAATTAAATAGAACTAAATCTAGTTAATTATTTTCATCATGAAAAATAAATGTTTACATTCATTATAAGCTGTAATAAAGACCTTGATTGGTAATTGATAATTTTAGTTAATAAGCATTAAATCGGAAACCAAAGTACTCTATTCATATGTTTTTAAAATACTAACATTAAATTCCAATGATTGGTCAATAAATTAATCGTAATTAAAACATTTTATCATAGTGATGTGTATCAAATTCATAAAATTGAAAATAAAAGTATGAAAATGAAACTATTACCCAATTTTTTTTTGTAGCCATTTAATGATAAATAGTATATTCATGTTTGATCTTAGACCAAATGTGCATTTAAGTAGAATTATGAATAGAGTCTTGTGAAGCAAAGGAAAATGTGTATATAAGTTTAAGCAATGCAATTGTATATATAAGTAATTTATATTGTTAAAAAATATATATTTTTAAAATTTTGATTAAAATTTAAACATAAGCATTTTATGTGATGTGAAATATCTTTTATTTCTGTTGTGAATTCTTTAAGATTCAAGTGTACATATTGTAAATTATTGCTTGATAATATAAAACTATTTTCTTTTCTTATGTTTACCAAAACTATTTATTAAAAAATCTCAATTGTAAAAAAGAATTATGTAATTTATGTATGCAAATGTTGATAGTGTTCAAAGCTCTTTTTTCTAAATTAATATTTGTTTTTGTAATTTTGTTTTTTATAATGTATTCTGTTACGGGTCATTTTGAATATTTTTAATAACATTACAAGGTTTACTGTGAAGAATGCAAGATGATCTAATATTCTAAAAATGTAATTGAAAATGTAAAGCAAGAATTTGTATTTTGAAATAGAATAAGTTATTACATATTCAGTTACAAGTTAAAACGAAAAAAATATAATTAGCTATAGTAATACACTTTGTATCAGAAATAAAACGTAATCACAACGATTATTGATGAGAAAATGAGGGGTTGCTACCTTGTGATAAAGCTGTTCAATCTCTGTTCATAGAAATCAATAAACTAATTAATACTATAACTGCTGGTGTAGTTATTTCTTTCTATACAATCTATTATTATCAAACTTAAACTAGCAGTCCCGACTTTATATATATATATATATATATATATATATATATATATATATATATATATATATATATATATATATATATATATATATATATATGTATGTATGTATGTAAATATATATATAGGCTATATGTAAAACCTTAAACCTAAGTGTATTACAATAATGAACATTGAACACGAAAACGAACAGAAACATCAGCATATAAAAATATAAACTCTACTTCATCTGCCTCATATGTCTTCTGCTAAAACGGAAAAAGAAAATGATTTTTAAAGAAAAAAATTCCTGTTTGAGGAATGTATCTTCTACTAGTAATTGGTCTACAACTTGTTAAAAATATTTTTGTGACAAAGTAAAGAAAGAACTAAATAGCTAAAAATCAGTGTGTTCGGACAAAGTATCAAGATAATTTATTTCCACTCAACCGAAACCAGTATGAATCCATCAACTTAAATCTAAACAAATTAACTGGAAATGAAATCTATGTGAATTCAAAATTTTACCCGAAACAAAATATGCATGTGGAACTCAATCCAGAACCGCCATTTTAACCGGCTCCTGAAATTAAACCAGAAACGAAATCTCTTGGAAACGAAACTTTACATGGAACTGGATATTTTAATTAACCTAAAACCTTAATCTTAACTTTTTATGGCATTTTAGCATGATCCGGAATTTCAAACTTAAATAAAAAATCAACCGGAAATGATATTTCAACTGAATACAAAATTTCAAAACGGAAATCGAAATTTATCCGGGCACGGAAATTTATCCGGAAACGGTATTTCATCTGGAACGGAAATTTATTTTAAATGAACGAAATTTAACAGTAAACGGAAAGTGAACTGGAAACGGGAATTTAACCGAAGTTAACTGCAATCGGAACTTTATTCAGAACCCGCGTTTTAACCTGCTCCGGAAATATAACTGGAAATAAAACCCTAGTAATAATTTTAACAAACTTAACCCTAACAACCATTGCTACTGAATTACAGTAGCTCAGACAGAACTTGAGGGCCAAAAACTCTTCTAAGCTCTTCTAATTGCATCTTCTGTAAGTGTTTTTATTACATAAATGCAGAATAAACTTTTTAAAATGTTTTTAAGTGATATTATTAAAGCTAAGATAAAAATGGTATAAATAAAATAATTTCAGCTATTATCAAACTTCTACCATATCCCATCACAACTACCACATCCCTTCACAACCACCACCTACCATCACAACTACCATATCCCGTCACAACTTCTACATCCAACCACCACTACCACATCCCATCACAACCACAACCTACCATCACAACTACCATATCCCGTCACAATTACCACAACCCATCGCAACAACTACATCTCATCACAACTACCACAACCTATGCTTACTACCACATCCCATCACAACCACAACCTACCATCACAACTACCATATTCAGTCACAATTACCACATCCCATCATAACTACCACATCCCATTGCAACTTCTACATCCCACCACAACTACCACAACAACATCCCATCATAACTACAACATCCCATCACAACATCCCATCACACTTCTACACCCCATCACAACTTCTACATCCAACCACCACTACAACATCCCATCACAACTACCACATCCCATCACAACATCCCATCACAACTACCACATCCCATCATAACTACCACATCCCATCACAACAACTACATCCCATCACAACTTCTACACCCCATCACAACAACCACATCCCATCACAACTACCACGTCCCATTAATATCCCATCATGTCATCCCAAATTAAGTTGACATTTCGTAATCTGTACTTTATGACCGAGATAATGCTTCATAAATAAGCATCGACGCATGGCGTGAGAACCGGAGTCATCAAAATGTGGGGCTAAGTTTTAACATAAAACATCACATGAACTAATGTGGGGACACAGGATATGGACTAATACAGCGTTGTGCCCTTGTCTACGCACTTCCAGAGGCGTAGCGGGGAGGGGGCGGGGGGGGGGGGGGTGCGGACCGCACCGGGTGACACCATTTAGGGGGCTGACACCAAGGCAAAATATAGCAAAATATATAGAGAAAAATGATAATTCCACTTAATTAAGTGATTAATTCGAGTGTTAAATAGTCTTTTAAGTTTTAAGAGGTGCAAATGGAAAGTTTGAGGGGGGTGGGGGGGGGAGGTAAGAGTGCAAATCGAAAAATGAAAGTTTGTCCCCGGGAAGGGTCGCTACGCCTCTGGGGGGGGGGGGGGGGGGGGTGACACCATTAAGTGCCACACAGGGTGATACCCGACCTCGCTACGCCACTGCGCACTTCCTGTTTCTTGCCCTTATCTTCAAATGTGTTGATACGAATTGAATGTATTATTTTGCGTAATAAATTATTGCTTCTTTCAAGGAACCGTAACACTTCCTAGAAGGAAAGCAGTATAATTCATACCGAAAAAAGGCCCTACGTTGTCCCTTGCCCGCACCTCCCCCCTTCCTGAAAGTTTTAAGCGTCTCTGAAAGAAACTTTGCGTTGAACAAGTTTGTATTTATTTAAAGCATATATATATATATATATATATATATATATATATATATATATATATATATATATATATATATATATATATATATATATATATATATATATATATATATATATATATATAAAAATACATGTGTGCTTATGTGTGTGTAATACAGAGGCGTAGCGAGGGGGGGGGCGGGGGGTACAATTGGCTTGGAACAAAATTTTTACCAGTAACCGCTACCCACACTCCCCGTAAAAGTTAGTCCGTCCCACTCTCCAAAAATATCAAGTACCCCCCACCCCCGGAGAAAAAAGAGATTAAAAAAGTCTGAAAGAAACACTGTTTCAGATCGACCATATATACTAGCTAAAACGATTCTGGTAACGAATGTATTAAAAACTTTTTTAAAATAGCTTTTTACAAGTCGATTATTTGTTAGTAGTGTCAGTGGCGTAGCCAGGATCGTCTCAAGGGTGGGGGGGGGGGGGTCCAATTTTTACCCGGGGACAAACTTTCAATTTGCACCCCCCCCCCCCCCTAAAACTTTCGATTTGCACCCCCCTCACTTTTTCTATATACCGAGGGGTCTATGAGGGGGGGTTATGACCCCCCCCCCCCCTAACCCCCCCCCCCATGCCTACGCCACTGAGTAGTGTTTTTATTCGCATAATAACATTGTAACATGTCTATAATTGATATCTTCCTGGGGGTCGGCGTGGTCGAGTCGGTAAAGCTCATGGTTGCTAAACCGAAAAATCTCGTGTTCGAACCCTCGGGCAGATGAGGCTCGTTAGCTGGGGACAGCCACTCTTCTAGGAGAGACAACTCCAAAATTAAACAACTGCTGCCTTGTAGTTTGTTCTTGGTTGGACAAAGGCTATGGAAGCAAATCCAAAAAGAAAAGCAGGCTGAAATCGGAGTCAATGGCCTCAATGGCGCATAACCAGTTGACACGTAACGCTTAATTGTGTTGGAGGCGTGGTCGAGTCGGCAAAAAGCTCATGGTTGATAAATTCGAACAAAGTCTCGAGTTCAAACCCACTGGCAGATAAATCTCGATCCCCTTCAACACTAATAATTAAGAACGAAGAAGAAGAAAAAAAAGATATCTTCCTGGTCTCTGACATACGGTCAGGTTACGCTTGGCTAAATACTTGTAATGAATGTACTTTTTTTATGCTCGTAATATATCTGTTAAACAGGTCATAGTTTTAATTCTCGTAATGTATCTGTTACAAAGGTCATAATTTTAATGCTCGTAATGTATCTGTTAAACAGGTCATAATTTTAATTATCGTAATGTATCTGTTAAAAAGGTCATAATTTTAATTCTCGTAATGTATCTGTTAAAAAGGTCATAATTTTAATGGTCGTAATGTATATGTTAAAATGTCATAATTTTAATGCTCGTAATGGATCTGTTAAAAATGTCATAATTTTAATGCTCGTAATGTATCTGTTAAAAAGGTCATGATTGTATTATTTTTATATTTGTTATATAAAAAGTAACATGTAACGAATACTTATTCGACCAGAGATCCATTGGTTTGATGAAGTAGAGTTAATAAAGGAAAGGTGCGTGATCAGCACTTTGCCCAGCCGCCTTTACTTTGGTAATCGAGACTTTCGGGGTTGCAGACTTTCGCTCTACCGGCCACGCCGTCCGGTATATTTGTTATATAGCAAATGTTATTCTCTCAACTCAAAGCAAAGTCTTAAAGGGCTCGTTTAAAACAAGGGAAAGAACTACCATTTATTTTACTCTACATCAGGGGTTCCCAACCCCGTGCCCGCGGGCGCCACGGCGCCCGCTTAAAGATTTGTATGTGCCCGCCTCTCACTATTCGACAGAGACAGAATTTTTTTTCATAAACATAATTGAAAGGTTGAAGGGGATGGAAATCGAAAGTTTGAAGGGGGGGGGGGGTGCAAACCGAAAGTTTGAGGGGGGTGCAAATCGAAAGTTTGAGGGGGGGGGGGTTGCAAATCGAAAGTTTTGTCCCCGAGTGACGCAAAGTGTCGTTACGCCTCTGGAAGGAGTTTGCCGATTTAAAATAGGTGGTGCCCGCCACCCTACCGATATTTTAGAATGTGCTCTAGAGTAAAAAAAAGGTTGGGAACCCCTGCTCTACATAGTTTATTCTTCTAAAATGTAATATTGAAGGGGATTTCCCGCGTGACAATTAAGTATTAAGTGTCAACATGTTTATCTTTCTGGATTTGCATCCATAGCCTTCCTCTATCCAAGAACAAAATACAAGGCAGCAGTTGTTTGATTTTGAAGTTTTGGCTTCTAGATGGGTTGGACTCCCCATCAGTGTTTCGTTTAGACTTTTTTCTCCGGGGGGGGGGGGGGGACTAAATTATTTTCCTGGGGTGGGACATTGGCAAAAGTATATATTTTTTAAAAAAAATAATATTTGCTGGGAATCGGTAGACACTTTTTTTGGGCGAGGGGGGAGGGGTCTTCCCCAAAGAGATGCCTGAAAGAAACTCTGCCCCCCATCCATTGAGCCTCATCTGCCCAAGGGTTTGAACTCGAGATTTTTTTGGCTTAGCAGCAAAGAGCATCACCGGCCCGACAACCAGTGTTTCTTCCAGTTCCAGACTTTTTTTTTCTGTGTGGGGGGGGGGGGGGGGGGGCGACACTGTTAAAAGTATATATTTTCTAAATAAATTCCATTTCGTTCCGGGAGCCGATCCACCCGAAGAGATGCCTGGAAAAAACACTGCCGACAAAGCCGAACCCACACTACATTAACATAATCAAATTAAATTTGATTAAAAATATGTTATTCCCTTCCCCCCTCTGATAATTCAACCGTGTAATAAATTTAACAGGGCGTGTTACATTAACCTCTAGCACACGCGTATTTCTTATATCCTGCGCTTCATATTACTTCTTAAATTATTTCTTATGTCATGTGGCCCATATCTTTTCAGTTGTACGACTTTTTGTTACTGTTACTGTAACACTTATTTCTTATATCATGCGCTTCATATAACTTCTTAAATTATTTCTTATGTCATGTGGCCCACATCTTTTCATTTGTACGACTTTTTGTTCTTACTGTTACACTTATTTCTTATATCATGCGCTTCATATTACTTCATGCATACAATTATTTCTTGTGTCATGTGCCCCACATCACTTCTGTTGTAAGACTTTTTTGTTCTTAATGTTACGCACGGTTGACTGTCGAAAACTATATCACGCATGATTCCATTTTTTTCAAAGATATATTATTTGTATTATGTCTAACCTTTATTACAAGTAAAAACGGATATAAATAAAATAAGTTACATTAATGATAAAACAACTTTTTCTTGCATCCTGTTACAAAGTAGTAAAAATCCTAGTTCCGATTGGCTAGGCTTGAAGTATTCAACGACAAGGTAGGCGGGGGATAACCCAATGTTTTTTAAATGTTGTCTTTATCATGTAAATTACGTGTCTGCGCTGGCATAATATATGCGCACGGCCTGTAGTAGTGTCTGTACTTGATTAAAAATCTCTCAATGGGGTTGGCAGTTGATAATGTATTCATGTTGATTTTTTAAAGGTAAATTAAACATATTTAGTATAAAATAATTTGTTTTTGGTGTAGGCTTAAGTTATATTAGAATCACGCCTATATATTAAAGACTATTTAAGATCTTAGAATAATGTTTAATCAACTTTATTTTCTTAGACATTAGATGCTTGTGACATAAATAGCTTTCCTCGAAATCGCAAAATAATGAAGTTCATAACCATTCTGAGTGTTTCAATGTTTATATATATATATATATATATATATATATATATATATATATATATATATATATATATATATATATATATATATAATTCGTGCTAAATAGTTTACTGTTTAAAAACACTTATGTACCTTAAACATATAATTTTCTTTCTAGAACATAATGGTGAATTGGACCAAAAGAATATTGCAGAACATAGTAATGAAGAGCTAAAGGATTTCCTTGTGAGAGATATAGTAGAAGAATTTAAAGACGATTTTTTCATTCAAACAAAAACAGACATCAGCGACCTCATTGGCGAAGATAATTGGGACATGGACATAGGTGAAACAACTTTAAACGCTACAGGTGATTAAAAAAAACTGCTTTAGCTTTAGAAACTTCTTTTGCTAAAGAGTAGAATATGTTAAACCGCGAACACACATATATACACACACACAAACACACACACAACCACAGTCCACACTCACGCAAGCATACATGTATTTTTAAATAGACTTAGTATTCCTTGTTTTCAGATTTTATGCAGAATGAAAGCATAAGCAATACAAGCACAGAACTCTACGGGAACTTGTCAGTAGTAATACAAGAGGCAACGAGCACCATAGAAGAGAAATCAGGTTTACTAAAAAAAAGCTTTTTTATATTATTTGTATTTAACTCGGTCAAGTATGCTTTGAAAAGGTATTTTTCTTTCAATATTGGAACCCTTTGCGTGCTAATGACACAATAAAAAGTAGTAGCGATTTGAATTACATGTTAAGTTAATTATATAGGGATGAAATATTTTAGGGTAAGACCTATTTTATCCCTGTCCTCATGGCAAAGCTAAACATCTACGTATTATAGGATTACATAATGTGTATTGTGTATTTATCTATATACGTCTATGGGCCTACACACATAAACACACATACACACATATATATATATATATAAGCATATATATAAGCATATATATATATATATATATATATATATATATATATATATATATATATATATAGGCCTATATGCTTATATATTGTAGCAATTTTAAATGAAAATTATTTCACAATTATTCAATAAGATGGTAACTGTTTCTAACAGTTGTAAATGAAAGTATTACGATAGAGAACCAACAACTGCTTGAGAATTTTACAAATCCAACCTATGAAACAAGTGACACCGCTGGAAACAATACAGGTAAGATCATATCAAGTTTTCCTTGCATTTTGTATGTATTCGTTTTGTTACCATATTTACATTATTGTATGCGTCGTTTAAAAAAAAATAGCAGCACCAACTTAAAGACGTACACATGATGAGGTATGTTACTTATATTCACACTTATTTTCACATGATACATAGAATTTCTGTTCTTTTAATGACATTGATACATAAACACTATAGCTGAGATAATTTATTCTAAACTTTAAAGACAACTCAATTCATATCTAGACTAATATCTGACAAGCTAAGATTTTAGGAATACATTTAATACGTGACCTGGGGAATAGCGGATGTGCTAGAATTGTGTTTTTATCGTCACGCGCCAGATACAGTACATGTGGTGTATAACATGTCGTTACGTGCTGTGGCCTGGCCCTAAAACTAATCCAATGTCAGTTAAACAGCTTAAATGACAATACCAAGGTTGTTTAGTCACGAAGCAATACACACGGAAAAAAAAACACACAGAGATAGAAATAAAATGTGGGAGCGTGTGTAGCGTGGACGATCGTCTAATAAAGTATGCAGTATTTTTTTTTTAAAACGTACTTTTTTCGCTATTTTTGTGTGCGTGTGTGTGGATGTGTGTGTTTGCGATCGTGCGTGTGTGTGTGTGTGTGCGTGTATGTGTGCGTGTGTGTGTGTGGCTCCGCAAATCTTGGAATATTAATTTAACCAACTTCCCATTGTCCGATTGAGCTGAAATCTGGCACAGTGGCAGATCTTGGATAACGATTCAACAATATTGACTTTTTAAATCTAATTAGACAATTAGTCATTAAAATTTAATTTAATGATGCTCAATTGGCCATATTTAGTTCTTACGTTCATAAGGGCAGTTAAAGTAAGAGCTTATCTGTCTCTTTTGTCACGACATATAAGAAGAGTGATGCTCTCCACTGTCTGCCTGTCTGCAGTCGCCTTTGCTTTTAATTACCTAAGTCAGGCTTTCATTAGAGTTAAGGGGGGAGGCTCCGTTAAAAAAACTTTTTTAATACTCGTTAGAAAACAGTTATTTCTTTACAGCTTTATTAAGATACAACCGCATATGTATTTCCACTAAAAAAATTTTTTATAAAAATCTTGGTAACTATGACAACGGCGGCCATCTTGAAAAATTAACCCCTTCGTAGGTTTTCCACCATTCACAAAATATTACATTTTAAGTCCAATAAACAATCAATTCATAATCTTCTTCCATATTTTGGGGTAATCAGCTAAAAATTTTAAATGCATATCTTCAAATTAATTTTTTATGAATTTTCAAAATTTGTGTCCGTTCAAAACACTTAACTTTGGGGAATTTTGGGGCATTAAAACTATTCTTAGAATATGTTTCTTTTGTCGTTAGAAAAGCTAAACAGGAAAGTGTAGTAGTATATATTCGACAGAATAAATAGAGAGCGTTTTATTAAAACATCAGATTAGTTAAAGATGTAACTAGTCATTTGTTACTTTAAGTAAACAAATATGTTTTTTTTTCTTCTTGGCAATGTATAAACTAGTAGCCTATATTTGTTTCCACAGCTAAACCACAGCCTTCAAGTAAAACAACTACAGAAACAAACCAGAGGGTAACAGAGATGGACATAGACTTTAACCAATACATCAAAGGTGGGTGGTATTGTAGCAGAGGCGTAGCGATGGCGAGGCGGGGGGGGGGTGCGGGCCGCACCGGGTGACACCATTTAGGGGAATGACACCAAGGAAAAAAAAATGAAAAATATACAGAAGAAAAAATACTTTATTAATTTATTAAAGTTAAATAGTTTTTAAATAAAAACCGACAATTGTTACAAGGGAGTTGGGGTGACACCATGACGTAAACGATCTAACTTTAGAGAATACAATGCCACATCCAATTGTATTATTAACAGACTATAGATAAACATCGTTACTATAAGTCTGCAGTACTTACAGCTTATAAAAATACATGTACGCGTATACACACACGTATATATATATATATATATATATATATATATATATATATATATATATACTTTGTTTCTAGGGAGGGTCGACGAAGTGCCGCACCGGTTACACCCGACTTAGCGACGCCACTGCTACGAAGCCTAGCCTCTAAACATCGATATTAAGGCGATCATGTTTTTAAGACTCTACCCAGTGGATAGAGTTGTTTAAACACCATTGTTGTCATACAGTTTATAGCTGTGTGTAGGGGCCCATATGGTGTCAGTCTGCTTACAACTAACACATAGCTATAATCCTACACAACAAAATGACGAAACTTTATACGAGGACTTTAGCAACGCGTTACCAATAGATAATCTTAGACGTGACGTTTTGTTTTTCTAGAACCGATGTCGGAACTATATTACTTGGCTCTAGTTTTTTTTTTTTTTTTACACGGGTTTGTTTACTTTACAGACTAGACGCCAAATAGCGTTCCTGCGCCGTTGCTGAACTATCCATTTTTCACCCCATCCCTAGTCATATAAAGTTCACGACAGCGAAAAGCGCACCCCCTCCTTAAAAAAATTGAAAGGCTGTGGGCGCTTTTTACCAGTCAATTACCAGTTGTTTAATTTTGTTGCCACACAATTGGTTTAAAACACCGTTAAATAAGTTCCTTCAAGCTGAGTATTATTTTCTTATTTTAGCAATGCAGATCAGAAGGAACTTTCTATTTTTGTTCTCCCCTTATTGCCCCCTCCACCCACGTAGCGAGGGAGAACGCCCCTTAATATGTTAGGCATTGTATCCCTAGTGTATGATAGTTTTAAAATGATTACTGGCGCCATAGTCCGGATGGGGGAGAACTATATAATGCATCTAGTAACAACGTAGCCAGGGCGCCGGAAGTCGCAACTGGTTCAGTTTAAAAGTTGAATCAGATTTTGCACCTGATCCTTTATGCAGAACGCTGAAACCAGCCGACCCTAGGTGGTAAAATAGCCGTCGGTGAACGCAAGGTGCCAATCGCACACTGCCGCTGTGGCGCCGTCCTCCGGTGTTTTATTATTTTATGGCAGAAACCTTCCCTGCAGGGTATTCAACAGATTGAAAGGTGTTATGATGTGTGAGACAAACAGACGGACGAATGGAATGATTGGCGGACAGACAGACAGACAGACAGACAGACAGACAGACAGACAGACAGACAGACAGACAGACAGACAGACAGACAGACAGACAGACAGACAGACAGACAGACAGACAGACAGACAGACAGACAGACAGACAGACAGACAGACAGACAGACAGACAGACAGACAGACAGACAGACAGACAGACAGACAGACAGACAGACAGACAGACAGACAGACAGACAGACAGACAGACAGACAGACAGACAGAATGACAGACAGACAGACAGACAGACAGACAGACAGACAGACAGACAGACAGACAGACAGACAGACAGACAGACAGACAGACAGACAGACAGACAGACAGACAGACAGACAGACAGACAGACAGACAGACAGACAGACAGACAGACAGACAGACAGACAGACAGACAGACAGACAGACAGACAGACAGACAGACAGACAGACAGACAGACAGACAGACAGACAGACAGACAGACAGACAGACAGACAGACAGACAGACAGACAGACAGACAGACAGACAGACAGAAAGACAGACAGACAGACAGACAGACAGACAGACAGCCAAACAGACAGCCTGCCAGACAGCCAGACAGCCAGACAGCCAGACAGACAGACAGACAGCCAGCCAGCCAGACAGACAGACAGACAGACAGACAGACAGACAGACAGACAGACAGACAGACAGACAGACAGACAGACAGACAGACAGACAGACAGACAGACAGACAGACAGACAGACAGACAGACAGACAGACAGACAGACAGACAGACAGACAGACAGACAGACAGACAGACAGACAGACAGACAGACAGACAGACAGACAGCCAAACAGACAGACGGACGGACGGACGGACGGACGGACGGACGGACGGACGGACGGACGGACAGACGGACGGACGGACGGACGGACGGACGGACGGACGAACGGAGGGACACATACACACACATGAATATATACATATATACATGTTTACAAAATAGATACTGAATGATAAAAACGAATAGGCCTATATAATTATTGCAGATAACTCAAAACAAGGAACTCACACAACAAGTAAACCAAGCAACGACCAAAGCTATATAACAGAGTACTTTAAAGGCAATCTCCAATCAACAACCGCATATCCTAGACCAAATAACCATTGGGAAGATAAATTGCAGTTTGTACCTGTTGCTAAAGAGTTAACCACACAGAACCCAAAAGCACGTACCAAGTCCGATAACCATCGAAATATCAAGGGAGGTAAATCAGGATCAAGAAACGTTTATGTCTACGAGACAGACAAAGACGATGATTTGATGGTGGCTAACAAGGAAGAAGATGAATATATTCTTGTGAAGTATAACAGTGGGACTGTACGGGTGAAACGGTCAATTGAGGACTACATTAGTGGTTCAGGTTCAGGATCAGGATCGGGGTCAGGAGCTTTAGCAGGTAAGCAATGAGTATATTACCTAGTGTGGTATTTAATAAAACCGGGTGGGCATTTTGTTCTGTTGGCATTTGCCCAGTGAATAATATTTTTAATTGACAAAATGTAAACAGCGAGATGGTTTATGTTAATCATCATCATCACGATTCCCGTGGAACTTTATGGAGCATAGGGACACATCCAGACCAGAGGCGGAGTGACCCTTCCTTGCGCCCGGGGACAAATTTTCAATTTGGCGCCCCCCTCAACTTTTCGATTGGCACCCCCCCCCCCTCAAACTTTCAATTTGCACCACCCCCCCCCCCCCCACAAACTCCAAAAAATGCATCTAAAATGACATTTTAATTTGTTTTTACCAGAGTTTCTTCCAGGCATTTCTTCGGGGGGCTCTGCCCCCCTCCCCGTAGAAAGTCTACCGTCCCCCGAACGAAATGGAATTTATATAGAAAATATATACATTTAACAGTGTCCTCCCCCCACGAAGAAAGTCTACCCCCCCCCCCCCCGAAAATTTCAAGTCCCCCCTCCGCCCCCCCCCCCTCCCCCGCCGGAGAGAAAAGTCTGGAAGAAACACTGGTTTTTACAACCCATTTTGGCGCCCCCTAAGGTCAGCGCCCGGGGACCTATGTCCCCCCCCCCCTTGCCCCCCCCCCCCCCCATCGCTACGCCTCTGATCCAGACCTTTCCATCGTACTCGGTTCTGAGCAGATCTTCCAAGTTAGGCCCACTACATTCCAGCTGTTTCTACTTCACATACAGCTGGGCTTCTCCATGTTTGTTTTGGCCTACCTACTTTCCTCTTTTCTTGGTGACTTCAATCTACAGCCTGTCTGGTGATTTTACAGGGTGTTTCCAATCCATCCCCATTGCGTTTTTGCATGTCTCATAATGGCATATACATCGCATTTTTAACGTGTTATATCGTTTGAATAATCAGTAAGATTAGTTTTAAAAATAAACCTGGAGTGATCTCCCTTAAACTTTCTCGAATATTCTCATATAACACTACACGGAATGGCAACTCAGGATAAAGACAAGATTTTTAATTCATTTTTAATTACTTAAGCTTTTTAAAATAGAAGAGAATCTCTTAGCAAAAAAAAAATTGCACACCAAATGAACGCCAAACAAAATGTGCATAATAGTGCGGAATATTATTAGTACTTTTGAGAAATCGGAAATAGCGTAAATTCCTACTTCCGGTCAACGGAAATTACTCAGAATTTGAAAGATGGCAGATAATTAGATCTTTTACTTACATGTGGAATTTCATTAATCTATCTGAAACAGTACTTTTGGCTTTTGAAAAATTGAAAGTAGAAAAAGTTCCACTTCCGGGTATCGGAAATCGCCGAAAATTTGATACTGATCTACAAATTTGATATTGTCACAGACTGTATTATTATGTATCTTTATTATATTGTGTTTTGCATGAATGAAGAGTACCTGGCTAGCGGAAGGACTGTCTGAGCGATCGTCATGTGTTTTTCCGTGTTTTGGGTGAGATCGCTCATTGACGTAAGGGGAGAGAAAGTGGTGAATAAAAGAGAGAGCGAAAGGTGAACGGGTGTTGTGTGCTAGGACTTGGGACTGGAACGATGGCAGTGAATGTAAGATGTCTCCATGACTTGGAGTCGTGATTATTATTTGTACCTATATCAGTTGATCTTCAAATATGGATGTACCACGGATTTATCTGTACATAGTGTAAATAAAGTTGTCATTTGAAGTTGCCACTGTTGCTCGTGTTCCTGTATGAAAGCTAACCCACAACAACAAAGAATTCATGTTGTTACATATGGTGTCAGAAGTGGGATATGAACCCACGCCTACAAAAGTAGACTGTATAATATTAATGAACTGTCAATTGATAATTTAATCTTAGCATCCTCTATAGCATGAGTAATCGTTCTCGTGCAGTTGACGATGACCTGTTTGCCATCTCTCCCTGAAATTGTATGTGTAGCTTTTAGCTTTGCTACCATAATGATTTCCTATATTTCGTGTAACTTGTGTTACTTCATTTGTTTTAATATTCTTCTCTGGTTTCTGAACAACGTCAGTAGTTATCTTGCTTTGTGTACGTTCGTTTGGTTCATCAACCAACTCAATATAAATATTATGGCATTGCTTTGGCCTTTCATAATACATCTTGCTTCGGTATCTTTCATTAGAACATGATATATTCTTTCTTAAATTACTATATTTCCCACATGACTTTCTTTGTACATAATTGTTTCTTCTCTGATTTGCCAACCTATGCCAACATTGATTTTGGTAATGACCTGTTTTTCCGCAGTAAAAACATCTAGATTTTGGCTTCTTATAAACATGGTGACTGTATTCATAGTTTGCTAAATTTCTTTTTCTTTCATTCTGTGCATTAATGACATTAATGACATTCTTATTAACATGTTGACTGTATTCATAGTTTGCTAAATTTCTTTTACTTTCATTCTGTGCATCAATGACATTGTAGTTTCTAGTTACTGTTTCATCTTTCTTAACTTGCTTGTGCTTCTTTATTGATTCTAATTCACACATAAATTTCTGTGTTAATTTCTCCATTTCTTTGTTAAATTTATTCTTGAGTTCTAGTATATCTTCTTTATAGTTTGACTCCAATTTTCGAAGTAAATCTTCAATAGGTACGTTCTCTTCATTGTGGCTTATTAAGTTCACTGATTCATTAATCATCATTAGTTTATCATGATTCCTGCCATTCTCCGATGGACTTATTAAATCATCACTGCCATTGACTGATGGGCTCATTAAATCATTTTGACTACCATTCTCTGATGGACTTGTTTCTTGTTGACTGCCATTCTCTGATGGACTTACGATACAACTTTCAATAATATTCTCGTGTACTTGCGTTTGAGTCAATAAAGAGTCAATCTTAAGACATTCTAATGTATCTGTCACCTTTAAATCATTAAGTTTAACCTCTGTTTTATCCTTGGGTTTCAATTCTTTCTGGACTATGTTACTCTGTTCTTCATTCCAAAGGTTGCCAATATTTACTTCTTCAAGTTCTGCCTGTTGACTTTCTAATTTTGGTTCATTTGTGTCTGTTATAGCTTTCATTTCTAATAGTTCTTGTTTATATGCTAGTTCATGTAGGCCAACTTGTTTTTCCAAAGTTTCAGCCCTTTTATCTGCTCTCTGTTTTCTGTTTCTTTTTTTTCTCTTTCCTTTTGGTTGTAAAGTCTCTTCTACTTTATCTCCATCTGACATTTTTTCTTCTTCTTGCATTTCTGTAATACCTCTTGATTTATTACGCTCTATTTCTATCTCATCATCTAATTCTCTAATTGCTTTTCCATGAGCTAGTCGGGGTCGTCCTGTTTCTTCGTCCCATGCTTCTAATGCTTTTTCTATGTCTCTGTCAAATCGAGTGTTTGCCCAGGCTATCTGCTTCTTCATCTTCTTAATGCCCTGCGCCCTCGCTAGTGCTAGATATTCTTCAAAACATAACATTTTGATATATTTTCTATGACATAAAATATAAATTCATTAGTTGACAATAGATAAATGTTAATTAATTTACAATACCCTTTCTTGGTTTCTGGCTTGTTTTAGTTGGTATCAGACATCTGGTAATCCAAGAAAAGTTCATAGTACATATATACGTCCAAAATAGTTCACTTTGTTGATTCCAAAAAGTTGAAAAAATTCAAAATAGTTCTAGTAGCCTGTTACAGAGTAGAAATTTGTCCAGTTTTAGATAAGACATCTTTAGGAACAGTTTAGGAACAGTTACAAAAATAAACTTGATCTGCTAAATCCAAACAGTAGAAAAGAAACACTAAGACTTGATCGGCTAAATCCAAACAGAAAAAACACACAGACGATATTTACTCGACATTGGTGAGACAATATCGAATTAAGGTGATAAAAATTATCACGTTGATGACTTGACTTGAACAAAACGTCTGACTTGACTACAGCAACCCTTCTGACTTGAGTGTAGATAGATGACTTTCAAGAACTTGACGTACTTGGTAAACAGTGGAAGACCACAGACTATAATATCTCCATTTCTGACATATGTAGCACCAATTCTTCAACCACTTGTGACATCATAAGTAACAGTAATACAATGTAGCAACATCACTTTATTGCCTCCACTTCTGACACCATATGTAACAACATGAATTCTTTGTTGTTGTGGGTTAGCTTTCATACAGGAACACGAGCAACAGTGGCAACTTCAAATGACAACTTTATTTACACTATGTACAGATAAATCCGTGGTACATCCATATTTGAAGATCAACTGATATAGGTACAAATAATAATCACGACTCCAAGTCATGGAGACATCTTACATTCACTGCCATCGTTCCAGTCCCAAGTCCTAGCACACAACACCCGTTCACCTTTCGCTCTCTCTTTTATTCACCACTTTCTCTCCCCTTACGTCAATGAGCGATCTCACCCAAAACACGGAAAAACACATGACGATCGCTCAGACAGTCCTTCCGCTAGCCAGGTACTCTTCATTCATGCAAAACACAATATAATAAAGATACATAATAATACAGTCTGTGACAGATATAATACTTGTATATGAAATTTCATCAACCGAGCTGTAACGTTACTCACGTTATCGTGTTCACAGAAACACTCACACATACACACACAGACATACGGACAAGATTGCAAAACTATGTTTCTTCTGACTCAGGGAGGTGTAAAACATCGAGATTTGCAAAAAGCTCTTTTTTTTTTTTTGCACGATTACAATACTTTCTCTATACTTCGTATGTGAGAAAGTAAAAAGTATAGGCCTATATATATTTTAACTAAAAACTTTTAAAAAATATTAATACAATTATAATTTACTTCAATATAAACAGTACGTGGTGAATTATGGATTTCTCCTGTTGTCAGCGGGAATGAATCGATAAACGGAACGTCAGAGAACAATAAATTCAAGCAACGTTTGGCTTCATCGGTGGGTTCAAACTATTTGATTGGCGCTCTTGTGTTTTTTTCTCTTCTGAAATAGTTTATTTAAAAACTAAATAGAAGAGGATAAGTTTGATACTATCTGTAATACATCTATATTTGTTTGGTCTGTATTACTAGTAAATGCTTCTTAACTGTTCTAAATGTACTGTTATCTGTGGTATTAAGTCATGTGACAATTATGTGTTAGTTTACCAGGCCTAGAGATCTAGAAAATGTATAGTATTTACTTGCATATAATTACTTACATATTCGATAAAATGATAACACTATTTTACACAGCTCAAGGGGTATCTGCGCACATATATTAAAAGAATGTCATACACACCTTTAAAATTTTCGTATTTTGACGTATATATGCTAAAGTAAGTGTGGTTAGTCATTTAGTCGTTTTTAAAAGTGTTTTTAATCTGTATTCAAGATCTGTACTAAAGTTTTAGGATTCACAAAAACGTTCACACGCTTTCTCTCTCTCTCTCTCTCTCTCTCTCTCTATCTCTCACACACAGACATATATATATATATATATATATATATATATATATATATATATATATATATATATATATATATATATAATGTAAAAAAATCATTTATTCATCAGGACAAGAAGAAATTACACAATAGTAGAGTTTGAAATATTTATATATGATTCTGTAAACGAATACGACAACACATTCGACTCCGACGTCCGTATGGTAATAGCTAAAGCCTTGGTCAACATGAAAGCTATCGTGCCAAATTATGATGTCGTATTATCACAGTTAGAAAATGTCACGGATGTCATGCGTGAGTAGTCCAGTACATGTTTATTTTTTTATTCTTTAATTTTTTACTTTGAAAATATTATTTTGCCGCCTTTAAATAACTTTTGGCATTCGCTACATTTATTGTGTATACTAAGAAATGATGTAGGAGGATTAGGTCTAGTATTATTTTTACCCTAGCTCAAATATTTTTCACATTATGATTTTTATTATTTTATGTTAGGAGGAATACAATACTTTAATAATTATGTAAATGATTTAATAACATAATTACATATCACTCAATTCATTTAACAAAAATAAGCTTGATTCACATACTATATATATATATATATATATATATATATATATATATATATATATATACATATATATATATATATATATATATATATATATATATATATATATATATATATATATATATACAGAAGCAGCCATATGCATAACATGTAAGAGTTATGAAATCTGTGAACCAATAAACAGCTATCTATATGAGTGGTACTGCAAGTAAGTTATTTTTTTACTTCAACAGGAAGAAACGACTTTTTATAATAGCTTTTATCATAATTTTTATCATTACTTTTATCATATCTTATATCGAATTTTGAAGGTTGTTGAGAAACAGGAAATATAATAATGTACCACTTCCGGCTACCATAAATAGCTAAAAATGTATATAAACCTAACTTTTTAAATACATATAAATGAAATTTCGTCCACCTAATGGAAACGATACTCAAGTTTCAGTTCTTGAAGAAATGAACTCGCTCAAAAATTACCGCTCTATTTCCCTCTGCAAATTACGTGGGATGATGTTTTGAAATAGAAATCAAGTGTTAATACGTCAATATTTATTTAATATTAATACTGTTTTTTTTATTTCTGTGCAGGCCATTGGAATCACGTAAGCTGCTAATAAATTTAAATATATCCCTTGTTATTTATTAATTATAAACTTGTATAATGACATTATGATGCCTTTTGCATCTGATGCTTTGGATCATTAGGAATCCGTGTTTGACTTTTGGTAATATTATTTAAATTATTATAATCGCTTTTATTTAAATGATTTACTTACAATCATCAATTAATATTGACAGCTTTTAAAAAAAAATTGTTTCTTACACTGTAATAGATTGAGTTAATTGTGAGGTCAAGGGAACTCACTCTCTGTATTAGTATTATATTTATATTGTTATCTTGAGTGATGTCCCTTACATGTTGTTATCTATAAATAGCTCTCTCTCGCCATTTCTCCCTCTCTTTGCATGATGGCGTCTGTACATAATAAAGACTGTTAACAACCAACGCGGCTTCTCGTCAGTCATTACAATCTACGTCATTTGGCGACGAAGGATAAACATCCACTAGAAAGAGCACCTACTTACGCAAAAAAGAGGTTTGCTAGAGCTTATTAGCTAATTATTTCTAGAATTATGGCGCTGTATGGCCAAATAAAACAATTTGATGCGAATGATGAAATCATTCAAGATTACCTAGAGAGGTTAAGCTTTTACCTAGAAGCAAACAACGTGACGATAGAAGCCAAAAAGAGAGCTGTTTTGTTAACAGTCATAGGGCCTCAACAATTCAGGCTACTAAAGGACTTATGCGCACCAGCTAGTCCAGATACCAAGAGCTTTAACGAGCTGAGCAAATTGCTAACAGACCACCATGCGCCTACCCCATCAAAGTTTCTATGTCGAGCTAGATTTGACAGTGGGACTCGTCAACCAAACGAGTCAATATCAGAATATGTTGCTGCTTTACGTCATTTAAGTGAATTTTGTGAATTCGGAGAAACGCTGTCTGACAGATTATGTGAAAAGTTTGTGACAGGTGTAAACAGCCCTGATATTCAAAGAAAGTTGCTGCTCGAGTCAGATCTAAAATTGGAAAAAGCAATACAACTTGCAATGTCATTCCAGCAGTCATCAGATGCGGCGAGATCTTTAGCACCTTCAGAGATCCATGCAGTAAACAGCAGGTTAGTCAATAAACATCAACCCCATCAGAGCATTCCAACTTATGCTAAACAGCCTGCTCGTTCAAATCCTAGATCTAAATCTAGTAATAATTATCAAATATGTCATCGATGCAAAGGTCCCCATGCATCTCATCGGTGCAAGTTCAAGTTAGCAACTTGTTATAAGTGCAGTAGGCAAGGTCACATTGCCAAGGTCTGCTTTGCAAAGTCTTCGTCTGTTGCTAGATCTAGCCAGTCAGGACAGTACCGCAACCAAAAGCAGCACTATGTTAACTCTCACCAAGACTACCTAACCCAACCAATGAACCACTCTACCTGTGAAAATGCTCAAATTGATTTGCAGCCGGATTTCAACCTATTCTCTGTGAAATCAATAAGTCATGCTCCCATCAATGTACTAGTTAATATCAACGGTAAGAGCATCAGCTTCCAACTTGACACTGGAGCATCTCTAACAGTCATAACAAAGAAAGATTTTGACGCTGTCACAGGAGGATCAGTGTCTCTACAGCCGTGTCACAAGTGTCTAACAACATACACTGGTGACAATGTTCCGGTAATAGGAGAGTGTATGGTTCATGTAAGTTATAATGGTCAAAGTGTTAAACTTCCTCTTCTTGTGGTTGAAGGAAATGGACCGCCATTACTAGGTAGGAACTGGTTAAGTGATCTTAAGTTAAATTGGGAGAGTATTTGTTCATTGAAGAATGTAAAAGTATCTAGTCTTACTTCACTAGATAAAGTTATATCTGAAAATAAATGTGTTTTTGGTAACTCTGGATTACTAAATGATAGAACAGTGAAGTTAAGCATTAAAGATACAAATCCAAGATACTGCAAAGCTAGAGTTCCACCTTATGCAATGAGGAATAAAATTGAAAATGAGCTAAGCAGATTAGAATCTAATGGCATTATAAAGAAGGTAGACTATTCCGATTGGGCGACACCCATTGTGCCAGTGTTAAAGAAGGATGGTTCTATAAGAATTTGTGGAGATTATAAAACTACACTGAATAAGCAAATAGAGCTAAATAGGTACCCTATACCTAACATTGAGGAAATTTCTTTGAATTTGGCAGGAGGAGACAAATTCACTGAATTAGACTTTAGTCATGCTTACACTCAACTAGAACTGCATCCAGATTCAAAAGTCTATACGACAATAAACACACATAAAGGACTCTACCAATATGAAAGACTATGTTTTGGCATATCATCTAGCCCTGGAATTTACCAAGCTGTCATGGACAGTATTTTTAAGGATATTCCAAATGTTTGTGTGTACTTTGACAATGTGTACATAACTGGTAAGAATGACACTGAACATCTTAAAACACTTGATAAAGTCTTGAAAATTGTTGGTGAAAAAGGTTTAAAGATAAACAAAGATAAATGTCAATTCATGCTGACAGAAATTAGTTTTCTTGGTTATATATTGAGCAAACAAGGCATCAGACCTCAACCTGAGAAAACAAAAGCCATTAAAGAAGCACCCAAACCTGAAAATACCCAACAACTAAGAGCTTTTTTGGGCTTGATAAATTACTATGCAAAGTTCATAGGGAATCTACAGAAAAATGCAACTTGGCACTGGGGTAAACAACAAGATACTGCTTTTAATACAGCAAAAGAAGCTTTGTCTTCTGACACCTTACTAACTCACTATGACCTAGGGAAAAGACTTGTATTGACATGTGATGCTTCACCAGATGGTGTAGGAGCAGTCTTGTCCCACATGGATGAGAAGGGTGACAGACCCATTGCTTTTGCCAGTAGATCTTTGAATCAGGCTGAGAAAAATTATTCTCAGTTAGATAGGGAAGGCTTAGGCATCATTTTTGGTGTTAAGAAATTTCATAAGTTTCTGTTTGGTAGGAAGTTCACCATCTTTACAGATCATAAACCATTGCTAGGTTTATTTGGAGAAAACAAAACCCTACCTGAGCATGCCTCACCAAGGATTCAAAGATGGGCTATCACACTAACTGCATACAATTATGAATTGAGATACAAACCTGGATCTGAGAATAGTGCAGATAGTCTTAGTAGATTACCTTTAAAAAACCAAAGCCTGAGCTATGTACCAGAAGATGTATTTGTTCTCTTCACTATCATGGATAACTCCAATATAAATGTGAATGATATTAAAAGAGAAACACAAAAAGATGAGTGCTTAATAAAAATATATGAGTACTGTAAGAATGGTTGGCCTGAAGAGTCTGTGAATGATGACTTAAGGCCATATTAAATAAGAAATAAAAACCTTTGTGAAGATAATATAAAAGATGGAGAAGATGCAGTCCATTATCAGTCAGAGTTACCGAAACAAAGTATTTGTAACTTAATAAATGATTATGGTGATATGGCAATTTCAAATGCTTTTAAAGAGAATACATTAGTAAGAAGGAATGTGATCATCAAACAACTTTGCTAACATCATTAGCACTTACAGAAACTAAAAGGGTAACATCAAAAAAAAAAAGATTTTTGCCATTTAATACTTTCAGATGCCAATTCAAAAATAGTTCCATTAAATCATGACAAACATTCATTGAAAGAGAATTTGGTGTTAATGAGAATGTGTATCTAAGAAATTATGGGAAAAAGGAAAAATGGATACCAGGTCAAATTGTTCAATGTACAGGACCTGTGCCTTATAAAGTTAAAAATAACTTGTGCAGATAATAAGTGTGAATCTGTCAATCCCACCAAATCTGAACAGTTCACACCAACTCAGTTGTTCCACAACCAAGTTCTGTTGATATGAGTGAACCAAGTTGTCTGGAGTCAGAAAATGTAAATTCTGGAGTTAATGATTTAAATCCTAGACCTCCTGAGATAGAGAATCCAGATGGTCAGAATCTTGAGTCACCAAATCAGAAGCCACTGAGAAGGTCAAGCAGGACAATCAAAGTCCCAAATAAGTTAGACCTATGATTCTAAAGGTCAAAAGGACTTTGACATTATTGTTTTGTATTTTGATTATGTTGTAGCATATTGTGCATTGTTTGTAAGGATGTAATCTACCATAGTGTTCATGTTACAATATAATTGGTGATTTTAGGATACTATCAATTGTTCTATTGAGAGATGTGTTATTGTGTTCTAAGGGTAAAGGGATGTAATAGATTGAGTTAATTGTGAGGTCAAGGGAACTCACTCTCTGTATTAGTATTATATTTATATTGTTATCTTGAGTGATGTCCCTTACATGTTGTTATCTATAAATAGCTCTCTCTCGCCATTTCTCCCTCTCTTTGCATGATGGCGTCTGTACATAATAAAGACTGTTAACAACCAACGCGGCTTCTCGTCAGTCATTACAATCCACTTCATACACAATCTTACATTATGTTTTCAGCTTGGCCATTTCTTAGTTTATTAGTTAGCTTACTAAATAGCCATTGCAATAATTCATTTAAATGTGTTTTTAAATTCATATTTAAAATAATCTTTTGGTTTCAAATATGTTCATCGGGTTTAAATTGTTAAAAATAAACACAGTGACACACACTCTGAACGTATCAGCTACATTACAATTTGAACACTATGACAAATGAAAGTGTAACATTACACATAAACATGGATATCGTAAAAATATTTAAAATAGCTTACAATGTAATAATCATTAGTACACTTTAAATTAGGTTGCTACAGAAAGTCTAAAAAAAGTTTTTAAATATTCATACTCTATCACAAACGAGTATAGTACATTTTCATCCAGTCTTGTTCAATATCATTGTTACACAACATCAATTTAGTAGGGTTTATTTACACTCTAAATAAACTTTCCTATCTCATTATATGATGGTGAGGTGTATTCTTTTTTTAGGAACATATCCATATGGAGTTTTGTCAATGGATGGAACATTACCTAAAAACAAGGAATTCGCCACCGTAAAGATTTACATTGAAGATTTTATACCATTTGGTAATACATTGTATCAATACCTATGGGTAAGTTTCCACAAAACTTTGAATAAAAAGTGTTAAAAGTATTTTTGTTGTGTGTGAGCTTTGCAAACTATGTCCACTACCACGTAATTTACAGATTTCCGTGAATGGATTGATAAGTTTTGGAGATGAGTTCTCCAGCTTCACGCCCCAACGACTGCCTGTGTTAGATAAAAAAGGAAAGCCTCGACCTCTGTTGGCTCCGTACTGGACAGACCTTGAGCTCACAGATGGCGATGAGGGACAGGTTTATTATCATGTATGTTTTCTTTCAGTTTTCATACATTATGTTTGATTTGCCTATCATCAATTTTGGAATCGTAGGACAGGAGATTTATGAATAAAAATAATTTGTTAGAAAGCTGAACAATGTCGTGCTGCTAACTTTTTGCAACAGATTGTATTCGGCACTTTTTTCAATACTTTTCATTACCTAGATCTATATGGGAAAAATGGAAACAATCACAGTGCGCGTGTGTTCTATTAATAACTACAAATATTATAATCGATTAAAAAAAATATTCATATTGTAATAACTAGTATTACAAAATAGTGGTCTAATCAGTACGAAAGTAGAATTTACGTAACATTTTGAATTGTAGATCAATATGTAGCCTACATGGGTAAAGTAATAAAGTGACTAAAATTTTAATGTTTTTCGTTTAGGCCCCTATATTTCTGAAAAGGATTACACTATAATAAAATCGACTATATCGTTGGGGTTTTGTAAAAAACAGCATTGTGTCAGATGAAACATTTTTCAATAGTGTGGTGTAGAGGGTCATTTCTAAAAATTGCAACTTTACATATTTCTATATAAATAAAGCAAAGTGATAAAGACGCGTAATATGGCAATGGAAGTTAGAATTAGTACATATTATTTTTATAATCAATAAAAATTAAAGCAATAGCATTTCTTGTGATATTCATTTTTAATAAATAAATACAAGAATTTAGTGGAATTTTCATTAAATATCTAGGTGCATTTATTTGTAAAACTATTATTTAAAGAAAAGGATTAAACATGTATAATTTAAAAAAAAAAATATCAGTTATATTCTACATCAATTTTTTTATACAGCTATTAGTTTTGAAAAACACAGCAGTTAATGTGTGATGCTAAAAATTACTTTCAAATAATTCCATTTAGGTTTTCAATTGTAGTCTGGAAACATCCTCCTCTAAAGTATGTGAACAGGCTAACATTGATGTCGTTAGATATTTGGTTAACGCCTCATCCTACAATGCAACTACAGTTATTGTAATCACGTGGGTTAACGTACCTGCCCCTGGAAATAACTCAAATGAGGTAATAATCGTTAAAAATTTAAGTATTATTTTTTAGTTTATTGAGTATATACTTTTGAGGATTCTGGTCTATGACATTGTCATAAAAACAATGATTGAAACTGGAAACAAAATGTGATATTTGTGTGCTACAAGCCTGCAATGTACCTTCCCTATATCAAACATAGTAGAGAACAATAAAAGTATTTTACAATGCCTAAAAAAATTTATAAATTTTTTTTCAGCGTGTGTCATTCCAGTGTGTCATTATAAACGATGGCTACACAACCTATGCAATGTATCTGTACATGCAAGCAGCTATGCAATTCAAATCATTGTCAGCAAGGAGTGTTGAAATTGGGTGGGGCAAGTTCAACCTCGACACATCCACATCAGCGTATTATATGTTCGACCGAGTTCTGGGTAATACAGGTACGTTAAAATAAATGTTCTAAGTTTATGAATTGTTATTAAGGTGTTGATAAAATGTGAAACGCAAAAACTCTGAAAACCCTCCATTAAATTAGTTACTTCTTCACAGTTTACCACTTTCCAGGCTCATAAAATAACGAAACCACTGCTTCGCTATTTTGAGTTTTGTATCTCTCAGTTGACCAACAACTTTGTTGACAATTAAAAATCAACAAGCAATGTAACCTATAAAATTATGTATTTGTATATTCTCAAAAGTAAAATTAAGTAGGCCTATATTGAAAAATGTTATGGTACTATTTACTATTACATTGTATTCCTTTAAGAAACCTAGGCCACATTGTTTCATTTTGTGTATTTATAAGATTAACCAATGAAAAAAATATGTGCATACTTTCAAAATTTGAATATTTAAACATCTTTCAATTGATAGGATCACCTGGTCAGTGGTTTTTTAAAGTTGGTGAAAAAGTAAACTATAAAATGATGTGTAGATCATGGTACCAAACTAGTCCACTTGCTGAATATTTTGGTAAGTGTCATTAGAGATTTTTTTTTTATTTTCAAAATGTTGTATAGTGAAATACCAGTAAATAATTATAGCTTAAATTTTAATGGCACATTACCATATCACATTTAAAAAATTCAGAAAAAAAACTATTTCTAGAGTTTCTTGTTTAATAAGTAGCCAGCTTACTCTGTTTGAGTTAGTGAAACAAGGATCAATGATTATATGATCAATGTATATGACAGCATTTTTATAACTTGAGTCTTCCAAGCAGGTTTTTTTACAAGATGGCTGCAACTGCAATTGCAGTAATGCTTTCTGAAGAGTCTTATGAATACAAATATTTTCCTTTAAGTACCCTAACATAGATACACATAGGTACACACATATAAATAAATAAGGGTTTAATAATTAAGTTCTTTTTCCATTGCTCACCCCCTTGATGCAACTTGAATAAAATATAATGTATTTTTAAATTTGATATTGACATCATTTTTCTGCATTTTGTAGCAATTGAAAGAAAAAAGTCAGAAATGCCAGCTTGTCCTTGTAATGAATTGGTGGCTATAAATAGCCCTCTTTGGGTGTCATACAGTCTTATCCAGAATGAAAGTCACTGTTTTGATTTATTACCATACTATGGTGAATATGGAAGAGTAAGCATTGCTTTTATAGTATAGTTTCTGTTTGTTTTTATTTATTGACATAACTTATACACACTAACATCTTCATGTAAGGTGTATGTGTATCAGTACTCATAAAAATATAGCAAGCCATATATAGCTTATTTATTGAAAGAGGAGAGCATGAAAGAGAATGTATTGCAAGAGTTTATTTTAAACAAATTATAATATAATATAACAAAAAAGGTAAAAATTACATTAATGGGCATAATCTCAAATCATATGACCTTTTTTTAGCGATGCTGTTACCGGACAGATGGGAGTTTCAGTCTTGAAACCAGAATGCCTCAAGCTGGCAGCCTTCAACGCTTCAATGCTTTCAATTCTCTAATACACAATTCTAAAGATCACCAACTAAATGATATTGAACCAAAAAACTGGTGCTGTTATCAGTCAAATTTGTGCGAACTCTACTATGTGTTAAGACCAAATGTGCAATGTACTGCAAGCAGTTGGTCTAGAGGTAAAGCCTTTAATATATTATCATTACTTTAAAAAATAGACTATGAATTCTAAATAAAAAATTTTCATGAATAATAATCTAGCTAAAATATATTAATAATTCCTTATTAAATTTTTACTCTATTGCTGGATGTTTTAAATACTATTAAAAAATTCTTCTTTAAGCGTTTTTGTTTGGCGATCCACACATTATTACTTTTGATGAGCGATTTTATATATTCAATGGTCTTGGAGAATATAAAATATTGGAGGTGAATGGCATAGCAATGGACAAAGCTGAAATCAATTTTATAATGCAGGTAATCCAACAGTCTTTGCAATTTTATAATGCTAACTTAAAATCTTGTATTAAACGTTGAATAATAAAGCCTGCAACTTTCTTTTTTTTTTATTTATTTTTTTTTTATTTTTAAAATAAAGGGTCGAACCTGTGCTGCATTCAACAGCAATGGAACAAAAACAAGAGCTGCAGTTTGGTGTGGTTTTGTATTTAAAAGTGGAGATGAAAACACATTAACAGTGGAAGTTAGTCCTAGCCATAAAAGTATGTCTTTTTTGCAAACAACATTTCCATTTTTTAAAGACATAATAATTTAGTTTTTTATTCTAATTTTAAAACTATGCATTTTTAAAAAAAAAATTTTAATGGTACTAAAAAGTTTAAATAGTTTGAAAGCTGGCTTACTCATTCAGGATTTCTGTTAAAGAAAAACCTAAAAGTTTTATGCAAGTGACAACTTAAAAAAAAATTCTATTAAAAATCATATTGAGTAGAATAAATAGTATTTTAAAAAACAAATTCTTTTATGTAGAATCTTCAAAATAAATAACTATAACTATTTATTTCAGTGATGATTATATATGGAAACAAACAAGATTATTCAGCACAATTTCAAAATGAACATGAGTTCTTTGCTATGGAAAATGGAATGGTGATTAGAAAACAAAATGGGTCGTTAACAGTTTCTTTTCGAGAAAGTAAGTTTTAGTAACTAAACACCTGCATGGAACCCCTTGTAAATAAATAAATAAATATAAAATAAATAAATAAATATATAGGCCTATATATATACATATATATATATATATATATATATATATATATATATATATATATATATATATATATATATATATATATATATATATATATATACCTATATATATATATATATAACATGTACAAGAACATATTTTTTATTGTATTAAACAAAACATGTAACACATACTTAAGTACATTTTGTGATTTGCGAAATTAAACATTGATACATTGTTATTATTCTTATTAGGTGTTGGAGCTACAGTTTCACTCATATATGGTTTTCTTGAAGTTTCTGTAAGCTTGGATAAAAAATACCAGAATATGACAAGAGGACTTTTGGGCAACTTTAATGGAATCAAAACAGATGAATTTTTCTTTCAAAATGGTTCAAAGCTCTTTGATGAGTCATCCGAGAGACAAATTTTCCAATTTGTCCAGAGTTGTGAGATGCTTTTCAAATAAATACTGATATTTATCACTATAATAAATATCTTTTTTATTTGACAGTTATGTTTAATGGCTACTATATCTATGCACACACACAAATATATATATATATATATATATATATATATATATATATATATATATATATATATATATATATATATATATATATATATATATATATATATATTTATATATGAAATTCAGATTATTAAATGATTTCTGTTTCAGGGGCAATAACCCAATCAGAAAGTTTATTCCAGTATGCCTATGGACAAAACACATCAACTTTTTCTTATCCAAATAACAAGCCTTTATTTTATGATGACCTAGATAAGACAATAATAAATTATTTCAACACACTATGTAATGGAACATTTAAAATACCCTGTATATACGATTACATTGCAACTTTAAATGAAAGTTTAGCAAAACATTCATTAACAGTAGCAGATCAGTTTATAATGGACTTCATCAATATTGGTAAATATATTGTTTTTCATAGTTTTTCATATAATATTACAATGAAATAACTTTGATTGCTTCTGTTTAGATATTTGGTTTTTATAGTTTTATCTCTAATAAAATAAATACTTCTATATTGTTTTAAGAAATTACCCTTGTATTTAATTTTTTTTTGTTTACAGCAAATCAAGGACCACTTATTAAATTAAACCAAACATATTTTGAAGTATATAGAAATAAACCTTTTTACCTTAATGCCAGTGGCTTTGATATTGATGGAAACATAACACACTTTATAGTGTTAACAAATGTAAATTATACTGAAATACAGCATGAGCAAAGCACTGCAATACATAATGCAACATCCAGCTTTAGATTTATAGTAACAGATCTTATTCCAGTAACAATAGGGTATGTTGGTTTTCTTAGTTTGAATCTATATACATATTGAAAAAAATATCCACTTGCAATATTTTTTAAAATGAATTTCAATTATATTTTTCCATAGGGTGATCTATTACTAAATTCTTTTTAAAAAAGCAATTTTACATAATTATTCTTACAAATTGTTTTCTCATTATAACATTCATATTAAATATATTCAATTTAAATTATTGCAGTATGATAACACAACATTTTTTTAAAAATTGGTAATAAAATATGTTCTATTTTATACCACAGATTAACAGCTGTTGATGATAAAAACTTACAATCCGAAGTTATACCATTGTCTCTTACTCTCTGTACTGGTTGCAGTAATCAAGGATCATGTAACTTTTCTGTTACCAGACCTACCACATCTCCTTATTTCTCATATGCAACCTGCAACTGTAACTCTGGCCATGCAGGCATGTTGATGATTCATACAATTTTTTTCAATTCAATTCAAAACTATTTTTACTTTTTTTTTATCTTTAAAAATAATGTTTAAATATGTAATAATGTAAAAAGCATTTACTTTAAAAAATGTAGTTTAAGACTAGATTTTTCTTAAATTATATTAACTTTTACTAGGAGCTGATTGTGAAGAAGTTAGTGATGGCTGTGATTCGAATCCTTGCCCATTAGGATGTGTAAATAATACAAATAATTTAGAACAGGAAAATGGGATATTTTATAACTGTGTAAAATGCCCTGTTGGATTTAATCTTAGCATTGCTCAAACCAAGTGTGAAGGTATGATTTTCTTATAAATTGTTTTTGTTTATGAATTATAGAAGTACATTATTAGTATAAGTGTAATATAATATAAATCAGTGTAAAAAAAATTAATAACAAATAGTAACTTTTTATTCTATATTTACAAGAGCTACCAAGTGTTTGAATAAGTAACTTCCAAAAATGTGGACTTTTTGAATGATTCTAGCAGAAAATAAACTGCAAAGATTACTTAACAGAATGCCTATCTTTTCCCTTCTACAAGCATCATAACCAATATTTATCAAATAAATAAAATAATTAAAATTGAAGTTTAAATTATTTAGAATAAACATGTTTAGTAATGTAAAATAAACAAGTTCTTTAATAATTGTATAACATGTACTGTTTATGATAATTGTTAAATTTAGTATTTATTAAGTCTGTTTTAAAAAATATTATATTAACAGACTTTGATGAATGTAAAACATCACCATGTGATTCTTTTGCTGACTGTGAAAATACATTTGGTAGCTTTGTATGCCACTGTCCTAAAGGTTACCAAAACATTAACAACACTTGTGTAGGTAAGTAGTTTTTATAGTTTTGAAATCCACTTCTATTTAGGTATGAAATAGCTGTCTTGCAATAAGAACACACTACAAATCTATTATTTACAAAGAGCAACTAACAACTATGTATTAATACATAATAGGGTAACATTAATTATCTACGCTGATATTTAGTGTAAACATTTTAGTATTAACCTATGAACAATTCAGATCTAAAATTCAATAGTATTCCTTACATTGTAATTCAGGATTTGATATAATTTATTCTTGCTCTAATATGCATTGTACAATTTTGTTTACTTTTAGACATTGATGAGTGTGCTAACAAGTTAGACAACTGTGATCAAATATGTATCAACATGCCAGGGAAATTTAATTGTTCATGTTTTTCTGGTTATAAACGTGCAAATAATTCATGTGTTGAAATAAAAACAGGTGATGATATTTTGATAACTCATTTCATTCTCAAGTTTGGTATTATTTACTGATTAAAATAATAAAAACAAATGTGAATGGTTACATTTTAAATCTTCAATTAATTATGTTTTAAAGATAAAAATCAGTGTAAATCACTAAATAAAACATGTGAGTATGGCTGCAATGACACTCAAGGCTGTTTTTGTAAACGCGGATATAATCTTACACAAGATGGCATCCACTGTGAAGGTAATTAAAATTAGTTAAACAGTAATATAGTCAGATTTTATGTTTTTTTATTGTTTTTTTTTTGTTTGTTATTTTACTCAATGTTAAATAAATCAACTTTCAAAGAAAGCGAAATTCAATTTATTAACGGTTATGTCATTTTAAACATTTGTAAAGAGTTAATTTGCTAATGGTCATTTATATTACAAGTAGTTTTAAGTAAGTCAATTTTAAGAATAGTCAGTTAGTGAATAAATATTAGCTTTAATTTATGTACATATAATAGAACTTGCGTGAATGATGGGGAGGGTTGATCTAGTTAGAATACTAGGGGAAATTGAAGCCAACAGTTGTGGAGGCAAGGAAGACAAAAATAGTCAAAACTAGGTGTAGTTTTGTTATTTATACTTCTTAAAATCTACTATATCATTTAGTATATTAAATATTTTGTTTATTAAAAAATAATGCAAAGATTTTTGTTTCTTCAGATGTTGATGAATGCAAGGAAAATATTTGTGCACAGAACTGTAGTAACAGTGTTGGAAGCTTTACCTGTAGTTGTCATCCTGGTTACAAGATAAACAGCAAAGATGCTCACAAGTGTGATTGTAAGTTTAAAAACATTCACAATTAGTAGGCCTACTACTAGAATCTCTTGAAAAAAAATTAGTAAATTTTATTTTTCATTAGTTTTTAAATAAATACAAACAATAACATGAATTTAAATTACATTTCAATAAAGGATTTTAAATATATTGCACAATATAATTTCTTTTTAGAAACAAAAGCTAAACAAATAGTTTTATGAATATCTTTTTACCAATTCTATTTCTTCAGTATTTTCATAGCTTGAACTTAACTAGGCTCCAGAATCTTAACACTCACAACAGTGCATGTCCTAAAGTTACATTTGTTTTATTTGTTTTTCTAATAGCCTGCCCTGATAATATGTATGGGTTAAACTGTGCCTCACAATGTGAATGTAAGGGCCATGCTGTACGATGTGACAGTATCAAGGGCTGTATCTGTCAAGACAATTGGAAGGGAACAAACTGTGACATTGATGTTAATGAGTGTGTAGAAACTCCAGACATTTGTCCAGCTGATCACTACTGTACAAACACACACGGATCCTACACATGTGACTGTCCTACAGGATTTGAAGATATGAATGGGACTTGCATCAGTAAGATATATTTGCTAAGTTAATTAAATGTACAATTTTAGCCTGATTTTTAGTGCATGTTTTTAAACAAAACACTCGTACTGCAATACATATTTAATGAATATTTTACTATACATGTCTGTAATAGGATAATTGCCAAATCTAATGGATTTTTATTGGTAAGAATTATTTTCTAAGTTAGATATAAGCAAATTGGCAGTTTTTTTAGATTATATGTATCATACGAATATGGACTGACAGTAAATATTAGCTGAATATTTTACAATGCAGGTCTATTATGTGTAATTGCAATATCTGAGAATTTGTTTATTTAGACTTTTAAGCTTAGCTTAATGTGCTATTTTCTAAGGTGGGAGGGTGTTTCACAAAACAATTCATTATAATTTTGGTAGTTAATTTTAATATTATCATTGATTTTTAAATTTTTTTAAATTATGAAATACAATTTTCGGTTACCATTAAATACCAAAAGCATTGACAAGTTTTACAAATTTAAAAGGTTAACAATTATCTGTTTTTGTCATATTTTCTGTAAATTCAATTTGTGATATAATTATCTCAATTTAACATATTAAAGCAAATACATATATTAATCCAATTGACAAGATGTCATTTCTTATGAGGAATAATTAACAATTATTTACTTTAAAATGTATTAATGCTTATTTCTAATTTTTATCTTATACATTATTTTATGAACATTTTATGATTTATTCTTAAGTTTTTGTATAGACCTATAGCTTAATTGTTTTTTCAGACGTGAATGAATGCAACAACATATTACTAAACAAGTGTTCACAAAACTGCATTGATATGCCAGGCTACTACATTTGTGATTGCTTTAATGGTTTTACCAAGCTATCAAATGGGACATGTAATGGTAATATCTAAAAACAATGCAGACTTTATTGTTAAATATAAGTAAAGTGTTAAGTTCGAATATTATAAATTTAACTTAAACATTGTCCTAAATTTTTGATACATCAAATCGAAAAAATTAATTTCATGAATACATAAATGTTGTATTTATTTTATGCCTGCAGATATCAACGAATGTAATAATGGCCAATCTGGCTGTGAGCAGATTTGTTTGAATGTTCCAGGGAGTAGCTACTGTGGTTGTTATCCTGGTTATAGATTAAAGGATGACAGAAAGACATGTGAAAAAGATGGTAATTTTAAAAATTCAATTTATAAATACAGTGATACTTTGAGATAGGAATTCATTTCTTAACCTTGCTCATATGTCAATTAACTCAAAGATAAGCGCCGTTTTGTCTATTATAATTAATTGAAATTTTTTTAATCTATTACCCCCTCCCCCCATCCCCTTCATGCAAGTTGTTTTAAAGTGTTTTTTTTTATTTTAAAATTGTGTTTATAAATGATCAATTAAAAAAAATCATAATTAAAGAAAATGCAAAGAAATAAAATTGTTTTAAAAAGTGCATTTACATTGTATATAATCAGTTTTACAGTATATTAAGGTACCACTGTAATTAAAATAACATAAAGAATAGTTTTGATAAAATTAAATTTAATATTCTTAATAATGTATTTTTTTAAAAATATAATGATTATTAATTAAATAGTATAGTACCAATTATGTCTCACATTATGCATCTATATTAAAGTTACTGAATAGAAAGGTTTACAATTTTAGGATAAAACTAAAGTCAATCTAGTCATTAATTATTATTGTTTAATTTGACAATTTTTATAAATCAAACTAGAGACTAATAGTCAATGAATCTGAAATATTTAGAATTTAGGTCAAAATATTATTCAAATCTTTGAGCATTACATTTAAGACTAGAAATTTACTCACTATATGATATTTTTTTACAAATATAAATTTTATATTTTTTAGCAGTGGATCCATGCATCAATTCTAATTTAAGCTGCAGCCATGGATGTACAGTTATTAATGGAACAGCCCAGTGTTTTTGTAACATTGGCTTTCTACTTAGCACTAATAATTTTGAATGCATTGGTGAGCTAGTCTCTATTTCTATCTGTAAATTTTCAATTATTTCAGTTATATATATATATATATAAATATGAATTTAGCATATTTAAATGAGGGCTTTAAGTGTTTTATCAACACCTTTATGTTACTACTAGCAAAACATTTTCTTAACATATCTATTAACAAAATAACATTTAGTTAATGTGCAGACACAAACATGCAGATACAAATGATTGAACAAGTCCAAAATAATATGTTAGTTACTATTGTGAACAATTCTAATCATAAACAAATTTTAACACCTTTTGTTTTATAAATTAAACCATAACAGCAACGACAAATACATCAAGGAATGAGTGTATCAATTACATTAAAAACTATCAAGAGTATGTGGAATGCCTAATGTGAGTATTGTCTATTATATTATTTATTGAATTTAAATTATTTTTAAAAAAATGTAAATTTGTTTGATCAAACTCCAATACTAGATTTCAGGTAGTGAATTAAAATTAGCTTGGACTTAACTGACCTAAAAGACAACGCCAACCGTGACAATATGCCTAGGTTAAATAGTCTCAAAAAACGTCACTGATAAAACTTATCAAAGTAATCATCAACAATAAATCTGACACTAAGTCATGTATGCTAAAAACAGCCAAAATGCTGCAGCATATTCAAACGGTAGATTAATGCATGATATGAAATTGACTAACTAAAATTGACTAAACTAAAATGACCTTTTTTCCAATAATAATCTACTATACATACATATATACATATATATATATATATATATATATATATATATATATATATATATATATATATATATATACATATTATTATACACATATACATATATATACATATATATATATATATATACATATATATATATATTTATTTACATATATACATATATATATATATACATATATACATATATATATACATATATATATATATATATATATATATATATATATATATATATATATATATATATATATATATATATATATATATATAAATATATATGTATATATATATATATATTACACTTTAAGTGCTTCTTTGTTGACTAGTTTTTTACATGCTAATAGCATAATTATTATTATTGCTTTCTCACTACGTAACTTTTTTTTTGTCAACCACAGTATTACAGGCAAGACAACGGTAACAATGCAGACAACCACAACAAATACAACAACAGCTTCAGTACAACAAACAATTACAACTCAGCAAACTACAAGTCCACAGACAACAAGTACCACCAAACCAACTAGTACCACAACCATAATGTTAACCACCACAACTATACCACAAACAACAACTACAACAACATCAAGTACATCTAAACCAATTACAACTACAACCACAACAAAACCAACTACAACAATACCAACTACAACAGCAACTAAACTAACAATAACTACATTCATACCAACTACAACCAAAACAACATCTACAATAAAACAAACAACAACTCCAACCACACCAACTACAACCAAACCAATAACAACTACAATGAAATCACCACCAACTACAGTCAAACCAACTACAACCACAACAAAATCAGCTACAACAATAACAACTGCAATAGCAACTAAACTAACAACAACTACGACCATACCAACTACAATGAAAGCAACAACAACTACAATGAAACCAACAACAACTGCAGTCAAACCAACTACAACCACAACAATACCAACTACAACAGCAACTAAACTAACAACATCTACAATAAAACCAACAACAACTTCATTCAAACCAAGTACAATCGCAACTAAAAAATCATCTACAACAGTACCAACTACAGCTACAACAACAAGTAAACTAACAACAACTACAACCATACCAACTACATCCAAAACAACATCTACAACTAAACCAACAACAACTACAGTAAAATCAACTAAAACCACAACAAAACCATCAACAGCAATACCAAGTACAACAGCAACTAAACTAACAACTCCAACCAAACCAACTACAACAAAACCAACAACAACTACAACAAAACCAACAACAACTACAGTAAAAGCACTTACAACCACAACAAAACCAACTACAACAATTCAAACTATAACAGCAACTAAACTAACAACAACTTTAACCATATCAACTACAACAAAACCAACTACAACAATACCAACAACAACAGCAACTAAACTAACAACTACTACAACCATACCAACTACAACAAAACCAACAACAAGTACACTCAAACAAACTACAACCACAACAAAACCATCTTCAAAAATACCAACTACAAAAACAACTACAATGAAACCACCAACAACTACAGTCAAACCAACTACAACCATAACAAAACCAACTACAACAAGAACTAAACTAACAACAACTACAACCACACCAACTACAACCAAACCAACAACAACTACAATGAAATCAACTACAACAACAATAAAACCAACTACAATGACAAC